AGAATACCGCTATTTGCTCACGTCGTGGCCTGATGCCCAGGTTTGATCGAAGATGAAAGGGATTCTGTAACTGAAACAGGAGTCGCAGTCGTCACTCCAGTTGGGGCTCGCAACCCGCCCGCTGTGGAAACTTGGCGTGACCGCATCGGACAGGCACGCGTGCGAACGGGCGACTGAGAGCCACCATTGGCAAGATAATCAATGTCAAACTGTCGTGTTCGTGAGTACGACTGTCGCCAGATGTGGCGTCCCAAAAAGTTATTACATCGTGATTGAGATGCAGGGTAGGCTGGTTTTCGGAAATCACACCGGGCGTCGACAGAACCCCAGGCCGAACCGATATCTGCCTCGCCATCAAGCTCTCCGAGCACAGTCGCGCGCGGGCAAGACGCAATGAAATTGAAGAGAGCTGTGAGGGTTGGAAGTGTTAAGTGCAATCCAGGCATGCGCCCGTTTCTGCGCGATCAATTAAAGGCCCTCGAAGCACTGGGTTGCGCGAAGCCGCCCAGGCTGCTGAGCCAGGATCAGGCCTGCCGCCCATGCCCTCTCTGATGCCAGATGCCAGATGCAACGCAGATTGACAGGTCGGAAGAAGCCGAAAACTGCAGCCACGCAGGTGTGCTCAAGCAGCGTGACAACAGAGCGGGAGCACCCAACACGGTCCAGAGACTTTTGGCGACGAGCCTCTGCCGTGCTCGGAGGCTGCGACGGCAACTCAGCCCAGGCAGCGTCCCGATTCCAAAGGAGCGCCAAGCACACCTTTCCTGGCTGCCGAGTCCCGCGTCTTTCACATGAATCATCCCCAGACGGGACATGGGTCCTTTGGCGGCAAGGACAGGCTTTTGCCCGAGGCATGGCCCCGAGACCCCCACCTCCGGTTCCCCTCACTCACCTGCTGACGCGCGACCGGCAGGAAAGGGCGGCGAGGCGGCGGCGCACTGCACCGAAGCTGATCCTTCAGTTCACACCCTTGTCTGTTCCTTGACCGCCCGCTCCTAGCTGCTGGACTGCGGCGCGCCCGTCCGTCGCGGACAGAGGTAACTCGTGAGCTGAGGCCCTGCCGGAGGGATTTCTGCTGCAGCAGAAAAGGTGACATGCTGGCATTGTTCCCGTCGCAATATCCGAAGGACCTGCCGACTCCCTGGACACAGGTCGAACCGCTGCGGGACCGCCGTCGTGACGGCTCGCAAACCCGGTTCGTCAGAGCCTTGAGCTGCGAGCCGGAGGGCCCCCGGACGCAACATGGCAGCTCAGGAGCAGATGCTTGCCAGGCTCGTTCGTGGCGCCATCGTCTGATGCCGGCCGGCCTAACGAGCTTGACCTCATAGGTTGCCGTCAAGGGCCGACCCCGCTGCGGAACAGGACCCTGCCATCAATACCTGGGGCGCCTTGCAGGCTTGATACGTCAGATGGCCCCCGTCCTCACCCAAGGCCCCCTGCGGAGCCCCTCGTGCCAAGGTGACAGCAGTGGTGCACCGGAAGTTGTGACAGCCCTCTCAGCGCAAAACGCCACAACCTTGACTCGTGGAGGAACACAGATACAGTTGCATGCACCCCGGCCAGACCCCGGCCTGGCTTGCCTGCCTCTTCATTTCTGGGCACTGCGCGCTCCCGCGTGTGTCTTCGAGGCACGTCACCCACCGGGAGTTGGCCGGCTCCAGCGGAGGGCGAGACCGTAACGGCCCCGTTCGTGGCCGGACCTGAAGAGCTGGACAAAGCCCGGCCTGGTCTGACCTGCCTGGGCGTTTTCCACCCTTCCAGCAAGCAGCCCGTCGGATCTATTGCCGCGCTCGACAGACGTAGCCCAACTTGCCGTATTCGGTAATAGCCGCGGGCTCGCACGCAGCTGGATCGAAACAGCCTTCTCGCTGCACGGCATGCCGCCGGCCTGTGGTTGGTGGCGGAAACGGGCCGGCTGCAGCGGCCTGTCGACGAAGCATGCTTCCACGTCGCGTGGCTGACGAGTTGGGCCTCTGCGTTGTCCTCGACGGCGAGGCTCTGCTCGTGCTGCTCGCCCATTGAGGACAATCGCAATCAATCTTTGTCGGCCCGGCGGCTTACAGGTATCTCAACGGCGGGAGCCCCGCTGGTTGCACGTCCCCGCCAGGCTGGCTGCCACCGTTCGCCCGCCCCTTGAAGTTCTTTCGCACCACAGATCATGCCGGAACGGCTCAGCTCCCCCCACAACCGGGGACGGGAGACCCCTGCCTTGGAGCGGTTCTGGCGTTCCTTCTTGTATCTCACTCAGCTGGATGGCAGGCACCGGGTGGCTGGTAAACTGTGCTGTGCCGCAGCTGGGATGTCCCAGTTTCGGCGACGGCATTCCCTGGATGCAGGAAGAACGCACGAGAGCCGCTGGTTCGGGAGGGCGGGAGGTGGCCTGGCTGCGCGCACAGGTGTGATGCCAAGGAACCCGAAAGCAGTCAATCGTGTAGTCGCAAACGTGGCGTCCACCTTTCCCGTACTAGGGCTGGTTGAACCCCTTGCTGCATCCCCTGACGCCATGTTCCCGGCCACCACCACAGCGGACCGCGGGACCCCGAGAGGGCTGGCCGGGCTCTGGCGTGTCACCGGCGGAGGCGGCGGTGGTGGAGACGATTGAGACCCGTAATGCCCGTGTCCAGCTGCACGGGCTAGGAGTGGGCGTGATGAGTGACGCGGTCTGGCAGCGGGGGGTCGCAAGCATGCCGCTGTGCTCGTGTATTCGTCCCCCTGAGGTCGAATGATGCTCTCTCCTCATCTCACGCAGAGTGCAACCTTGATGCCTTGCTCGTGCGCCGGTGGCTGCCCTGGCTGGATCGTGGCCGTCGTGATGGAACTTCTAGAACCGCCCGGTGGGGGAACAGGGCCGATGCCACCACATGCCGGCCATGCGACCTCCGCCTCTGTATTGACTTTTTGCGCACCGGTGGGCAGATGACGGTTGCGCCTCCCACCCATGCCGCCGCCTTGGGTATGCTGGGTTGTTGATGGCTGTCGCCACATTCATAGGCCTGTCTGTCCCTAGGACACTCCACCGTTGTTGATCAGCGCGCCAAGGGCCGTGGTACGGTGCGGTATACTGTCCGTGGCGCTGTTGCTGCTATGCCCGCCCGCCGGTTGCAACCCACAGAACGTGGTCCCGGACTGGTCGGTGGCATCTCGTGGAAACGGCCTGGAAGCGGAACGTCTTGTCTTGCCAAGTCAGGGCGCCTTGAGCTCGCCCGGGCTCAGAGCTCAGTCGCTTGGTCGTTCCGACACCCTGCGCTTCCTTACCAGGGCCAGGCAATCCCTCTTGTCGAACTACCCATCTGTACTTGGACGGAGCGCAATCGGCATCCTGTCTCTTTAATTAGAACGAGAGCAACCCTTGACCACGGCTTGTGCCGGCCACGGACTCGGCGATCCACTGATACACGCGACCGACAGACGGGACCGACAGGCAAGGAGGCATTTCCCCGTCGCATTTTCACCGGTGCAGGGATCGAGTGCCGATTCGCAGCGGCTGAGTCTTTCGAGGCGACGGCTCTGTGTTTTTGATGCCGATGTTGGAGATGCAGCTGGCCGTGATCTGAGAAGAACCCGAGCCCTTGACATCGCACCAAAGACTCGTTCGGCGTAGGAGACGTTGCAGGACCTTGGGTGTCTTCGGTCTCGGACTGCAATGGCCTTAACACACGGTCGATGGGGTGGAAGGCGTTCAACCTCCGCGCCTTCTCCAGGCTCCGCCCCGAAGTACAAGGTATTGTGTACATCTACTTGTGCGCTGCGAACATTTTACTAGCTGGTGGCTCCTTCTCTGCTGAGCTCTTTGGAGCGCCTGCTTCAGCTTTGGATGTCTGTCCTCGAGCGCCAGCCAAGGAGCTGGTGGGGCAGCGCCCGGACGGAAGGAGCAGACAAACAAGTACCTGCCCAGGGGGACGGAGTAATAAGAAGGCCTGACTGAGACAGGGAAGTACGTACCTACTCAAGCAGCTTGGATCTGGTACCTCGCCTTACCTTGGAACGCGCGGAGTACCTACGTGCCTCAGTACTGTACCTTACGAGGCGCATTGGCTTCAATAGCACCTGACCTGGCACCATATCTCGGGGGGAGGGTGGGTGCCGAGTGCCGTCTGGTACTACCTGGTATCCAGACTCGAGCCCAACAGACTGCTTGTTCGAAGTACTGGTATACTGGCTTCACCTTCACTCAATACTCGTACCCCACGATGAGCAAGAACCGTGTGCGAAATCAGGTGCTGTGCAGGGGGCATGCATGTGTCTCCCGGGCCCGCTCCAGGAGGATTTCCGTGTCGTTGGTAATAAACAGACTCGTACGAGGCAGCCTTAGCTCCTTGGCCGTCCCAACAGGACCGGTGTTTTTCAAAGCCAGGCAGGTGCGATACTCGTGTGCTTGCTTTGCGTTTCGCCGTCCAGCCCGCTCCAATCTGGCGATGCTGGGCACGCTCAGACACACCAACATATTCCTTGGCTGCCTATGCGCCCACGGCTGTCCGACGTGCATCATCGATCAACCCAACACCGACGGACGATGCCCGTCTGTGGCCGCAACCACGCCGGCCACCAACCGTGGCACAACACCCTCAACTGCACGGCGTACCAGTGTGGACGCAATTCGTTGTGACAACCTGGCGATGCACAACATTCGACCCAGCACGAGCCGACCGCGAGCCCGGCACATTGGGTCAAATGGAGTCCATTCGAGCCCCTTTGGTGATGAAGCCATATGCCCCGCTGCGTATTGTTGAGTTTGGGAATACGCAGCCTTGATTCGAGCAGTCGTCGGAAGAAGAGCACCCTTGGCGGTCTCGGCTTTGGCCTCTGCCGAAGTCTCATGCAAGGTTGTTCAAGCAGTCCATCGCGATCCCCATCGATCTGGTTCCCGTGCGCTCTCGGCGGCCCCTTGGAGTGCCTTTCGCCCACTCGGTGCTCCATTCAGACTGGACTTGGGGCGAGCGTCGAACGCCAACGGCCCTGCCGCTGTCTTCACCAAACGCACATGCAGCCCGTTCCATTGCCTCGTCCACCGTCCAGGAGTCGAGACTCGTCAACCAATGCCAGTCCTGGCCGTAAGTTTGTGGCGTCGCTGCCACGCTGCCACGCCTTGCAGGGCCCACTCGCAGGCGCATGTACGAGTGAATACCAGACAGCCAGCCTGGCCAGGGAACCTGGTCCGGATGTTCGAGCCATCCATCATAATGGCGCCAGGAAATGGGGCGCATTCTGCACCGACCACGGCGTTGCACTGGCCAGGGCTAACATTGGTTCCCAATCTCGGAATGGGGAACTGTACGCATGTGGCACGGGTTAATCGCCTTTCCCTGCCCTGTGGAGCTTGCCGTCGACGAACCTGGCTTCGTACGGACGAGTCCCGGCCAGCCGCACGACTCCGATCTCACCGGCGGAGGCAGAAGCTCTGGCTTCACTGATGCACACCGCGCTAGACAAAGGGCCACGAATCATGGAAGCGCGACATGCGCGCCGCGCTTCCGACTGCGATGGATACTGCTCGCATTCGGTGCTCGTCGGCAAGTCGATAGCCGCGCTCGACGACGCCAGGACACCGAGCTTTCGGCGACTTCGGACACTGTGCAGACACCTCCACATTGTGGACAACGTTCGGCCAATGTGCTCTGCGTCGAGCGACGGTGCCGCTGGCCTTTTTTTATGGAGATCCCGCGGGAAAGGCGTCTTCACAGCTGCGCCGTGCGATCGACCCGGCACCCCAGCGTTGCGCGCGCATGTCTGACGCCCGGATGCGCGTGGTCCCACGCGCCAACTTACTCGTACGGATGCCACTTGGGCGTTACGGTGCGTGCGGCGCCGGCCAGTGGCTGGTAAGACGCTGGACAAGAACCCCGTGCTTTGGAGGATGGCATGGCATGGGTGCATGACCAACGGCGCCTTCGACCAACCCCGGCCATCTCCACCGGCGCTCCCTGGGATGTGTGGAGCGCCACAAACGGCACCAGACAGCGTCGCACCCACTTGGCCGCAGTCATTCTCGGACCCCTGCTCGTCATGGCAGTCTACGCGTGTACGAGGTACTGCTCCCGACGGTGTACTTGGGGATGAGCCCGGATTCTACGAGTACGTGTACATGGGATGCTGGCTGAGCCCCCTGCCTGCGGCCAATCTGACACTGTCAAAAATCAAAATACCTTCTCGAGCCGGCATCAGGCGAAGATCATTTTCTCGTTCGGGGAGCTCGATATATGTAAGGGAATGGGGAAAAGGGCTTTTGGACCCCGAGCCGCATTATCTCTTGGGCCGCGAAGGCACCAAAGGATGGGTCACGGCTCCATTCTGCCTTGAACTTGTACGCGGCAGTCGTTCAGGCCCATTCTTGGCCGATACCTGCGTTGAGGCGGGCCTGACTTGGCACCCCGACCTGACAAGTTGAAATAGGCGTAGCCTGCGGAGGCAGTGACGGCATATCGATGCGGCCAAAACAAAGAGGAGTGACAGTCACTCTCTCTGGAGCTCGCCCGAAACGCCGAGTACACATCCAGTACCTTGCCCCCGAAATCTCAGTCTGTGGGTTCCGGAACAAGCCAAGGTGTGTGTGTGTGTGTGTGGCTGCTATCCCCTAACCCCCCCTCTGCCCACCACCCTGTCTGCAGTCTTAAGTTACATATTCAGCTCCCCAGGAATATCCATGACTGAACTGGCATTCAAGAAAACACAGCACCACATTTCTGCTGCTTCAGGTCTCTGACCCTTCCCTTACAGATCCACTGGCCTGAGCCGCCTGCTTCATCGGCGGCTCCCACCTGCGTTGATTCCAGGCATAGAAAGAGCGTCGGCCAGGTATCCCCGCAAGTTGATCGTTTTTCTCGGCCTTTGTTGGGAGCATCAAGCTGTCGTTTCGGCCTAATCCTGACTGAAAGCGGGAGACAGCAACGTCACCGTCCTCTGAGATATCTTGTGATCCCTGGCTTTACCGATTGCCGCTTGCCCTATTTGGAGCCCACGTGGCTCCAGCATTTCACAGGCGGACTGTCTTTTGCAACGACGCGTCCCAACCTGGACTGACTTCCTTCCGGGCTATGCAACCCCTTTGTTCTATTCCCTAGCCCGTCACTTCAACCAAGTCGACCGTCGACACCCTTCATGGTCTCTTGCGTCGCCAGTTCTCTGCGCCTCCCTATAGCCTGCCACCGGTAGGCTGGTGACCTTTGGTTCAATCACCATCGCCCTACGAATCAGGGCGTCGGTCGTGGTTCCCATCCAATGTGGGCGCACGTGGATTCCGACGTTTGGTTGATCAGGAACTGGAACACCACGTTGAGGCCACCAACGACCAGAGGCATCCCAACGGTTGCACGGTTTCCCTAACACGCGTCTGATACGCGCTGTTCCTCTGCGAAAAATCGTCAGGTCCTTCTACTGGCACGGCAACACTGCAAAAACTCACCAGCACCTGTTGCTGCTTGCCCATATTCCGGCTCCATCAGGCACGGCGCGGCCCAGTGTACCTATCTCGATCTTTCATTGCTACTACAACCGGTCGCTACTTGCTTGTGTGTGGATCGTGCAAGCTCTTCAACAAAGCCTGCTGTTTTCGATTCGGTCTGACCGTTCGATGCGAAATTCCTCGCCGGCAGCTTATCCCTTTCTTGGGCCGAGCATGAATTTTAAGTCACGCCAAGTGTACTTCGACCTCTGAAGTTCTCCGGTGAAATCACCACACTACTGCCCTGGGTTGGTATGACGATCCGAAACCAAGAAGTTTCGATGGGCGACTACTATCACCATTTCCTGACGTCCGTGTCAGGAGTGGAGGACTATTCTCCTACACAGTTTCAGAACAACCTTCAGCTGCCTGGCGGACATATTCCCATGCAAGGAAATTCCGTTCCCCTTGCGTATCAGGGGACTCAGGGTCTTGGATATCTAAGAAGCTTTCCAGAGGCCGCGTTCCCTAACACCTCCAAGCCATCGAAGGGCCGTCGGAAGGTCGCGTCTAGTGTTGGCAATGGAACGGATCACGTCAAGCATCGGAGGACGCGATCGGGATGCTTCATGTGTAGAAGCAGGCGAGTCAAGGTACGTTGGCACTAGGTGCGTGCGAGATTGGAAAACTTGAATGCTCACAAAGGTCACACAGTGTGACGAGACACGACCGGTATGCGAACGTAAGTGCACAGCGTGACATCCTACCACGGCGCGCTTCCTAGTTTCATAGCAGCTGAGCCCAATTCTAGGCTGCAAGAAGGGCAACCGTGAATGTGTTTACCCGGATCCGCCTGCCCCCAAGGGTGCATCAGGCCACAGCAAATCCAGGGAGATGCAAAATCCGACACGAAAAGCAAGCCCCAATTCTTCAAACGAGGGCGACGATGACGATCACGAATCAAACAACCAACTTGAGACGATTTACGACGACGACGAATCGGAGGACGCGTTGCAGCAGACACCGGGACCAGATTCACAGCCGATAGAATCCTGCGTGACCTCGCGTAGGCGGCAGAGCTCCGAGAGCTTGGCCAAAGACGGCGCTAAAGCCTTGTCCTCCCCCTCGACCTCTACAGCTGGCAGCATCAGTGTCACTACAATGCAGTCGTGCGATCTTTCCACTCTGGGGGGACACACGGACTGGTCGCATCTTCCCCCTGACTTCCAGCATCATCTCAGCTACTACGCTGACAATATCACAAACTACCATTACAGCCTGGCCAACGACGGTGACGCATTTTTCAGTACAATCATGCCCAGCCTCGCCATTAGCTATGAACCGCTGCTATATGCCCTCGTTGGTTTCTCGGCGTACCATGCAACTTTGGAGAATCCCAACGGGCAGCTCCAGGACTTTCTCGGCTACTACAACCGAAGCGTCACTCTCCTACTTGACTGCCTCAAGCGAAAAGAAACAAACAGCGTGCCAGTGCTCGTTACAATTTTGCAGCTGGCAACCATGGACGTAAGCTGCCTCGCTGTAGCAATCAGGGCGCCAGTGTGCTGACCACCACCACAGGAGTTTTTGGGTGACTGGGTGAACTTGATGGGTCATCAGAAAGCCGCGCTTGAAATCATCACAAAGATCTTCACACCGGAGACGGTCATGCTCACTCCCGTTGGGCGTGCCTGTTTGAACTGGTACAGTCGGTATGACAACTATGTCGCCATCATGGGCGGATTCCCCACGGAGCTTCCTCGTGAATGGTTCGAAGTCATGGTTGCCTATAGCCAGAATCACGCTGCGATGGAAACCGGGAACGTGCGCTGGAAGGTCGACGAGCGCTCTTCCAGACTGAGAGTGATCAGTTACGACATGTCCATGCTATACGCTCGTGGCAGCCGGGGGCAAATCTCTCCCGAAGACTTTCGCGAAGGTCATGAGCAAATAACGCAGAGACTGTTCGACTGGAAGAGCAACTGGGATCCGGCCTTGACAGACCCAGAGTACCGCGTTACCGATTTCTCCTACCGACGGCCACTTGACGCCGAAGACATCGTGGATCCATATGAAGAGGGCATCTTATTCAAGCCGCCTCTCTTCACCACAACTCTCATCACGGCTGAATGGCACTCGATCGTCATCATGCACCTGTCGCAAGCCATTGATACTCCCCAGTCGCAACTCTTCGAGGAGATGGGGAAGCACGCCTATGTCGCCTGCCAATATTTCGAGTCCGTGGAATTCTGGCCCCTGAAGCCCAAAGGTGCCATGATCTCGCTACAGCCGTGCATATCCATCGCGGCTCTCTTTCTGCCGCATGATATGCGTCACCAAATGTGGATTCGCCGCAAGTTTGCCCTTCTCGACATGCTCGGGTTAGTGTTCCCTTCACAAACGCACCTCCAGAAGGCACTACGATTCTGACGTTAGCAACAGGTGTATACATCCCACGGCGCGTCGGATGAAAATGGCACACGTGTTCCGCGATCCTTCGTGTGCGCGCTGGTGGCTCCCCGACGGCGCTGGATTGACCCCCATCCTCGAGAGCATACGCGCATTTGCAGACGATCGAAACGCCGCGGCTGTGAATGCGCAGCAGGAAAACATTCGAGAAGTAAGGCATCTCTTCGCCAAGTTGGAAGTGAGCCTCATCGAGGCTGATGCGCAAGTCAAAGGCGGCGAATTTGCTGGCCGATGACGAAGCCGAAGCCCAGGTTGAACCGCTGGTATTCAGCGAAGTTTTGATTTGACAACATTTGGAACGTGAGCGGCGAGATTTTCTCCCACGACAGAGCCCGACAGGGTTCACCAGACTTGCGAGACATCAAGTATACGATACATTTGCTAAGCGAGGAGTTGCCGTTGGAAAAAGTCTCCCACATAGAATGCGAACAAAAAGTATTCGACTACCGGCCATCAGCTTGCCTTTGCTTCGACACGCGACGAGACACATATCATGACCTCATACGACGTCGCAGCGAATTGAGTGCAGCCGTTGCGAAGACGCTCGACTGAGGCTATCTCTATCGACCAAAATTTTGGGATCGATTTAAAGGGAACTGAGGTTACGGAATTTGATGATGAAATTCGTGTGACAGTGATAGACGCATACTGTCAGGGGCAGTAATACATTGGTTCCCGGGATCCAAGTTGCATTCTGCTCCCATATTGAGTGCTTGAAAATCGCGGCATCACGGGCATCTGATTGAAATCCGTACGCCGCGCATTTGGCTTTCATCACGAGTTTCATACAAATGGGACAGTTTCGTCCCGTTGAGCTATTATACAAACACGAATGCTCCTGGCTGTCTCCACGCGTACCACTGGGCGTGACCGGAATGCTCAACGCCCAGTCCATGCCCCAGGTCGTCCTCGTATCATAGGCACTCGTACCTCTCCCTCCGAAAGGGGTATCATGCCATGTCTTCGTTACTGCATCTCTTCCGACTTGTCTGGCTGCGGCTCGACCTCAGCCACGGGTTTCCCTTCGGCAGGCTCAGTATCCTCCTTTGCCTCTGCCGGCGTCTCCTTGGGCTGCTCGGCGTCCGCCTCGGTTGGCGGCTCGGGGTCTTCCGCGACTGGTGCCGCCTCTGCCTTGTCGTCCGCTTTGGTGTCCTCGCTGACGGAGGGGCCCTCCACAGGCGTCATCTCCTCGGGTGAGTCGGCGGTGTTTTCCGGCTGCAACGGCTCAACCTGCGGTTCATCGTGTTCAGGCTCGACTTCTACAACTGTCGCATCGGCGCCGGAGGCGGACTCCGAGCTTGCTTGTCCTTGTGTCGGCTCATGTATGGACGTGTTGCGTCGCGAAGGCGGTTCCATTGCGGAATGGTCGACAATGACTGGGACCTCTGCCACCTCGGAGTCTTCGTCTTCGCCGTGTGGCGCTGAGATGTGCATGTCCTGCATCTTGCTAGAGACGGAGTCTGTTTCTTCCTCGTCAGATTCCATCACCGTCGTCACCGCGCTTCCTGTTGAAGGGCTGCTCCTAATATGCCTTCGAGTGTTGGTGCGGCTACTGGGGTGCAAACCATCATCGTCAGGGCCGCCTTGCCGTTGCTGCGAAGGCGACGGCTTCAGAATAGACGGCGGTGGCTTCTCGACTTCGGGTTCCGGCTGAGGGCCGTCTAGTCCTTCGGCTTCAGGCGGCAGTTTGTAGTTCTCGGCAGGCAACAAGTCGTACAGGTCACACACCGTCTTGAAGAAGACGTAGAGCCCGGTCTGTCCTTCAACCGTCCAAAAGACGCTGCGGTGCTGGAACCAGGCGTGCGCGAAGATGCGGTGTAACCTCCGGAAGACGTTGACTAGGTTCTTGACACCGACGTTCTTGCTATGGGGGTCGTTGAGGACGACGAAGCGGCTGGGGAAGATCTTCTGGTCCGAGACGACGTTGGCCGCCCAGTCGAGGGTGTGGCAGCAATAGTCGATGGCGCAGCAGCTCTTGGGCTGCTCGTGGACGGCGCAGAGGAACTGCCACTCGGAGGCGCGCATCTCGGGACACGTGTTGGCGCTGCAGGGAGGCGTGTCGAAGAGGAAGCCGACAATGAGGGAGTTGCACTGCGAGATGAGGAAGCGGCAGAGCTCGTAGAGCCACAGCGTCCGGTCGATACCCGGCGGCGGCTGCGCGAGCTGAAGGGCCGCGGCGCGGGTCAAAGCCTGGGTGCCAAACGCCGTGTGGTGATAGTGCAGGGCGGCGAGGTGCTCCTGAAGCTGAAAGGCGGAGTCGAGCTGCTCGAGGCGCAAACAGTCAGCAACCAGCTATCTCTTCACTGATCCGCCCCTGACTTGGGGACTTGGGGACCCGAAATACCTCGTTCAGAGGAACCAGGGGAGGACCAGCCGCCATGTCGGCAGCCTTTGTGCCCGGGTGTATGCGCCGTCGCGAGTGGTCGTCGAGGACCGTCTGCTCCATCTCCGTCGGCTCTGGGCTGGCCGCCGCGCCGCCAGAGGGACTCTTGGGGCCGATTTGGATCTCGGCCGGCGGCGGGGGGCTTGGCAGACGCGGCGAGCTCGGTGCCAGCGCCATGGTGGTCGATTGTGCGGCGCGGCGCGTGCGCTGTTGGGGGGTGATGAGGACGAGGAAATTGTTTGGAAGAGGTCGTGAAGCTGGCGACGGGCTTCGGGGTGTTGGCCTGCTGTATTACGGTACGGGGTATTATGTAGCTTGAGTCGGCGCTAAGGCAAGGTACGAATAGGTACGCCTGCTTGCGCATGCCACCTGGCAGAGCTTGCTGAGGTAACATGGCCAGGAACCCAACTGTTGGATAGCTGCATGTCGCAGGGGCAAGCGGCTTAGCGGGGCGTGCTCCGGAGGCGATCCAGGAATCTCAGTGGACAGCTGGAGCACCATGCCTGAGGCGCTGGGAGCGTCGACGCCGACAGTGTTGGAGCGCCGCAAAACCCCACTGCAGCCGCCTAGGACCGGCTTTACCTCACCTAAACGCACCCAAAACCTCTACGAATCAACATCATCAATCACTCACTTAACTGCCTCTGTCTCTTGACGAGCTTCACAATTAGACCGAGACTGACGTCAATGTTACTCTTGTCCTTATTTTCTTCCCAACCTGATCTTAGCCGACAACTCCAGCGACCGACCTGAGTATGGATCTCGACGATGACGTACCTCCGGAGCTCGTTGACACGGCCGTCGCGGCTCCGGATGAGGAACTCACTATCAAAGTCCCCATCACAATAGTCACCGGTATGCCGGCATTTTCAATCGTACCAATGCGCACTCTACTCACACACGAGGTCATTCTCAGGCTATCTCGGAGCTGGAAAGACAACGCTGCTCAATTACATCCTCACAGCGGAGCATGGCAAGAAGATTGCCGTCATCATGAATGGTCTGAGCTTCCTCGCTCCCTAGTATTGGCTTTCGCTGACGACGGGTAGAATTCGGAGACTGTAAGCATGGGAGGCCGGATCGCCGGCACTGGCATGTAACTGACTTGGAAACCCAGCACTTGACATCGAAAAGTCCTTGACCGTAAACAAGGGCGACGAGAAGGTCGAGGAGTGGCTCGAAGTGGGCAACGGTTGCATATGTTGCTCCGTCAAGTGCGCAGAGTCTCCATTTGCATCATGCATGCGACTAACGATTTGTCCAGAGACACGGGAGTGAACGCCATCGAGTCTCTGATGGAGAAGAAGGGCGCCTTTGACTACATTCTTCTTGAGACGACCGGCCTTGCAGACCCAGGCAACCTAGCGCCCCTGTTCTGGGTTGACGACGGTTTGGGGAGTACGATATACCTCGACGGCATCGTAACCTTGGTGGATGCCAAGAACATCTTGCGCAGTCTCGACGACCCCAGCGGCAAGGTGGAGGGGCATGATCACCGCGACGACCACGGCCCGTTGATGACCACGGCTCACGTGCAAATCTCACACGCCGATGTCATTGTCATCAACAAATCCGACCTCGTCAGCCCAGAGGAGCTCCAGAGAGTTCGCGAGAGGATGGAGTCCATCAACGGCCTCGCCAAGGTTCACGTCACCGAGAAGAGCGCCGTCCCTCACCTGGAGGGGTTCCTACTGGATCTACATGCATATGACCAGTTTAATGAGGCGGAGGCCAAGATCAAGGGCCACAGTCACCTGGATCCGGTAGGTATCTGTGCGCGTGGCGAGGCAGATGAAGACTGACGCGGCCTAGACGATATCAACCATTTCGATACCAGTGCCTAGACTGCGCCCGGACCAGCTGGAGGCCGTTGACCGCTGGCTGCGGTCTGTGCTGTGGGACAACCAACTCCCAGGCACAGATGGGGAGGGCGGCTTTGAGATTCACAGGTCCAAGGGCCGCATTGTACTGCAGAGTGGCGAGGTGAAGATGATGCAAGGCGTGCGGGAGGTGTTTGAGCTGATCGACGCCCCAGACGGCGCGCCTGCCTCAGAGGGCCAGGAGGGGAAGATCATCTTTATCGGCAGGAAGGTGGCCGACGTAGACTTCGAGGCCAGCTTTAGACGAGCGGTGCAATGAATAAACCGCGATGCTTTCCTGGGGATCGAGGCAGAATGAGGTGACAGTGGACAGCGGAGGTTGTCGCAAACCCACAATTGCCATCCGTCTTCAGCCTCGAGGGGCGCGAAAGCCGCCCTGATTGGCCGAGTGGCGCATTTCGGGACGGACCCACTTGCTTCCGGCCACGGCGCCAGCGAACCGGCACAAGCCTTGGTAGCACCAGCCTTCCCTCGACCTCAACGAAGCAATTGCACAACACGCCGCTCTGCTGCAACAACGAAGCACACGATTCAAAGTCCTCGAACCGAAGGCGGAAGTCGCACCGCACACCAGACGTCATTTGCGCAACGGGCCAAGCCACCGCCCGCGCGATCCAGAGCAGTCATGAACCGGCCAGGTAGGACCAACCCAGACCTTCCCGCGTGGCCTCAGCCTCGAAACCGCGATACCGCAACGTCCGATGCACCTGGCCCGAGCCAGCGCCCACTGCTCCAGGCCTGACACGATGGCGCTTTCCACAAGGCACTTCCATGCACCAAGTCTCAGTCTGCGCGACAGGCCTTGACAGTTTCCTGGCTGCTGCCGCGGCGCCGCTGAGCCAGGGATGGTCATGGAGCGAAGGGCTACACATGGCCGTCTTGAACAATGCACGATGCATTGATTCTTCGACCGCCGCGATCGATCACATACGAGCTGCATTCTAGACGGCCGCGCAAAGAGTGGCTCGCGAGCAGCGCGTCACGCGTCGCTGGCGCATGCCTGAACACACGAGGCTGAGCTCTGCACAATGATGAAGAAGCGGAGGCTGACTCCCGGTGGCAACGACAGGTGCTGTACCGCAGACAATACGGGGGGTGCCCGGCAACTTTGGGGGCCAGCAACAACCTCAACAACCAGGCAGATCGGTGTCGAGCCGCTTGCCGAACGGAAAGCTAGGTACTTGCCCACCGACCTCGACTGCAGTCCCCGCCAGACGGCGGCAAGTGAATGGCAGCTGACCGGTTCCGCTGGGGCATAGGGAACAATGGCAGCTCCGGCTGGGCTTTCGGGGGAGGAGTCCCCATGGGCAGTGCCGGTTTCAATCAGGGCCGCCAGCTGGGCGGCAACGTTAGCTTTGCCCAAAGCTTGAGCGGGTCGCAGCCTGCCACGCCTTTGGATCCCACGTATGTTCTTTTTACATCCTCTGTTTTCGCCCGTTGCCCCAACACTTCACGTCCCAAACGGCGAGCTCTCGCGGTGCACTTTCGCGATGCCCCCCAAGAAAGCCAGGCTCGTCAACAGAGCCGACAACACGGCATACCCAGGGAGCTCGGCCGACCCATCCAAGGGTCTGGCCTACTCCGCCGTGCTCAAGGGGTATCTCGCATCATACTCTCCTCACATACTGCTCCAAGACGGCGCTTGCATCAGCGCTTGTTTCTTCGAATGATCGGACGAGTGCCAGCTAACGGATGACTTGCTACAGCGAATTCCCTTCACTATCAACTACGCCGCAGCTCAACAGCGCTAGCCAAGCATGGTCAAATACGGGAGCCCGAAACCCAAGCGGTCCTGGTCAGCGCAATCAGTCGACGCCGATGTCCTCTCAGCAAGGCCAGGACGACATCTTTACTCCACCCTCGACATCGAGATTGCAATCCAGCCAAGGTTCGTTACACCTCGGTAGCGCCAGGGACACGCCTGCCACTCCACGGCGTCACCGCGGCGGTGACGCCGACTTTCCTTCGCTCCCCTTGGATGCCAACAGAGAGGCCGGACGAAGTGACAGTACTGACGTGCCATTATCAGGATTCGGTCCTCAGGCTGCTGGCTCGGGACAAGGTCAGGCGCATCGGGGTAATGGCTTGCTGAACGCACTGTCTGCCAACAGCAGAGCAAACGAAGCGCGAACACCGCCGGGAGTTGGCCCGCCAGGTGCGTCGATAAACTCGCCGCCACCAATCATTGTGCTAACCCCAATAGATGTGTCTCGAGCAGCGGAGGGAAAGCAGACGCAGTCTTTGTTTCGAGATGACGGGTTCGGCAAGCCTCCTCCAGGCGCCGATGCTGGCTCCCAAGCACCAGAAGCACGGGGCAGCCTTGGTGCGATAGGGAAGGAGAGCACGAGTAGCAAGCCGGAGAAGGAAAAGTTCAGCCAACCGCTGGACGTTGCTGATCCCCTTGCTGGGATGCCTGCCGTGGACAAGTGGGGTATTAAGGGCCTGCGGTCTCTCATGAACAACTATTCCGACTATCACGCGATGGTGGTGGGCATGGATCCGGGCTCGTTAGGACTGGACATGACCTCGCCAGAGTAAGTCTCGAAGCAGACCGCGAGACCATGACCCTTGCTTACTGGAGACAGACTCATCTCCACCCAAGCGTACTCTCTCTTCGACGACCACCCGCCTCGGCCCACTGTTGACGCGGGGAAGTTCAGGCTGCCCGATTGTTACAGCGTGACCAATGTTCAGCCGATCGAGACCAAGATCCAGAGCTTCAACGAGGAGACGCTGTTCTGGATATTTTACAGCTGTCCTGCCGACATCAAGCAGCAAATGGCCGCGGTCGAACTGTAAGTGTTTGTGTGCTCGACTCGAGAGACTGGTATTCTAACCATACCAGGCACTCTCGAAACTGGCGCTGGCATAAGAAGCTGGCGATATGGCTCACCAAGGATGAGCATATGACGCCTCAAATCTTGAGCCCGAACCACGAACGAGGGTACTACGTCGTCTGGGATGCGACCACGTGGCGGCGGGATCGGGTAGGTCGAATTGCAACTCTAAAATCTCGGCGTATACTGACAAATGAACGCAGAGGGAACTCACGCTGCACTACGGTGACCTGGATACGTCGCTGACGCAAGGCCCGGCATTGGCTTGAAGGCCAGCGGCGGCAACGAGAGGCTCGTATGGTTGATGAACGTGCGCAGTGCTTGGCGCGGTGACTTGATGAACGGTCTGCGGGGGTCAATCGGCGTTTCAGCCTCTACGAGTAGGGGCGGGGGACTGGCATTCTTGCGGCATTGGGAATGGGTTCGGCGGCCAGAAGGCCTTGGAATGCATTTTCGGGTTACACGGGGTAGACCTTCTGCCACAGGTGGAGCGGGCGTGGTCAGCGTGGGAATCGCTTAACTGCCACGGACGGAGATGGCGTGGTCAGCGGGGGAATCGCTTAAATGCTTCCCGATGAATGAAGTCACTGCCCTTGTCGAAGCCATGGCTGCGTGCATCAGGTCAACGTGTGGCGAGTTTTGATCATTGGGGGTGAAGCATTCGACGTGCTCGTAGCGATGGGAACCACACCCGGGCCGAGGCAACGGCCAGTTCAAGGTTTAAGCAACAACGCTGAAGCGAGCAGGTACGGGGACTGATGCGTTGGGACCGTCGTCATATGTCCATCTCAACGCTTGACGCCCCTGTCGCGTGAGGTAGCGATGGCCTGGCGTGGGGCGGTTTAGCCGAGGTTCCACCATGGGTTTTATACGGAGCGTCCCGCGCTGGACCATGGCGGTAACCTTGAGTACACGTCAACCTCGACCACTCCAGCTATCGCTGCCAGCGACGAGCAGCCGAACCACGATCCCGCCGTATCGAGATCTGGGCGAACACGTACGCGCAATCGACTCATTCCTCGCTCGAAGCGCATCACACCCAGCGTCGCAGCGTATAGGAGCGCGACATCGCGGCGCATCGGTCCGTCGAGGAACGGGAACGTGACGGCGGGAGCGGCTTCGCAGGAGACATCATGTCGGACGACCAGATCTCACTGCCGTACCTGGCAGTCATCCTGGTGGTGTCGGGCCTGATTATACGGTATCTGTTCTTCTCAGGGCCGCCGGTCCCGAGAGCGACGAGGTCGCCCGAGGCGTTCCTGCGATCCCGGGAGGCGGCCGTGGAGAGGATACAGCAAATGTTCCCGCAAGCGGAGAGGAGAAGCATCCTATGGGATCTGCAGCGCAACGGCGGCAACATTCAAAACACGACGGAGCGCATCCTAGCCGGGCGCTTGGAAACGGTATGTCCCCATTACAAGACGGCCCCCATGCAGCGCGACGAGGGCGAGCGACTGACAGACGTTTGGTTGCCAGCCCCCGGTTACCTTCCAGCCGCCCCCTCCGCCCGGACAAGCGGCGTCGAGCTCGAGCTCCGCTTCGGTGACGAGACAGCCCGAGAAGCCGGCGCAACCGGACCTGATCTCGCGGTACAACCTCAAGGAGAAGATCCAGGCGGGGTCGCCTGCCGAGGATGCGGGGGACGCGGAGGCGGACAAGGCCAAGAAGAGCAAGGGGTGGAGCTCGAACCGCGACGAGCGGCAGGCGTCGCTGCAGCGGAGGCGGGATGAGATGATCCTCGCGGCCCGGCGCAAGATGGAGGCCAAGATCGCGGCCGAAAAGGCAACGCAGGTGGACTGAAAGGGGAAGAGGCGACGGCGGATGTCTGGAGGGTGGGGAGCATGCCATTTTTACCTAGTTAGCCGAAACGCAGCGATGTGTCGACAACGCAGTCCAGCAAGGACGTTGAAAGAAGCACGTGAAGGTATCCCTTGAGGCTGAATCTGGGGTCTCGCGATGCGAGATGCGGCGGGCGGGCGGAGCGAATACGAATACGCACGCATGGCGATTCTGGCATCCCCTGCGGCATGCTCTCTTCCAGGGCATTTGGCTTTAACTACACCAGGTGCCGTCTCCAGTGGGACGAAGATCGGCGAAACTACGATTCACATGCACGCGACGAAGGGGGGACGTCAGATGACGGCGCGGGCAGCTGTGGCTTGTGAGAGCCGGACGAGCCACAGCAGCCGTGAGAGGTCACTCAGCGGCCCTGCACATGTTTCCCCGCTCGAAGTCATGATGGCAGCTCGAAGTGGCGTTTCTGACTGAAGGGAGACATAGGCCAGCGCCCGAGATGTGAGATGCGACGAGTCGTGGGATTGGCTTTGCTTGCGAGAATGGTTGAGAGCGGGAGCTAGGATTCTGGTGCCTCGATGTGGAAGCTCCCACCCCCGCACGACGGGCGGGACAAGTTTGGCAGTACTGCCGGCGACGCTCCCCGGATTATCAAGGGTACCCTGATGGGACAAGTTGATTATTCTTTGCGCCTATGCTATCCCGAGTCGCTGTTTGTTGCATGAAGACTATCGTCTTAGTCCCACGACAGAGGGCGAGGTAGGTAGTATGTACAGTAACCTGCAGGAAGAGCCCTAGTTCGCCAACGGAGCGGACCGCGAATTGATTGTAATGTTGGAGTTCATCTCCAAGTTTTTTTCATAGACGAAGAATTAATTTCTTGGCCCCTGGAGCGCATGGCTAGTTTCATCTTTGCGACGAGCAATGTCGGCGACGGTCGTCTTGTGTTGCAGAAGCCGGTCGGCTGTACTCGTATGGCGCTGAGGCGGGAACATCCTTTGCACGGGTGTCTTCGACGTCCCGCCTGGTGTGGCCTGGACAGACGGGCGGCCACACGTGCTGCTAGGTACAGTCGGGGTGGAGCGGCCGCCTCTGTGGCCACTGAACTCGCCCGACGTCACAGTCCTGGCTGGGCACTGCAGTGATTCTCGCCCGTACCCAGAGTCTCCATCCCGCCCAGTTCACCTAGACGGCCCCGAGCCCCGCCCCTCACCCGCCACACAGGGCTGGCTGCGTTGGGCTGATGGACTGGACCCTGGAAACGCCGCCCGCCGCGCGCTGCGTGACGAAGCCCAAGCTGCTGAGCCACAAGCACAGCCCGCCCCCCTGTCAGCGACCCTCTCGGCGCCCCGAGTCCCGTCTGCGACCCGCCCAGAGGCGTCGCCGCAGGGACGGGGACGCCCCACGATGCGGCTGGGGCTTTCCCAACCTCAGCTCGTGCCCACCTTCCAGCGCCCGTTTTGGCGCCCAGGCCAGGGCATTTCCAGTGAGCGCGGCCCTCTGCCATCGTCAAGAGTGGGCGGCGGGCAGCAGCTCAAACCCAGAACACAACAAAACCTCAACGAGCACCCACGCCCGCTCATCCTTCTGCCCGCCCCGACCACATCGCACAGCAACGTAGCGCACTCGCTCGGAACACGGCTTGCGTTGCCTTGAATTTGGACACTGCACTTTCCTGCGACGCTTGCCCCCCGCCGGGCTCACCGTGCAGCTGACGTCACTTGGGTGAGTCCTGAGTTCTTTCCTCTGGATGCAAGCTTCGCGAGCGTGCACTTTGCGTGTCGACTGCGCTGTTGAGCCAACCCCGACACGAGGCAGCCCTGCCATGCCTTGGTCGTCTATGCTTCCTCCGGCTGTTCGCATCTAGCCGATGCTAATTTTTTCACCTCTTCCGCCTCGAGGATCTTATTTTCCTTCACAAAAGCGCAAGACTGGCTGGCTGGCTGCATCGTGACGCGATGATTAACTGAGCTTGCTAGCTTCACAACGCCTCACACTGTCCATCGCCTACGTCCTCGATTGCTAACTCTGCAAGATTAAGCGACGGACCTTCGGCATAGCGACCCTACGACCTCACGTTTGCCCATCTTCGAGCCTCGCGCCCGCGTGCACCCTTCGCCAGACGTCGTTCGAGTCGGCACGACCAACCCAGCGCGCGGAGGCCGCAGGCATTCCGCAAGCTCGGGCCCCGAGCGCTGCAAAAGCTCTCAATTTCGCTTCCCTGATATGGTGCTCGACACGACATCTCCCTGACACTACGCCAACTCGTCGAGATATCCCGTTCCTGGGGACCGGTCATCGCGATGGCTCCCACCAGGGACTATTACGCCGACCTGGAGCTGCCCACGACGGCAGACGTTACCGAGGTCAAGAAGCAATTCAGAAAACTAGGTAAGGACAAGTTCTCGCCCAGCAAGGCTCGCCGTGCTGACTCTGCTACAGCGCTCAAGTACCACCCCGATCGTAATCCTGGCAAAGAGCAGGAAGTCAACTCCAAGTTCCAAATCATCCAATCCGCCCACGAGGTCCTTTCCGACCCTCAGCAAAAGGCCAAATACGATGCGACGCTCAGCCGAACAAACAGGGTGGGCGCTTCGGGCGTCAAGGGCAACCCGTGGGCGAACGTGAGCCAGCAGTTTCCGACTCCTCCTCGCCGCAACACCGCGGCACGGAACGCGACGTCGGGAGCACAGCGATGGCAGACTCGGTTCTCAAACGGTGTCCCTCCCACGGCCAAGCAGGGAGCCGCAGCCGACCCCGAGGCGAAGAAGAATGCCGCTCGAGCTTTTGAGAACATGCGCAAGAGCCAGTCCCGGGGGGGCGCCAAGAGCGCCCAGAAAGAACCTCGCCCATCGCAGCCTCCTCCACCACCACCTCGAACTGAGACGGCCAGACAGCGGGCGGAAGCCTCGTTTGGGGCGAGGAAAACTGGATACCAGCCACGCGCGGCCATGCCTGGAGATGAGCCCCCGGTCTCTGCTGCCAGCTACTACACGAGGATGAACGCAGACCAGCGACAGCCACCGCCACCTCCTCCCAGGCAGCCCCAGGATGGTCCAATGCCCGACCCTCTTAGCCAGTTCCGAGACCGGGATGCCTATGCGGACGCCAGACAGAGCACGCCATACACGTCGCACGGCGGCGAGAAGACAAATCCGTTCGACGGCGTGCCTCTAGGCCGCGCCAAGAGCTCCAGGGAATCATATCACAGGGAGGAGCCGTCCAACTCGGATGATGGGACTGCCGGTTCCCATAAGAACCGCAGCTCTAGCGTCCCCGAATCTGGTCTCCATACCCCCCAGGATGACGCTCATCCAACATACACGGCCGGCGAGACAAGCGATACGTCTTTTAGAGCCAGGGCCAATGCCAGCAACCTTTATGAGAGCCACGACCCAGCTTCAGGTGCTGCGAACCGTGAGTTTTGCCCTATACCGCGTCAGAACATGATCACTAACACTCTCGCTAGAAGCCGGGCCCCCAGACCAGGGCGCCAGCGGTCCATCCTTGTATGCCACTCCTTCTGATTTGCCATCATCCGCGCGTTCTTCGTTTCGAATTTTCGACAGCAAATATCCGCGATCTTTGAATTCCCGCGTACGGCCCTTTCATGAGTATGAGACGGACCAGGACGTCAAGCCCGGTGAAGTCAATTGCCACAATCTGGCTTCTAGTGGAGACCAGGAAAGCTTCCAAAACCTCACTCCTTTCGAGTTGCGACAGCACCTGCTGCTCGATCACTTGATAAAGAACAAGGAGGCTGGTAATTCGCCGGAGAAAGAGAAGACGCATGCTCCCAGCTCTATTCCAGATTCGATTGATTCAAAGGACTCTGCTGACCGGACTCTTATTGGTAGCTTTAACTTTCCAGTGGGTGATGGCACTACTGAGCAGACGTCGCCGTCTACAGGCCAGAACCCGTTTGCCAAGAGCAGCGTTGATGACATCAATACGCAGTTTGTCAACGACGAAGGGGCAAACGCGTGGCAGTTCAGTGCCGGCAGTGGGGAGCCACAGGAGGGACACCCTTCTAGCCGCCCTTCGTCAGGCGGCCGAGGCACGCGCCGCTCGCCGTTGAAGCGGCCGTCGATGCGACGACCCGAACCTCCTGCCCCTGAAGCGCAGGCAGAGACGCAACCAACGGGGTTCAACGCCGATGCATGGAATGACCAATTTGGTCCGCAGGCATTTGTCCCGCAGCCGACGCCCGGCAATTCCGCCTCACCAACGCGCCGTGCAAACTCTAAGAAGGTCAAAGCCAGGCCAACGGCGGGTAGTGCAGCCGTTGTCGACGAAGACAGCAGCGAAGGTGAGACGTACGAATGGCGCGGCCGCGGCGCCGGGACGAAACAGGCGCCGGTAGACAGCCCTCAGGCCATGGACATCGACTCGCCACCGACGGTACCAACAGCCGCATCGAGCGACTCCAACAGCGCACGCAACATACCCGTTGAGCCCACACGGCCTGAGTGGCGGCCTGGAAATGTTGACGCCGTGGCCGGAGATGGCAAACCTCAACGACCGGAGAAGATCCCTTTGGATCCGAACACGATGGGATCAGAGGACAGCGAGGATATCCGCGCTAGCTTTGCGGATTTGAAGAATGTGGCCCCATTTGCTCACGAGCAATCCGGCCTGCGGTCCTTGGACGACCTCAAAGACAGCCTACCATTTGAGAGCAAGGCATCGGAAGAGCTCCCGATTAAGAAGCCCAAGGCCCCGCCTCTTGACTTCCCATCGCCTCCTGAGGCGCCACGGCTGCCACCGACGGTGGCTATTGAGGGGATGAAGCCGAATGCAGCTTCTTGGAGCAAGTATCTTGAAGACTTTGAGATTTACCTGCGACAGTGGGACAGCTTCAACGGACAGGTAGTCGACCACTTTGCCACGCGCAAGTCGAACATTTCTTCCATCAGAGCCGCCAAGGGCTACTCCTTCTTGGGTGCTCGCAGCGACAGCGACATTCAGAGTTATATGCAGTGGGTTCAGCAGGACAATTACGTTCGACAGCGGTGGAGTGCCGCTTGCGAGGAGCATGAGAAGCGACTCCGCGAGTTCATGGCGTTCAGAGAGAAGATGAAATAGGGCGCTAGATCCACGATTATTGAGCGAAAGGGCGGACGGCGTGCATTTGCGGTGCTTTAATCACAACAAGATGGATACCCATATTACGGCTACGACGACTGCATCTTGTTTGGAGTTGGCGGGGTTCTCGGCGAAGGGAAGGGGGTCATTTTTAAGCCCGGTGCGCAGCATACTTTGACAGACAGCGCAAGGCGTTGTTAGGGCGAAGAGTGTTGCGTGGTTGTACAGCGAAGACATGTATATTGTCTGTTGGAGAGTTGGAGCACGGGGAGAGATGTCGCGGTCTCAGACTAGACAAGACAAGGAACGAACTGGAGAATGGAAGAGGGGCGCTGCAGGGCTCAGTTTCTATTCAGGGGCTGGGTCCGCTTGGATCTGGGGAGGTGCATAACGAGCAACACGGCTGCCGCGATAGAACAAGCGATCTGGTTGCCACGGGGCAGTGCGAGTGGCCATGTTGGCCATGGCGTTGATTAAATGTATGTAAGAATTCCGTCTCGGAGCTTTACTGAAAGCTGTCATTGCACCACGCAGCTGGCACCGTCTCTGCGATACTAGTGATCTAGTGATAGGGACCCGAAGCCTTCCAAGAGTTATCTTTTATGCAAGGGTCTTTGATCTTGATCTTCGTGGCGGCCCTTCCTGCGGTATCTTGCAATGGCCTTGATGTTGCAGCTCATGCGAACCCGACATAGGGTTGGACGCCTGCACCTGTTTGCAGGTGTGGCCCTGATTGGGAGTGCGTACCTCGTACGGACCAGTGACAACATGTCGGAAACGTGTTTGTAGGGTAGAGCGCCCGTAGGGTGCCTATTGCGTTCGTTTGGTTTCTCTTTGTTGCGTGAGAGCTTGACAGGCAGCTGTCTCTCAGGTGGCGTTGCTCTGCCCGAAGGATCACTTGGTGGAGGAAGAATGCCCAAGTTCACTATATCAGGGTCGATCTCGTGCGCACAGCTCAGGAGGTTCGGGTGACTTATGATGAACAGCTGGCGCCGAGTGAACAGCGGCTGCGAGAACATGCCCGGCAACGTAGGTGCCGTGTCAACCACGCCCCCTTTCGCCGCGCACCTGGCAGACCTCTTGTTCAGTCGGGATGCCGCAATCAGTAGCACCGTTCGCCCAGAGTACAAAAGGCAGCTTTCCTTCTCCCTCCTCGTTCCCGCGGGTTACTTCCTCTGCACACCTTCACAGCTCTCCCACGCACCACCACACACTCAACGCCTTGCAACTCTCCTCCTTCTGGTCACTGCACGTTTCACGTTGCACACGCAATATCACAAGCCCACAACTGCATACACACTGCATTTATTGTGCAGTAACCCCTTCTATTTCAACCTCCTTTATCGCGTCAGCGATAATCCATCTGGGAAAAAAGAACCCTCAACGTCGGCTTCTGTTTCCGCAGCCAACATGTCGGACGTTGAAGCCAACGCCACTCCCACCAAGCCCTCCTCCGCCTGGACCGAGGAAGCCAAGGTACGTCGGTCGACTCTCTCTTCTCATCGAACATTTGTGTTTCCTTCCCGTACCCCCCTATTCAGCCTTGAAATAGAGCAGGGGAGGGCTGACAACGCATGCCACACTCGCAGGTAGAGTTGCTGCTCCGCATCATCGTCCAGCTCCGCGAGGACGGCAAAAACGTCAACTGGTCGCGCGTCAACATGCCCGGCCGCACCCTCAAGAGCATGCAGAACATGTGGACCAAGTTCAACAAGGAGATTGCGGAGCTCAAGAACGAGGAGGGCGGTGCTGGCAGTGATGGCGCAAAGGCCGCGACTCCGACCCGAGCCAAGGCGACTCGTGAGTTTAACTGATCTTGCCGCTGATGGCCGTCAGCATCTAGCTGTAGCTACGGAGCACACCCACTGACGCTGCTTTGTAACTTGTAGCACGCGGCCGTGGTCGTCCCAAGAAGTCCGAGCCCATTGTGGCTCCCGGCGCCAGCGACGACGAGGAGGAGACCAAGGTCACCCCCAAGAAGCGCGGCATGGGTATGTGACCTAAACTTGATCGTCTCCAGCTCCTGAAGCGACTCTAACCTCTACGAAAGGTCGTGCTGCTGCCAATACCGCCTCCAAGAGGATCAAGAAGGACGCCGACGAGGACACCGACGAGCTCGTCAAGAAGTCCGAATCTGATATCGAGGAGAACGGCGGGATCTAAACCCACCACTTTCCGCCTTCCTCGCCAGAGCACGGCGATGGGAGTAGATACAGTGTCGGCCAGATGCCGACCTTTGCTTTGCGTTTTACGATTTTGCTTCGGTGTTGGTACATTACGCTGAGGACCTCGTCGTATTGTGCTTGGTCCTAGGGATGGATTTGGGGAAAGTTGTCATGGTCATGGCATCATGGTGCGGCGTTTCGGACGACAAGGGGCGAGTCTTTTCAGTCTTGACTGCTTTTCTCGAGGGGGATAGGGTGAGATATTTCTCTCGTGGTAGGGCGGCCAGACGCCAGTAATAACGGATTTTGTGTTCTAGCGATGACCCGTTTGTGTCTTGTGCTTCGTAGTATTCACGCGTAGGAGCGGTGCGACGCCGGCCGAGAGTTCTACAAGGCTGTTCCCTGTTTGCACTTCCGGTTCGCGGTGTGACTGATGCAGGACCAGCCCGACGCCAAGATGGGTTGGGAAGTACGAACAATGAATCGCGGCCGTGACCACATGGGCATTTGGTGACTCTTGCCATCCTCCTTGTTTGCGGAATCCTGGTGTTGGGCTGTTACAAAGACTTGCATCCGCGCCGGGTGCAGGGTGCGCGAGGGCAGCGGCAGGGCGAGAGACTGAAGGGGACTGGAGTCGGAGACTGGGACCACCGCATGGATGTTCACGTGAAGACGAGACAAAGACAAAAGACGAGACGAGACGCGACAAAGGGTGGCTGCCGGGACGTCAACTCGTCCAGCCCGGCATAAAGTGCCCCCATGACACGCGCGGATCAGTGCGTTGCCGAGCCGCATCGACCGCCCGAGAAGAGTGCGTGCTCTGGCAGACGGTGAGGGAGAGACGACGACCAGGTGCACGTAGTAAGTACAAGCTCGTAATTTGTAGTGGTGGTGGTGGTGATGGTGATGGTGCCGCTGCTAGTAAATGAATGGGTGGTGGTTGAGGGTGCAGCCACCCACCACGGCAGGGTGAGACATGCAGCCGCGCTTGAAGACGGGCGGCGAACCGGACACGAACAGGATGTATGGCAAGGCCGGTTGCCAAAACGATCACGCTGCCTGCTAAGCTCATACATGTGTCGAGTCGGCGAGGGCCGGCAAGACTGGTGACTGGCCAGAGCTGCTTAGCCACAGGGATGTTGCAGAAGGGAATAATCGAGATGTCCCGTCGATACACCAGCGGCAGACGTTGCTGCAAGTGCCTGCGGACGAACTGCTGCCGGGCAGGACACGGCAGGGCAGAGACGAGACGGGGCGCGGGTGGCCATCCATCCATCCATCCAGGTGCATCCGCCCATCCATCCACCTCTCTCGTCTGACGCTGACGCGGTGGCCGTGACGCCTGATTTTATTTTGTCAATCCATGGCAGACAGCGGCCAAGGTGCCGGGTGCCTGGGGCGCAAAGTCGTACGGCAGGCGGTGAGATTGGTGGCGTGAATGCATCACTGTCGGTGTCAAGTCAGTTCCAGGTTCCATGACGGCCTGTCGCTCTCAAGGTTCTTTGTCGCGGGTATTACATAACCACGCGACGTTGGCAGTGCGTGCTGCAGCGCTGCGCAGCCGCCTGACAGGTGCCCGTCCGTCATCCAGTGTTTGCGGCCTCTGAGTGCCCTGAGCTGCCATCGATTCAGACGGCATCCATTCATCCATCACCAGTGCAGGCGCGGACGGGACGGGAGTTCCACTTCATGCAGTGCGCGCAGCTGGAGCTACTGTCACTACAGCGGGTGGAACCACCTGGAAGCACGGCAAACCAAGAGCCCGGGCACCCACTCAGCACTCGTCGCTCGACCTCTCAGCTGCCTGGGGACCCAAAAAAAAAAAAAGAGAAGCGCCCCCAGAGGACACACGGTGCTGGTGGGCCACCCAAGACCCCCATCATCGCCGCCGCCGCCGCCCGCCAGGCACCTCGACGCTTGCAGGAGGGCTGCAATTTCCATCCTGCTGATCCACCCCAAAGTCGCATCCGCCTGCTCGCCTCTCCCAACGACACATCACATGGACCGCCTGTCCATCCACCATCCCTCGTCGTCTCCCATCGCGCAGCGCCTCTAGCCCCCTCCGGCGACAGCCTCTTCCCCCGTGCGAACCGCGATCCGCACCCATTTCCTCCCGACGTCTGGCTGCGCTGCGACCCTCCGTCGCGCTGACAAAGGCCCGTCGTCACGAGCCCGCAAGGCTGCGCGGCAGGACCAGGCTTTCCAGGTTGCTCTAAGGCGCCTTTGACGTCTGTCTTGCCACGGACGCTGTGCGTGTGTGTGCCGCGTCGTCGAGTATCGATAGACGGCCGACCGCCTTACTGCTCACGCCGCAATACATAGAAGGCGGCGCAACAGCCTCCCTCCCCGATTCTCCGCGACGACTTCTCCCTGCATCATCTACGAGAGCCGCCTTTGCGAACCTCCCTCCGAACTCCGCCATCATGAACGGCACACGAAGGTCGGCCGCGGCCAAGAGAAAGGCTGCGGCCTCGCCTGACCAGCCGCCGCCAGCCAAGAGGGCGATTAACGGCAAGTTTTCCGCCGACGACAACACTCCCGATGTCGAAATCGCAGACTACGACGACGAGTCGGTCCTCAGCGACGACATGCATCTCCACGCGCCACCCATGTACATTGGCACGCCCGGCAGCTTGGGCGAGTGGCAGGATACCATCCAAAAGGTGGTTCGCAACGTCGTCGCCATCCGCTTCTGCCAGACGTGCTCCTTCGATACCGATTCTGCCTTGACGAGCGAGGCGACAGGCTTCGTCGTCGACTCAGAGCGAGGGTATGTGAAAACTTTATCTGTCGGCGCGTCTGGCTGGTCTACTCTTTTGCTAACCTAGCTCTGTTCTGTAGATACATTATGACGAACCGCCACGTCGTCGGTTCTGGTCCGTTTTGGGGCCACTGCGTCTTCGACAACCACGAGGAAGTCGACTGTTACCCGGTATATCGCGACCCTGTCCACGACTTTGGCATCCTTCGCTACGACCCCAAGGCCATCAAGTATATGCACGTCGATGGTCTCGACTTGAGCCCCGACCAGGCCAAAGGTAGAGCTCTCTCGGCCCCTACCCGTGTGCTCTATAGCCGCAAACTAACCATACCCTCCACAGTGGGCGTCGAGATTCGAGTGGTCGGCAACGATGCCGGTGAGAAACTTAGTATCCTCTCTGGTGTCATCAGCCGACTAGACCGAAATGCTCCTGAATACGGCGAGGGCTACAGCGACTTCAACACGTGTTACTATCAGGCCAATGCCGCTGCCAGCGGCGGTAGCTCCGGCAGTCCCGTCGTCAGCAAGGATGGTTCTGCCGTCGCGCTGCAGGCCGGCGGCCGTTCCGACGGCGCGTCTACCGACTACTTTCTTCCCCTGGACCGGCCCCTTCGTGCCCTTCAGTGCATCCAGCAGGGCAAGCCCGTCACCCGTGGCGACATCCAGTGCCAGTTTCTTCTGAAGCCTTTCGACGAGTGTCGCAGGTTAGGATTGAGTCCGCAATGGGAGGCAGCAATGCGGGAAGCGTTTCCTGACGAGACAAACATGCTAGTGGCCGAGATTGTACTACCCGACGGGCCTTCGCATAACAAGATTGAGGAAGGCGATGTCCTGGTCAAGGTGAACGGAGAGCTCATCACACAGTTTATTCGCCTCGATGACATCCTCGACTCCAATGTCGGCAAGCCCATCAAGGTGCAGCTGCAGCGAGGCGGCCAAGACGTCGAAGTCGAGATCGAGGTCGGCGACCTTCACCAAATCACCCCTGACCGCTTCGTCACCGTTGCCGGCGCCAGTTTCCACGACCTCTCGTATCAGCAGGCCCGGCTATATGCCGTGGCCGTCAAGGGCGTCTACGTGTGCGAGTCGGCGGGCTCCTTCCGGTTCGACAACACAGACAACGGCTGGATCGTTCAGACAGTCGACCACAAGAAGGTGCCGGACCTGGCCACCTTTATCAACGTCATGAAGGACATTCCAGACAAGGCGAGGATTGTGGTCACGTACAAGCATCTGCGCGACCTGCACACGCTAAACACGACCGTCATCTACGTGGACCGACACTGGTCTTCCAAGATGAAGATGGCCATCCGTAACGACGAGACGGGACTGTGGGACTTCAAGGACCTCGGCGACCCTCTTCCTCCCGTGCCTCCCGTGCGGCGATCCGCCTCCTTCATCGAATTGGATCACATGCCGCACCCGGGCATCGCGGACCTGATCAAGAGCTTCGTCCATGTCAACTGCACCATGCCCGTCAAGCTTGACGGGTTTCCTAAGAATCGCAGGTGGGGAATGGGCCTGGTGATTGATGCCGACAAGGGCCTCGTTCTCATCTCGCGCGCCGTCGTCCCGTACGACCTGTGCGACATCACGGTGACGATTGCCGACTCCATCATCGTCGAGGGCAAAGTCATCTTCCTGCACCCGCTCCAGAACTACGCCATCATCAAGTACGACCCGTCCCTCGTGGACGCGCCGGTCAAGAGCGCGAGGCTCAGCAGCGAGCACCTGACGCAGGGCGCCAAGACGTATTTTCTCGGATACAATAGAATTGGGCGTGTCGTGCACGGCTCGACCACCGTCACCGAGATCACGGCCGTGGCCATCCCGGCCAACTCGGGCGCGCCGCGCTACCGCGCCGTCAATGTTGACGCCATTACCATTGACAGCAACCTCGGATCGACGTGCAACAGCGGCGTGCTCGTGGCGCCCGACGGCACGGTGCAGGCGCTGTGGCTCAACTACCTGGGTGAGCGGTCGCCCTGCAGCCAGCGCGACGAAGAGTACTACCTCGGCCTGGGCACGCCCACGCTGCTGCCCGTCATCTCGACGGTGCAGAAGGGGGAGACGCCGCAGCTGCGCATGCTGTCTGTCGAGCTACGGTCCGTGCAGATGTCGCAGGCGCGCGTCATGGGCGTGTCGGACGAGTGGATCAAGAAGGTGACGCAGGCCAACCGCTCGCACCACCAGCTCTTCATGGTCAGCAAGAGGACGTTTGAGCGCGGGGAGCACCCCGTGAGCCTCCTCGAGGGCGACATCGTCCTGAAGCTCAACGGCAAGATCTGCACGACGATTTCGGACTTTGACGTCATGTACACGAGCGACGTGCTGGACGCCGTCATCGTGCGAGAGTGCGAGGAGATGGAGCTGCAGCTGCCGACGGTGGCGGCCAAGGACATGGAGACGGATCACGCCGTGTCGTTTTGCGGCGCCGTCCTGCACCGCCCGCACCAGGCCGTCCGCCAGCAGATCAGCAAGCTGCACAGCGAGGTGTACGTGTCGAGCCGCATCCGCGGATCGCCGGCGTACCAGTATGGTGTGGCGCCAACCAACTTCATCACGCACGTCAACGGGAAGCCGACCCCTGACCTGGAATCCTTCATCGCCGCGACGCGGAAGATTCCCGACAATACCTGTATGTTGAACCCCGTTGGACTTGTGTGTTTGAGTTGTGCTAACTGTGTGTACAGACTTCCGCCTCAAGGCAGTGACATTTGACAGCGTGCCGTGGGTCATCACGATGAAGAAGAATGACCACTACTTCCCGACGATGGAGTGGATCAAGGACGACAGCGCGTCGTGCGGATGGCGACGCGTCACGTACGAGGGCTCCGAGGTGTTCCAGGGCGAGGCGACGGACGGCATCCCGCCGGTCGGCGAGGAGGCCGAGGAGGAGTAGGCCAGGCCGGTACTCGGCCGGGCACTTGTGTTACATTTTTGGGCTGTTTTGGGCTTGCGGCATGGGACCGGGCGTTATGGCTATGAAGGATCTCGACTTTGACTTTCTGGAGCTATCCAGCGGCTGTGGCCTGCACGGTGTTTTGGCGGAACTGGAAGGATACCGGCAGCCTCAGCGAGGGCCCAACTCTATGTGCGTGCTCACCATGACAGAGATTTTATAGACAGGCATCGAGGACTCCGTCTGCGACGGGGCCCGCGTAAATACTAGGACGTTGTTATGCGCCGAATTGTCCGTGGTTGGTGCGTTGACGGCGACAGTTGACCAACCTGCCGCTGAGGTTCCAGTGACGCTCCAAGACAAGGCACACACGGGGCCACCGGCTACTGTTACTCACCAGTCTGTAAAATGCATTATACCTCGATACTCACATTAGCTTGTGACACTCTGCTGCAAGCTTCCTATCGTCAGCTGGAAACAGCTGCTCGTCTAGGCTGATACTCAGAAAAGACCGTCTCCAGAGCTCCCAGTGCTCGGGCATTGTAGCTTCAAAGCTAGACTGGCCACCGTACCTGGCTACCTCATCTGGCTGTAGCTCTTGCTTCAACTGCACCCCAGCTTCTGCCAGCCAAGTATATGCGCCCCTGATGAAAACCCCCAACCCCGGCCGGCGCCCCTGCACCAAGTTCAGCCATGCATAACCCCAATGGCGGGTAACGCCGCCCAAACCACGGCGATACATCTGAGCCTCTGCCGCCGCGACCGATTCCTCATGGTGGCACAGCTCACTCTTCCTCGCCTCCGATAGGGGCATTTCGGTCTTCTCCCAGCCGTCTAGTCCATGCATGTGAAGCCTGTACAAGTCGGCCCACATGGGGCCAAAGTTTGGCAGCCGCGGCCAGTCAATCCGCTCTGAAGGCGGGAGCTGCTGGATGGCTTCTAGGAGGTCGAGGAGTTGGGTGCGGTGGTCGGTGCCCAGCTCGACGAGCGCTTCGCAGAGGAGTCCCATGAGGCGGTGGACGGCGGCGGCGGGGTCGGGTTCGCGCAGGCCGGGTGCGGTGATGGACGCTGCGGCTTGCTGGGCTGTTATTTTGGCGCCGAGAAAGGCGCCCAGGGCGGTGCCCTCGTCAGGGTGGCATCCGTCGCCGAGATCGAGGGCATGTTGGGTGGGTGCAAGGCGGGATTCGATGAAGTTTGCTATCGTCGACATTTCCCAGGTTCCAAGTCAAAGAAAAAGTCTTGTCAGCGAACTCGTATACTCGACGATCCGCTGGTTGAAGTACTGATGTATTTATCATCAACCACATGGCCACAAGAAACGCTAGGCAGGTGAATCAGCCGCTAGCATCGACGGCGTCTTCCCTCACATGACATTCATTGCTCTACTGTCCTGTTGGCAGCTTTCATCGTCGCCAGTCGAGCAGTCAGTCAGGTTGATGGCCAAGGGGAGCCTGGCGGGCTGGACGGGAGCTTGGATGCCTGGATAGGTGGGTAGGACAGGGAGCTCTGGTGGGGCCCTGGGCGGCTGCGCTTCCGATGGAGCCCCGCAGTGACGCCGCCCTCCTCCACTGTCCTACACCAGCCAGACGTCGCACGTCGGACCCTCCATCATGCGCGGGAGCTTCATTGACGTCTGCCTTGCGGCCCATTCGTAAGCCTCCCTCCCGACCTCGTCCCTCGTCTCAGGAGCGCTCGCGAGCAGACAACCTCTCCTCCTGCACGCAACAACAAAGCCTCTCAACATGCCTCCGCAGGCGTCGCTCGTGGTAAGTAACAAGCAGTCCAGTTCGCGCATCCCGCAATACCCCGCCATCGTCGCAACCTCCATCACAGCCCCCCCAAGTGACGCAACCAGTTGGCTTGCTGACACCGCACCGCGCCGCGCCGCGGCCAACACAGACCAAGCTCAAGGTGCAGCTCAAGCTGGCCATCGCGCGGCTGCGCATGGTCCAGCAGCGCGACGAGCAGCTCGGCAAGACGCACCGGCGCGCCATGGCGCAGCTCCTCGAGGCCGGCAAGATCGACTCGGCCACGATACGCGTCGAGAGCATCATCCGCGCCGACATCACGAGCGAGCTTCACGAGATGCTCGAGTTGTACTGCGAGCTGCTGCTGGCGCGCGCGGGCTTGCTCGAGGGCCCCGTGTGCGACCCGGGACTCGAGGAGGCCGTCAAGAGCATCGTATACGCCGCGCCCAAGACGGAGATCAAGGAGCTGGCCACCGTGCGCCTGCTGCTGGCCGAAAAGTACGGCAAGGAGTTTGTCCTCGAGGCCATGGACAATACGGATGGAAAGGTGAACCCCAAGGTGGTCAAGAAGCTAAGCGTCGAGCCCCCGCGGCAGGAGCTCGTCCAGGGGTACCTCGAGGAGATTGCCAAGGCGTACGGCGTGGACTGGCCGAAGCGGGAGGCGGCAACGCCCCCGCCGCCGGACCTGATGGAAGTGGACGAGGACGGCGCCGAGGACGACGACGACAACCCCTCGGGCGGACAGGCGCAAAAGGCGCTCGAGGCGCCGCTGGTGGCGGACCAGGCGCAGACGCCGGCGCAGCGCAAAGCGTCGCGCGGCGAGGAGGAGCTGAGCCGGGCGACGAACCCGCCGCGGGGCCAGCTCGGCGGGCCACGGAGCCCCGTGACGGTGACGCCCCCGCGCATGACGACGGACAACGTGCACCCCAAGGTGACGCTGGGGTCTGTGGAGCTCAAGCCCAACAAGAAGATGGAGAACGCGGCGACGGCGTCGTCGCGGAGGACAGCGGGCAAGGAGCCGGAGGGGTCGGTGCCGGACATAAGCGATCTGGAGAGGCGGTTCGCGGCGCTCAAGAAGAGGTGATGAGATGATATGGGGGAGCTAGCTGTCTGTCATGGTGTTCTTGTCTTCTCCTTTTGCTTACTCTACCTCGATGCGCAACGGGCTCAGACACAAAGCGGCTGAATTTCCAAACATTAATTCACACTTTCGTCCAACGCGTTTAGACTTAACCGCTTTCGTGAGTCGGGCCCTGAACACGCCTCTGGGAGGCTGGGTAGTTGTCCTGGTGCGTCGCTGGCAGGCCGGTCGTTCCCCAGCAACGGCCAGCTGCGAACGGCCCGGCGGCCTGAACAGAGCGAGGGTCGGTCCCTTGCACGCGTTCGCAGGTACTTAAACCCATCTTCCTTTGTTGTTCTTTTGTTTTGAATTTTCCCACCTTCAACTTCCCTCCCGCCGCTCACCCTCATTCTCTCGCCTCTTCATACCAACCCTCGCAATGTCTTGGCCGCCTGCGCTCGACTCGGAGGAGCAGATGCTCCTCAACGCGCGTCAGATCCTCGGCATTACCACCCTGGAGGACCTCTCTGACCTGGTCTACGTGGATCAAACGACCTTCGAGGACACCATCACCAGCGCGCCACAGCGCCTCTCCCACGCGAGCATCGCATCACTCTCCGCTGTCTGGCTTCAGTTGCAGGTCCGGGCCGAACGTACCGTTCCCGATGAGGAGGTCCTCAAGGCGTGGGCTTACTTCCTCTACGAATGTGGCTGCACTGAGCGCATGGCCGTCATGGCCTGGATGAACGCCTCTCTCAGCGCCTCGTGCAGATGGACCGAAGTCATGTCCCATGAGCGCGCGAGCAACATTCGCGCGGAAGTGGCGTGTGATATTCGCGCTCACTTCCAGACCCTCGTGCCGCACGTCCCCGAGGACGGCGCCGAGTCCATGCATCCCCTTCCCTCTCTCCGCCCCGTCACTGCCCCCTTTCATATCCCTCAGGGACAGCTTCACGGCAGCCATGGCTATGGCCATTCGGTGAGCAACGTTAGTCCCATGGTCGTAACCTGGGTCTTGACTCTGACGGATGAGGAGCCTCCCGAGGCGAACCAAGTTAAGGAAGAAGACGACGTTACCTGTGCGCGATGCCTCAATACAGGTACTTTAGCAACCCCCAATCACCACACGCGTTCAAAGGTTGGAAACTAACCGTGTCATTGTAGGCCACTCCACTGAGAGCTGCCCATACATGCCCCTGAGCGGCACCATCCACCCCGCGAATATCGGCAACGTCTCTCTCACTCAGGCCGGAAGCACGACGGACCTCACAGGCGTCGTTAACCACCCGAATCCTAACCCAACTACCCAAACCGGCGCCGCGATACCCGATGTGCCTTCTGCAGGGTCCGAGAATGGCCTGTCGACCTAGGACGACGTGAGTCCCACCGTGATTGCCCCTGTGCTGTCTTCCGGCTCGAGCTGCTAACGTGGGTAAAAAGGACATTGCCAATGCCCTGAAGCTGATGACGGAAGAATCAGAGGCGCTGCGACAGGCAGACGACTTCCTCGCGCGTCTCTCAGACGAACTGGAGCACAAGAAGCGAGCCCAAGCCTCCGAGGGAGGCGCCGCAACGTTTGGCCAGGGCCCGGAGCCGGCGCCCAAGAAACAGAAGAACGAGACGCACATGCCCGTCTTTGGCGAGAAGCTGGCCGAGTCGGCCCAGAACAAGCCCAAGCCCACTTTGGAGTTTGGCGCCTTTATCGCTCCGCAGGGAGCGGCGACTGCTGTCGAGGGCGGAGCGCCCGTGGCCTCGGATAGGCCGTACTATTCGAGCATCCAGGAGCTGTTCCGAGGCCGGGGCAATACCCCGGTCAACCAGGTGCGTCGACGCACGGCGCTCGAAATGTGGGAGGAGGACAACGCGGAGAGAGCCGCGGCGGCGGCGGCGGCGGCGGCGGCGGCGCAGGAGCAGGCCCGGGCCGCCAAGGAAGCGGACGCGGAGGCGGAGGAGGAAGGAGAGGCCAACTAAGGGGCCGGAAGAAGTGATGGCAGAGTCATTGTGCGACGCGATGGGACAAAGGTTCGGGTTCCAAGGGGTGGGGGAGGTGCAATCCTCCCGGTGGATGTACACTTGTTTCATGTCAGGATATTGAGAGAATTAAAGTGTGCGACCATATGATCCCCGGGTACGCCCAACGCCAGCCCATGATATCTCGTGAGTTATGTTTTCACCCCAGACGCCAAAAATCAAACCCCATAGACCCCCTTGCACAGTCCTGACACGCACGCACGCACGCCGGCCGCTACTCGAGCTTGTCGAGGTGCTCCAGGCGCGTCAGGACGACCTGCTTGCTCGTCTCCTCAATCTCGCCGGCGAGGAACACCTCGTCGAGGATGGCGTAGACCTTGTAGAAGTTGAAGACGAGGTCGAGCTCGCAGACGTTGCCGAAGAAGGCGTCGAGGACCTCGACGAAGAAGTGTATGGCCTCGAGGTAGGCGAGCTCGTTGTCGTTTGTGTCGACGCAGGCGCAGAAGAAGAGCCCCGCGTAGCGGCGGTAGACGATCTTGTTGTTGCGGAACTCGACAAAGTTGGACTGGTACTTTTGGTCGCGCGGGGCGACGAGCCGGTGGACCTCGCCCTTGAGCTTGATCTTTTGCTCGTCGCTGTAGGGGGCGTACCACTTGGCGAGCCGCGTCTTGCCCCTGTGTGTTGCGCGTGCGTGCGCACGATGTCAGCCAGAGGGGGTTTCCATCACCCCCGGGGGGGGGGGAGGCTTGGGGGAATTGGGGCGGGATGGGATTGGGATGATGTCGGGGTTTTCACTGACTGTCGGTTCTGGATGAGGATAAAGGACAGCATCGTGAGGGCGGACGGGCGAAGCCGGTGCGTGGGTGGCGGCGGTTGCGATCTGGGGGGGATGAGGTTCGTGATGGTGGCCGTTGCGACAACAAGGGGCGTTGGATTGATGTCGTCGGGCGGTTGCTGGCGCGGATGTCGCGGGGCAGTCTGCGGGCTGCCGTGCCCGTCATTGGCTGGGTGCGTTTCAGTGCTGCCCGCTGCCAACCGGACGCTGTAGCGGGCAACCTAAGCTGCGCATGGAGAATTGGACCTCCAGGGCTATCCATGGATGTAGGGAGCCGTCTTCAGTGGGGTTCCGTTGCGCTGCAGCTGGGCGGCTCCGTCAACCGGCCTGCAGCACCTACACCCACTGTACGTAGGTACCCACGGGCAGTCAGCGCCGTTGACGGCGGCTCGCATGTGGAATGCAACCGTTTGGCCCCCGCGACGTTCCTTTGTTTGACGTACAACGCGGCATGCAAGGGATCCAACCCTACTATTTAGAAAATAGAAGAGAATATAATTGAGAACGAATTGCTCACCGAGGTATTCTCAACCTGGCGGAGCAGCTGGCCGAGTCTATAATGACACAAGGCCCTTCGTACACTCGGAGGGAAAGTGCGAGTCGCGCGACCTGCCCGCCCACTTAGTCGACTTCCAGGTCCCCCTCCCCCCTCCACTTCCACGGCCGGAATCGCTCGCGCGCGCAAGAGGCGGCATCAAACTCTCACACGACCACTCCAACCTCACCATCCATCCCACCATCTCGACGCCGCACCGCAGCCGCCACTTCCTCGATCGGCGCTCTGGGGCTTCTTCGATTCGCATCGCGCGTCGGTTGCCCACCCACTTGTTCAATCAATCGACGACATGCCTCTGCCCCCGCCGCCGTGTCAGTCACGCTCGGCTGCTGCTCTCACCGGCGACTTTAAGTAACGTCGATTCGATCTGCATCTGCAAGTCGCGGAGCCGGGCGCAAGCAGAGGGAAAGCCGTCGCTGTCGTCGTCGAACCCGGCGTCCTCCTTGCTACCCACGACATCGCCCGCCAGCTTCGGCCGCTGAGATGGGAACGTCACCCGTGAACCTCTACCCGCCATGGCTCGCTCGAATCCGGTCAAGAGGTTCGCCGGCCTCCTCTGGGGCGACTGCCAGACCAAGGCCCCGTGGCAGCGCATCATCAAAAACTCCCTTGCCGCCTTCATCGCCGTCATCATCGCCATCCTCCCGCCGCTCAAGACCAAGTCCACCTTTCTGATCCCCATGATTGCCGTCTTCGCCAACCCCGGCCAGCGCATGGGCAGCATGATCGAGGCGCTTCTCATGATTCTCCTCGGGTCCTTGGTCGGCCTCGCGTGGTCGCTCCTGTCTTTGTATCTGTCGAGTCTCGTCGAGAATTCCAATCCTCCGGCGGCTTACACGATCCGCGCGCTTTTTCTCCTGACGACCACACTCATCCACGGCTACTTCCGGTCATCAAGTCCCCGCCTCTTTCTGTTCGTCTACTTTCTCATTGTCGAGTCGCTCTTGACGATTCAACTACCCTCGACTGCGACTACAACGCTCTTCACCACGATTTACGTGCCGACGCTGATTGGCGCAGGCGTCGCCCTCGTCGTTCATCTGGCCATTTTCCCCGAGTTCTCGAGCAGCTATCTGGGCTCGTCAACCATCGATACTCTGACGGACACGATGGAAACCTTGAACCGCGCGACCAATTGGTTCATAACGCCAGGAGGGGACGCCGAAGAATGCAAGGAGATGTGTGCTACCTTGACACGCAAGAGCTCCCGCGGCAAGCATGCGTCGAGATGGCAGAGGACGAGGCGCCGCATCACCGGGCTCCTGGCACAGCTACCAAGTCCGTTCAAGGCAACCAAAACGCCCTCCGCCTTTGTCGACATCCCTTGTCACCTCACGACTCTAGCTCAACTGACTGCGCAAAAAGCCAAGCTTCGAGCCCAACTCTCCCGTTGCAAGGCCGCCCAGAACGAAGTTAACTTTGAGATATCCATATCCGCCCTCCCACCCATCTCGATGAAGCCCATCAGCACCCAGCTCATGACAAGTGCCGTGCAAAACATCATCATCCTCATCGGAGCCTGCGAGAACAAGTTCATCGTACTTGGCAACGAAGAGGACGCCGAAGAGCCGATTATGGGTACCGAGCGGCCCTCCCGGCCGGTCACTCCAGACTTGACGCCCGACTCTGAGCCCACGACGCCTTTGTCGCGGCCAAAGTTTGATAAACAGAAGAGTTATGCGGACAGGATTGATAAGGTCAAGCCTGTCAAGGAACTCGAGACGGGCAGTGCCCCGCTACTCGAGTCGATCCTACAACACATCAAAGCGCCCGTGCTCGAGTTCCAGGTGTCCATGGACAACGCTGTTGCCTTGGTGGCGTCGTGTCTCGCCTACTGCTACGACGTGCCGACACTACCCTCGGGAGCTCCGGCTCCGCACGGAATACCCTTGGAAGAGATCGATTTACGGATCGACGAGTTTACCGGAGCCATTTCTCGTTTCGACAGAAGGTCGACCGACGAACTCAAGCGCGCCGCCATGGAGTCGGGAGAGTCTGTCGACCTGATGCCGCGTATGGAGACCTTCCTAGTATCATCTTTTCTGCTTGCATATCGCGACTCGGCGGCTCATGTCCTGGGGATGCTCCGCCACTCTCGCAATCTGGTTGACAAGAGACAGAGGCGCCACAACCGGTCACGGATCTGGATGCCTCACATCACTAGTCTCCGCCAGTGGCTCAGCACAGGAGGAGAGTCTGACGCCATGGTGCTTCCCGAGGGAGCGAAGAAAGCCGCTCGCACTGGCAAGGATTCTCGGTCAACGCCTCCCGCCAAGGATGAAGAACCGCCGCCTTATGATGAAGTTGGCCTGCGGTATCCAGGGGATGAAGAGACGGCTGCCACGAATGCCCCATCCGAAAAGCCAAGTAAGCCGAAAAAGTCGAAACGCCAGCGAAAAAGTCACAAGAAGTCACAAGATTCAGCAGACAAGAGCTGGTTAATGACTGTTCGAGCGTGCACCGCCGATGCGATCGAGTGGGCTCAGGACTCGGACGACCTGCACTATGCGGTCAAGCTGGCCATGGCCGTGTTTCTGGTCACCTGGCCTGCCCTGGTGGCCTCATGGAACGCCTGGTACACCGAGGTCCGCGGCGTGTGGGCTCCCATGCAGCTCATCCTCGTCTTCGAAGTGGCTATTGGCACCTCACTGTTTGCCATCGGCCTGCGTTTGTTCGGCGTTGTCATTGGCTGCACCTTTGGGTACTTGGCTGTCGAGATTGGGAGAGGGAACCGAGTCGCCGCCGTGGCAATCCTAGTGTTTGGCATCGTCCCGTCGGTGTATGTACAGGTCACGACCAAATACGTCAAGGCGGGCATCGTTGCCATAGTATCCATGGCGGTGGTCACGCTTGGTAAGTCATAGCCCGGTGGCCCCAGAGGAACATATGCTGACAAGCGCAGCGTCGATTGATCTTGGCTCTCAAGACTATGAGGTGTATTACAAGCGGCTCGTCGCCTTCATGGTGGGTGGACTCACTGCTGTCCTCGTCGAAGTTTGTATCGCTCCGGTTCGAGCCAGAGACCGCCTCGTCGAGTCGCTCTCAGCATCAGTCCGTCAGGTGCAGAAGATGCAGGCTAGCCTTGCCGTTGGCGTCGACACGCCCGAGCGGCTCGACTTGAAGTCGGAGAAACTTCTGAACCGCTTCAACCATGCCCGCGACAAGGCTCAAGCAGCCCTTGCGGCCGCAGAGACGTTTCTCCCATTTTGCTTCAACGAGCCTCGCCTCAAAGGCAGCTTCAAACCTCTTGCTCCGATATACGAGGAAATTATATATGTCCTCCACCAGGTCATTGACCGGATGGATAGCGTCGTACAGCTTCGTCGCGCATACGGCTCATCCATCCTCGAGGACCTCAACCCAAAGGTGTACGCATACAGAAGGAGCGTGGCCGCCACGTGCACCCTCACGCTTTTCTCCGTCAACGAGGCCCTGACCACGTGGCTGCCTCTACCCCAATTCATCCCATCCGCTCGCCTCGCCCAGCTGCGGCTGATAAACCGCGTTCGCGAGATCCTCATGAGGCAGAGCTCCAGCGCTGATGTGTCCACCGTCAGGAGGTTCGCAACCAGGGCCGAGCTCGACGAGGAGACAGCGAGCTTAATCACCAAGCGGAAGTTCCTTTCGTGGAACGCCAGCACCGCCGGCATGATGGAGATTATCGAGTACCTCGAAGAGCTCATAGACTTGGTCAAGCTGCTGGTCGGGGTCAACGCCTTCCGCAGCGGCATGCTCGAGCGGCCCAACTACGGCGACTACGCCCAGACCCTCGGGGGAGACCAGAGGCAAATGGCCAAGGTCGGGTCGTCGCAGTCTGGGGGCTCTAGGTCGACAGACGCCCATGGGCCTTCGACCTCGGCCGCCGCCGTCGACACGGGGGTCTCGTTGCGGAGAGCTGCGACGGTCGCTCAGCAGGCTCCGCACGGTCAGCGCGACGGGGCAGGCGATGTTGCCGCCGTCGAGGAGGAAGACGAGGTTCTGCCCCTGAGCCTGCAGAGGGTTGGGACGAGGTTGCGGCGGGCTGATACGGTGGTGAGGCGGAGACGGTTCACATTTAGCGGGCATTGAGCATGGTGTATTGCGGCGTTGATGGTTCGGCCATGTTGATGTGTCATCTTATATACCAGCATCGCGGCGTTGGAGAGGGCCGCTTCTAGAGCAGTGTTGCATTCATGTTGGATCTACGACGCGCACGACGGAGATGGGAGGATACTTCACGGTAGAAAGTTCCACTGATGAGAACACGCTTTGGGATGCAAATCATGACGTCTTATCTACTGTATTGCATCTCGCGAAATGCCTAAAAAGAGGACTCTCGGGGTATCCTGTCGGTCACCGAGACCAACCACGTCTTGTCCCTCGCGCCTCGCGAACCTATTCATTCATCCCCCCCAAAAAACTAACACAAAGCCATTTGCCACCAAAAGGAAAGCCAGTCGTAAAAGAGCACATTCCACCAAGTCTCGTGAGGCACCATTCGCCGACGCCAACGGAGAGCAGAGCAAAAAAAAAAGGAGGGAGGGAGAGAGGGGAGTCCAGATCCCAAGCCTGCCTAGATGATGTTGAGAGGCGTGTGCTGGATGAGGCGCGTGCCGTTGAGCATGGCGCGCGACTTCTTGGGGCGCTGCTGGAAGCGGCGAAACGCCTCCTGGACGTGGCGCGGCTCGATGGGCGTCTTGCCCTCGCTGGGGGGGTCGAAGAGGCCGTGCTGGTGCTTGCGCTTCTTGGCGCCGGCGACGCTGTCGGCGCCCGACTGGGCGCGGGCCAGGTCCTCCTGCTCCTTGGCCTTGAGGGCGACCTCGGTGAGGGTCGCCACCATCTCGAAGGTGAGGAAGCCGAGGATGTCGACGATGTCGTCCGAGGGCTTGCTGTCGGTGACGACGCCGAAGCCGGCCCACTCGCGGAAGCGCTTGCCCTTGCGCCAGGTGAAGGACGCCTGGCGGTACTCGGACCAGGTGACGTACTCCTCTCGTGTCATGAGCTTGGTGCGCTCGTCCGCCTTACGGAGGCGCTGGAGGGTCATGTAGTTCATCTCGTCTTCCTCCTCGTCCTCTTCGTCGTCGCGCTCGGGGACCTCGACGGGGAAGAAGGAGGCGGGCTCCCAGGGCAGGCCGACTTTGGCCTTCTTGTTCTTCTTGGCCGCCTCGTCGACGGGACCCGAGCCGGCGACGACACCGCCCACTGGGTCGTCGCCCGCGGCCAGGTCCGCGTCGGCGCCCTTGTCATCCGAGTCCTTGACGTTCTTGCGCACGTCCTTCCACGAGAGGAAGGTGCGCAGTCGCGACACCTTGGCCTGGTCGTGCCGGATCTGGAAGATGAGGTCGTTTGTGCTGATGGACTTGGAGCCGCGGCGCGAGGCCAGCTCGGTGCAGTTGCGAAGCTATCATCGTACGAGTCAGCAAACCAGTGCGCATACCAGAAGGTCGGACGTGTCGATACGGGATGACAAAGGGGAGCGGGGGACAGCTTACCAACTCGATGACTTGCTGCCGCACAATGTCCTCGATGATACTGGTAGTCTCAACAGAGGGCTCGGCGGTCTCGCCCGAAACGTACATCATCTGTCGCACCGTGTTAATCATGAGCTCACGCGGGTTCTTCTGCGACCTGGCCGACGGGTGGGGCATCAACATAGGCGGGCGGGCTTCCTGCTCGTTCGTGTCCATGCTGGGCAGCGGAGTTGGTGGCATCTGGGGTTGCTGTAGGTTGAGGGCTGAAGGTTGAGAGATGAAACCTGTTGATGGAGATCGCAGAGATCCTAGGTTGTGCGGTTGCGAGAGGAAAGGTCGAGATGCAGAGCGCGTGTGCAGGAGCGACCAGGCAGCATCTTGGGCTCGCGGACGCAGGTCATGTTCAGCGAGGGGCTCGCAGCTGCGCGGGCCGGCGGCGGGGGGACTGTTCGTTTGAGCTGCTGCGGCGGCAGCCAGCAAGCTCTGTACTCTTGTGCGGCGACTGATCGGGGGCACTGGGCCTGTGCACGCAGTGTTGTTGCTCTCAACATAGGGCGGGCTGGTACGACCTCAGCGACCCGGCAGTGGTCCGGCTCTGCTGCGTGAGCGGTTCCGTCTCATCCGATGTCGGTTTGGTGAGGCCCGTTCAGTAGGGAAGGATGCCTAGCGACTGGCACCAAGGGCGCGGGGGAACCGATTCGACGCATTGGCCGCAGAGACCTCGATATAGAAGATCCAGCACAGCAGTGTTTCCGAGTGGCCGCACGACCAGATGAGGCGACTCCAGATATTCGTCGACTCCGCTGCCCAGGGACGAGAAGTTCGCGGTCCGCCACACAACATGCATTCACGAGATTTCAAGGGGGATGGGGCTTTCGCTAACCTGACTGATCTCCTGGCGATACTTGTACGCCTTGTTGTCCTTGTCCGCCATGGTCGCGGTGGGGGTGCTGCCCTCGCAGCAGTAGAGGTGTTTTCGTCCAAGTCGTTTCCCCTGTCGTCTCTGCTCCCTCGATTCGTGAGGGGGACGTCCAGATCGATCGTATCAAATACCCCACGTCTTGACCTGGGACAAATGTAGCTCCCTCAGACGAAACGCCGAACGTCGGGATGGGTGAGATGACAATGAGCCGCGAGAGGAACCTCGACGAAGCATGCGAGCGTACAAGACTAATGGAGTACGGGGTGCTGGAGAGAGATGCCAAGAAGAAGAAATTGAAGCGCCGTAGTCTTAAATAATGGGAGGGAAGCGAGGGTATACTGGGGGAAGACGCGAAGCGGTTTAAGTTTGTCGAGGTAACAAAACGATACGTGACGGACCGCCGTCGGAGCGTGGCGCAGGTCATCAATGAATGGCGCCGAACGATGAATCGACGAATCTGGGGTCGGGCACGTGATCGACCACGGCTCCACTTCCAACGACAGCACCCGATACGTGCATCGCCCCGTCAGTCTCATCGGCCTCGTGCTGTGCGACTTACACTTGTACTCGGATCAATGCTTCGCAGGGGCAAGCCAACATTGGCTAGCATCGCTATGCGCAATATCACGCCGCCAGAGTCTGCTGCCGCCGATATGGTTTGTGATGGTCTTGTTCTGTCATCTTCCTAGTGAGGTTCCCTGTCCCAGCCCCGCAAGCCAGGTGCCTCCCCTTGTCCCCCAGACCACGACGTAGTGCGCTGCCAGCAGCTGCCACTCCTCCACCTCGTCGAGGCCCTCGAGCCCGTCCACCCTCCTCCGCTCGTCACCGCCGACCCACTGGTCCCAGGCGTCCTTAATTGTTGCGTGCCCTACGGCGTCGAACCCGGCGTCGCGCAGCCGCCCCTCCTGGCCGGCGACGTCCCTGTAGCGTTCCAGGCTGGGCATGCTGATACTGCGCGCGCGGAGGTTCGAGACCATGACCTGCCCGAAGGCGTCGCCGAGCGGCATGGGCTCGTATATAACGACAGCCAGGCGCGGCATGCGTTCGCGAAAGACGCCCAGCACGCGCTCCGAGTCGCGCTGCGTGAGGTAGCAGAGGCAGCACTCGGACAGCACGAGCGTCGGCACGTCCGTACGCATCGATGCGGGCATGCCCCCGGCGGCGGCGAAGCGATCATGCATGTCGCGCAGGTCGCCGGCGTGGCAGTGGTACTCGCTAGGGCCCTTCGCGGGGCGGGCGCTCCAGGAGCCGCCCTCGGCGGCCTCGACGTCCTCCAGCTGCCGCGCCATAGCCGGAGCCGAGCGCACAATGTGCAGCTTCCGCCTGCATGTTTCGGCGAAGTCGGTTTCGTGGTATATGAGATCGTCGGTGTTGGGCCACTCGAGGGCGCGGAACGGTCTCGTGTCGGTGCCGGCACCTAGCGATATGATCTGCCTGGGCCCCTGGCCGCGCGTCTCGGCGAGGAACGTGGCGACGATCTGGTCCAGGGCTTGGGTGCGCATGTATGTGCCTGAAAGGGAGAAGACGTCGCGTTAGACACCGGGCAATGCAGGGTGGCAGTTGTTCAAGGGCTGCGTGGGCGTACCTCGATTGATGATGGGCAGCCGCCTCGTTGGCGGGCCGGACACGAAGAACCTCGCGTAGGGGTCCTCGAGGTAGCCCAGGTCGACGGCGCTTAGCCTCGACACGGCGGCGTCGGTGTCGGTGTCCTGGATGACGGCGTCGGCAGAGGCGTGGCCGTGTCTCCTGCTGCCAATGCTGGCGCTGCCGGTGCCTCGTCCGCCGCCTCTCCCGCCGCGGCCGCCTCCCCGCAAGGAGAGGAGGTTCGGTATTGAAGGCGCCGCCATATCTGTGGGGTGCAGCAAAGGGAAGTGCGTTGCTGCTGCTGGTGTGCACGCGCGTCGAGGATGGCGAGCTGGATGAAGCCCGACAGGAGCTTGGGGGGGTGGGGGAGCTGTCCAAGTTCAGCACTGGCGTGGGTCCAGTGTGTTGAAATTGATTTAGGCCAAGCTGGCGCGGGTTCAAGCCACTATGAGGATGAGCTGACGGGGGGCAAGCACCTCACTGTGGGAGCTGCGGGATGGCGGGGTATCCTTCGCTATTAATAGTGGGTGGCCAGGGTCCAGGGCGCCGCGGGGCATGGCGTCGCCTGCAGGGCCCCCGGAACCTCCAGCTGTAAATTATTTTGAATCTGGTGCAGCGGAAACGTTATACCCGCTGATTACCATCTTTCCCCTTACAGCATCATTTAAACTACATGCCAACCGTCTATCTGCGTCGCTTCACAGGTTATTAAGGGCATTGTTCAGCCTTTGGCCTAGTTTATCTTCCTCTCCCCATCGTCGTATTGAGCTCTTGCTTTGCCTCTCTTCATATCAGGGACCTATGAGAGCGCCCTTGGTGTAGTCCTCGACGGTGAGTTTCGCCGACCTCGTCCCCAGCCAGCTGCTCTTCCTGGAGCGTATCTTGGAGACCCTAATGGCAAATATGAAGTCGTTGGAGCCGTCAAATGCCGTCGACTCCGTCGTCTCCTGCGTTGCCGTCGGCCCTACCCCGACCGTCGCGGGCAGTCCGAGCGCGGTCTTCATGTCGGCGCTCAGCACCACCCTCCTCCGCTTCTGGATGACGGCCGCGCCCCGAGCAATCTTGAGTCCTGTGACGAGGTAGCAGCTCGCCTTGAATCTGCTGTGTTCCATGTAGGCGCGCACATCGTCAAGTGCCATGGTCTGCTCAAGGTACGACGCCGTCGGCGTGAAAGAGACTGTTTCTAGGCGGTCGAACTTGTATGCCGTCTCCTCGCTTCTTTCCGACGTGAAATCGATTTCTGCGCCCATAAGGTTGAGAAACTTGGCAAACACGCCTGGCTGGCTGCTGGTCTGCTTGGATGATACGAACGTGGCTTGGACGACGGACTGCTCCCGCATCTCGCCAGAGGTGATCGGAATCGGCGAACGCCCGACGATGGGGTGATCAGCATCATCAATGCTGCTGAGAATAGAGCCCAGGCCGAGCCGTCCATCCGGAGGCGGTGCCATATCATAGCGGGGAACAAGATGGTATTTCTGCTTGAGGCCGCCTGCTTGCTTGCTGAGCTTCGGACCGCTGAAACCACCGGCTGATATCTTCAGGCAACCAAAAGCAAACACTTGCTCTACGTCGTTGCTCAGGTGGTCGACGACGTCCTGGCCGCCACTTATTGGTGCTTGGGCTGCATCCTGGCCAGACTCCGAGGGGACCGCTGGGCTGCTCAGATCAGACACACGCGCCGTTAGGACGACTGAAACCAGCGCGATGTTGGCGTCGGGTGACCGAGCAAACAACTTCTTCAAGTCGTCCCGGTGTGCTTGTACGAACGACTCGAAATAAGCGTCCGCATTCGACAGCTGCCACTTTCTCACCGTTGTCGAGCCGTATGAAGCAGTGCGCGGCACGGCTTCGCCTTCCCTCAGCCCGGCACCTAGTCGAGTTGACGCCGCAGGCGCCTCAGCCACTCGATTTTGCCTCGTCCTCGTGCCAAAGGTCTCTATGGTCGACTGTTCGACACGCGCTCTCGCGCTGTCTCGCGGGATCCGCACCGGAGACGGTTTGTCGGGACCATCACCGGCCCCAACAAGTTCTTCTGGCACAACGACGGCGCCCAGAAGCGAATCGACTTGGTCCGCCCCCAAGGGTTTCGTGAGCAGAGTGTACTGAGATTGGTTGCCCAGCGCAGCTTGAGCCGGCTTCTCCGCTTGCTGATTGACGCGCGAGACCATCGCCGCTGTTCGTTCTGCTTCGGGAACCGAGGCGGCGACCTTGATCGGTGTCGTGAAGGCCACCAAGTTGTCGACCGCTTGGCGCAGGTCGCGCTTCGCTGATGCCCTGCCGTCTTCTGACGATGCCCGAGAGCCCGCCGTCTGATCTGCGGACTCTTGGTATCATCTGTCAGCTTGTCGCTACTTGAAGACCAGATAGTGTTGTATGCTGGGCAGTATTACCTGGGTTGATCTTCTCCTTGGCGCCTTTTCGCCCGGATGCTGCTTCAAAGATCCCGCACTGATGGTCCAGCTCCTGTACCCGCTCTCGCAAGGGAACCGATACGTGCGTCATCTTCTCGGCCCAGGCGAGCGATCCCTGGGCGTATTGCACGTCCGCCGCCCATAGCTTCAGCCGGAGCAGCATGTCGTCGAGGAAGATACCGTCGTCTGGCCGCGCCTCCAAAAGCTCGGCGTCGGTCGCCATGGCCTCCAGCCTCGCAACGACTCCATCGTACTGCTCCTTGATAGTTGTCACTGCGTTTGACGACATCGCCAGCACCACCGCGCGCAGGTTGGCTTGATTCGCGGGCCAGTGCTGGGAGAAGAATGATGTTCGCTGTTGTAAGGTTTGACGAAGCAATCACATAGTGCTCAGCCGCATCAGCGTCGACCTGAATGAGAGACCAGGGATGCAGGGCGCTTCACTGCGTAGTTGTCAGCACACGATGCCAGCTGGCAATCGGTGATTGACGCGGGGTTGCATTTCAGCTGAGGACCCCAGACGCCAGACCCGACGTCGACTCAGGGGCTGTTTTCGTCGTTGATACTGTCGTTCCTCCCGTGTTTCTTACTCCTCTCATTTCTCTTGCGCGTCCCGTGCATCTCGTGTCTATCGTGCCTCGCGATATGCCCGACCCCGTCATCACGCCGCTGGCAGCATTCGGCCTCGCCACGACCATCCTCAGCTATCTCATCAATACGGCGCAAAATCTCCACGGAAAATACCATGAGATCAAAGACTTCCCAGAGGTGCTGACCAGGTATGGACTCATCGTCCATGACTGTCTTCAGAGCTATGATCTCTGGCTGCGTTTGTGGCACCGGCCAAACGAGCTATCATATAACGAGCTGTTCGGGGTGAACGGTTGGATCGCTATCAAGACCTGCAGGCAGGACGTGGAGCGCTTAATCGTCCAGACTGCTGATATTCTGTGCCTAAAAGTGCCTCTGAGGCAGGCCGAGGATGACGCCTCGGTGGCATCGGCGCACGTGTCCACCTTGCGGCGAGCCGCCATGAGCATCAGATCGGCGGCAAAGAGTCCTGCGCGTTTGATCAGGCGCTGGAGGAAACCCCACGGGATCGACGATCTAGCACAGGTGCCCATCGAGCTCGAGTCTGGAGACCCCCTAAAGTGGCACATCTTCACGATCGCTCTCGAGAGTGGCCTGCGGGACTACCAGCCCCAGGAGCTCGTCCTTAAGCGCATCATTGGCGTGCTCGGTCCGAACCAGAATCTGAAGAATAAGATCGCCGACCTCGAGAAGGCCGTAGCCAGCCTGGCTAAACGGACGTCCAACGCCTTCCAGCTCATGGGTCACGGGAAGGAGCCCAAGGAGGCCGCCGAGGTCGAGGCTGCCGACATGACCATCGAGTTTCGGGCCGTCGCTCGCAACGTCATGGACCAAATACGCGGATGCGGCAATATCAACGGGGCTGGCGAAGGAGGCGAGGAGGGCGAGGAGGGCGAGGAGGGCGAGGAGGGCAACGAGGGCAACGAGGGCAACGAGGGCAACGAGGGCAACGAGGGCAACGAGGGCAACGGGGGCAACGAGGGCAACGAAGGCAAAGGGACCTGGTTCCTCGAGCTCGAGTTCCCGACAGGCGCCAGCGACGTCAGCGTTGCCGTGGAGCAAATCATCCGCAACTGTAGCATCTCCTTCATCGCCAGGACCGCCCCGCTGCCGGGCAAGAGCACCATGACGCAGGAGATCAAGATGCGGCGCCTCCGGGGCGTCCTTGAGAATGAGGACGACGACGTCTCTGCGCTGGCCCTCGCCATGGCCAAGTTCCACACCCGGCCGACCTGGACCGTCTCGATGCCCGGCCAGGCAGCCGGCCCGCCCGTGTACCAGCTGGACTGGGCCGACCCGCCGCCCGAGCTGCTGATGAAGGACTGGCGGACGCTGCTCGGCGCATGCGCGGACGACCGGGCTGTGCGCAAGGCCCTGGAGCTGGAGAGGGCACACTTTGCCCTCGGTCTCACCCTGTGGTTCATTCTGCTATGGGAGACGGAATGGTTTGGCCACGTCTGTAGCTGCGCCTTCCGGTGCGTCCTCTTCGCGCCGGACGCGACTGGCCAGAGGCGCGACAGCGTCGCCGAGGAGGCTGCAGATGGGACGGCTGGTGAAGAAGAGGTGCGCTGCCGCCGAGAGCATGTCTACGCGTACGATGCTTTGCGCCTGGATGGCGTCGCCCATGCCAACGCCAACACCAACGTTCCAATCATCCCCGAGGTCGTGGTTGAGGTCAAGCCAAATGCCGGTGCCGGGGCCGGGGTCGCTCCTCAACAACAAGGCCCGGCTATGACGCCGCCGGTGATAGTGCCCCCGACCACGACGGCTCCGGCACCATACTGTAGGGGCCAGGCCGACCTCAAGCACCGGCTCTACCACCTGGGCATGCTCCTCGCCGAGCTCGCCCTCGCCACGCCCATCCACCTGAGCTCCGACGTGGGCCATGTCCCGCGCGCCAACTTCCCCGGGCGGCCAGTCGGGCAATTCCGCCGCATCCGCGACATCCGCAACCACAGGGAGATCCCCACACAGCTCAAGGATGCCATCGAGTTCTGTTTCGACAAGGCCACCGAGGTGCGCTGGTCCGTCGAGGACAAGGGGCTTGCTGCGCACAGGGTGAGCGACTTCCTTGAGGGTGTTGTGAAGCCCGTCAAGGAGTACTACGACGTCGTAGAGAAGAACTTCAAGTACGCGAAGCAATTTGCCGTGCTCGCTCAGAAGTATCAGGAGGATGATGTTGGACAGATCCAAGATCGAACTAGTTGAACATATTTAGCGGTGCGAGTCCCACTTACCCCTGAATAGACGATGACCAGGACAATATATAGACCCATATACCCCCTTTCGCAGTCAATGAAGACACTAAAGGTGGTGGCCTTCCAGTACAGATCAGGAGCCACGCGTGGCATGGTCGCAGTCGCACGGGACGTGTCAAGGCGCAATCCTCGATGTATAATTATTACAGTAACTTTGATCCAAATCGCGGCATCCTGTATGCTACTGCCGAATGATTCGTTCGAAGCTAGCTCGCACATATTTCCACACACGGGTATGTTCTCCTGATTAATATTCATGATATCGACTCGGTCTCTGAAATTCATGTTAGCTCCGCTCCTAACCTTCCGATTTAGCTGCTCACCGATGCGCTGCCACGGATGCACCTTTCCGGACTCCATGTCGGACAGATGATGCTGCTCGTTGGTGCCCCTGGCGTTTGACAGCTTTGACTGCGCGTGAGACTCTACGCCGTACGATCTCCCGCTCTTGGACCCGGATCCCAGGCGAGGGAACAGCCGCACAAGGATGAGCCGTACGCTCGGGAGGCACGTGCAAATCATGCCGACATTGACCTCGATGGTGGACCAGTTGGCAACGCTCCACTCATCATAAGTTGGGTTGGTCGAGTTGGCAAAGAAGATGAGAGATTGCAGCCGTAAGATCGAGACGACGGTGACGCTTGGTTGTCAAGTATCGTTAGCCAGGTCTACATTCTAGGGCAGGATGTCGACACTTACAAAGTCCCCATGACGAACATGATAACCACCCCCATCTTCTTTTTCCAGTGCAAGCTCAGCTTCGGAACCTGACTTAGGGGTATGGCGATCAACCAAAGGTCCACTGCCACGCTGATGGCAGCGTTGGCCCATCCGAGAACATTGATGTTGACGCAGTGGCCGCCGAGAGGGTCCGCATATTGAGTCCAGAAGTAGCTAACCGGTGTGCACTGAAAAATGGCGGCCAGAGCAAATGTCAGGCCGAACACCCCGTTAAAGATGGCGGTTCCTAAGAGTAACCGGCGGATATTGGTCCCGGGAAAGATACTCATGTAAAATAGCGACAGACTAAGCTTGACGAGGGATAATTCGACAAAGTATAGCACTTCCATGATGAAGAAGTACATGCCAAATGTCGTCACCTGTTCCATAGGCAGGGTCCATACGTCCTTGCCCAGGCCGTGGTGAGCTAGGCCGCGGACGTTGATGATGATGCAGGACACGCGGAGGGCGAGCGTGCCGAGGATGACCTGGTCGTCGGGAGCGAGGGACCGAGTCGTGCTGAAGAAGCCTTTGAAGATGATGCGAGCCAGGACAATGAACACTGTGACGGACCCGAGTGAAATGGACATTGTGCTATACTGGGCCGATTTGTCTCGAATAGGTGCGTTGCAGGCTGTCGACGTGACGTTCTTGGCCGCTTTCCATGTTGCTCGTCAGCGACATAATCCATATCAGCATGGGAACGGGGGTCACTTGTTCGTACCGAGTGCGTCAGGGAGCGAGCACGAGTGCAGGATGCACTGGCTGGCTTCGTCGTCGATTGACTTGGTCTCGCAGATGCACTGCATGTCAGAGAGCGAGCATGATGACTTGGACACGGCCGTCATCAAGCAGCTGGCCTAACATTGAAGTATCGTCAGCGGCCTCTGAAGGCATCGGCGAGCTGCTAAGACTTGATTGCCTGTGGCAGGTCTTGGTACTTACTGCGCATTTTGGGACGTCGGCCAGCACCTGTGTAGGAGTTCCCAATGCTTTGCCTTGGGTTTCTCCGAGACATAGCGAGGGCAAGATCGCCGCCACGAGCGCCGCACTCAGCCAGAAGCGCATGGTGGCGAGGATGAAGCTGCGAGTCTTTGCACGCAAAGGCCGTACATCGAAAATGGACGGCGCACCTGCCGGGTTGCAGCTTCCCGTTTCTCCGTGCGTGGTGACGATCGAGGAAAGAGCTGTGTGAAGGCAGGCGCGGCCGGCACCAAGACTCACGGCAACTAGATCACAAGGAAACAGCTCCAACTCTCCCCCAGCTCGCTTGCGGGCATGCGATCTCATACATATACGGAACACTGCCTGCGGGCAAACTCCAGCATCGAAAGACATGGGGGCTTCAGACCCCTTCCACGACCCATGCTCCCGTCAGGGCGCCCCTCCATATCTGATTCTGGGCCTGTCATCCGCCGACGCCAATGGATTTGCAGCCCTCATCAGCATCAGTCGAGTCATGGCCTGTCAACACCATCTCAGCCGTCAAGCCTCTTTGTGCAAATGCCCTTGCAGTCGATGGTCGACTCGCTCCCGCACAGACCCCCGGGGAACCCTGCAGGCGGGCGGACTACTGCGCGGCACGGCCAGTGGTCTGCCGCTGTCGACGTGTGGCTTACACGCTTCTCCCGGTTTGGCCCGCCGTCCCAAGACAGGCCACAATTCACGACGGCGATCCCACTGCCAGACCGGGGCGTGGCTTGGGCTTGTCTTTGTGAGATGAGCTGCCAAATCTCAAAAAGAGGCCGGCGATCAGAGAAATGGCTCGCGCCGGCGGTGCTCGGCCGACGAGACCCGGCATGAATCCACCACGCTCACCGAGACCGCGCGCCCTACGAGTCGTACTTTAGCTGGGTCGACGGGACGCACTGGAGGCATGGCATGATGGCAACGGCGGTAAGTCGTGTCTCCGGCCAGGGGGCGGGATAGGAGCAGTTACCAGTGCACCACTGCTTCAAAAAGCTTATCCGGAGGCGTCGCAGCCAGTGTTCGCACACCACCAGGAACAAGGACAGGATGCCGCCCACGCCACGTGCCAGGGGCCACCGTTTGGGTCTTGCCGGAGCACCATCCCCGGCTTTGTGTTGACCCGCACCTCGTGAAGCATGAGCTGCCGGGCGCCACCGCAGTGGCACATCTGTGCGCTGCATCGATTGATTTCCCTGGGCAGGGCTCTCGGCACTCATTACGTTTAGCACCGACCTCTGTGCTCCGCCGAACGACCTAATATCTTTGAGCTCCTGCCTGACTCTTGCCTGGGCTGGATGTGGCGACTGTTTACATTGCCGCGTCCCAGGACTTGGAGTGCTTTGCTCAGATTTCCAAAGCGTGCCTGGCCAGCGTCGGGGAGAGCGATTGCGTGTCAGACTCCTCGATGCCACTTCAAGGTTCGAGCTATTACCCCGAAAATCAGGCAAATATCACCACGCTCATTACAATGCCTCACGAGCGACTTACCTCCAGCCACTCATAGCTACGTGACTCCGCAAGCATTGCTGTAACCAGACGAACCTGGCCATCCTCTGCTTCAAGACTTCCGGGGGGGTGTTGGGAAGTGTCCAGGCACCCAATGGCGTCGAGTGTCAAACCGCGACTTGCGATAGCGTCCCCCAGTCTATATCAAGATGTATGCCGAAGGCCATCGCTTGCCATCGAAGACAGCCTGCGCCCGTACATATGTGCTGGCAACGGGTGAACGGGAAGGCGCCCCTAATAACGCGCGGCTCGGGAGATATGCAACTCCACCTATGGAGTGAAAACGGTGCCGACAACCGCTTTGAACCGGGTCAGAACCGGGTCATACCACAGCTAGTATTTCGGCAGTTGAATGTCAATCGCTACCTAGTAAGTCTCCTTCTGGCAGCAACCCCTGGGTACGATTGAGCCGAAGGGTTGTCTCTACAAGGTACGTGGAGTTGCCAGGTCAGCGTCAAGATGTTACAGCTCTGCCTTTGCCCTCGCTTCGGCCCATTCCGCAGTGATATTTGAGGCGGGCTTGGCCGACTCTTCTGCCAGACATTTTCTCAAAAAAAATGCAGAATGGGCCTTCGCCTTGTTCTGGCTCTGTGATCCCTCACGGTGGTCTGCGGAGGAACAGCGACAACCTCTCTCCATGCGAGAAAGGACCCAGCGAGTTCACTGTCATTCGAGCAGCAACAGCCTACATGGCCATGTACGATACGCCAATGTGGGCCTGGAAAGCTTGTGTATCCCAGGGGCAACTTCATTCTGACGTGAGGTTCGCCGCGGCGATGGAGGATGGCACTTGCTCCACCTGTTCCACGGTGTTGGGATTGGAGTGGAAGAGGCGCTTGAGACAGACAGACTGTCAGCACTGGCGAACCCGGGGCAACACTCTGCACCGGACTGTCGGAGACCAGGGGCCGCTCCGGATCAACAACGTCGAGCTGCTGCTGCTGAGCCGCATCGAGCATCCTGTACCCTGCAGGGGTGGCGACTGGCAGGCGAAACGGATGACGACGCACGCGCCTCTGCACCGCGCGAGTCTGAGACGCAGCCCCCCGTGTCTCGCGTTTAACGGTGGCCTTGACGGCGAGGCGCTATTTTATCGATTGCTGTTGACTGACCGGAGTGAAGTGAGCGGAGTGCAGGATCAGTTGGACGCAAACAAAAGCTGTGACGAAGCTGTTTGTCAGCCCTCGCTTTTATCCGCCCAGGTCAACGAGCCATCAGCGCCTGAATCTTCCGTCACCGCCGGAGAGCCGGATCCTTGAGGTTCTGGCCCTCGCCCGCTGCCTAAACGGGCAATGGCCGCTCTGGTGCGGGAGCTGCAGCCCCCTCCAGTGGCCATTCCAGCAGGATACGGAGAGGAAATGGCGGCCCCCGCCTGCAGGGCTGGGCAGTTTTGGCGCTCCTCATGGGGGCTGTGCTGCCTGCGCTGCCTGCGCTGGCTTGGCTGGTCAAGCGCCAGGCGCTCGCTGAGACCAACCAGAGCCCGCGCCCAGCCGGGTTTTGAGGCTCAACGCGGCGCGAGCATCTAGCGCCGAAAGGGCGCCCGGCCTTCGCGGCGACAGCGAACCCCGACCCATTTATATGGACGGGACGTCCAGGTACCTCCAGCTCGTGCTGGCCGTGTCAGCTGCCTCACTTCGCATCGCCACCCTTTTGCACATCTCACATCTCGTGGCCCTCCTCCACCGCCTCTCTGGTTCCTTTGTCTCATCATCTTTTGTCTTTTTGTTTCTTCTCCCGTCTTCGGGCCGTATTTTTCACCTCGAATCGACGCACGACAGCTCAGCTCAACCCTCGTCACTCGAGGCTCACCTCAACACCATGGAGCTCTCGTACGTCAGGCGAGCCATCGGCAGCGCCGTCGGTTCCGGCGACGACAACATGCCCAAATATGACCTCCCCAGCTGGACCATTCTCGTCTTCCTCATCGACCTTGTCGTCCTCATTCCTGTCTTCATCATTGTACGTTTCATCTAACCCCCCCTTTCCCAACGACCAGGCGCCCGTGCTGACTCCCTGTCCCCGCGCAGTTCGACTACACCTTCAAGACCGTCTTCCCCATCTTCGCCATGGTCGAGGACGAGAACCCCCCGGCCTACGAGCCCCTCTCTCTCAACGACAACGCCGCCGACGTCGAGCCCGAGGCCCAGCAGCAGGGCGGCGCCCGCAAGCCCACCAACGGCCAGCCGCGCACCGTCACGTCGTCCCTCCGCGCCGTGAACCGCCTGCTCCTCTCCCACGGCGGCTTCCGCGCCTACTTCCGCGGCTTCTTCTGCCTCGTCGCCCAGGGCCTCGCCACCTCGGCCCTCATGGGCCTCTTCTCCGCCGCGCTCGGCGGCTTCTTCACCCCCATCGCCACCCTGCTCGCCAGCCTTGCGCTCGTCCAGCTCAGCACCGCATGGGTCCACATCGTCATCTCGCTGCCCTCGAGGCGCCACTTCTGGAGCCGCCTCCCGCCCTTCAAGCGCGCCTTTGACGCCACCTGGAAGCCCGTCGCCCTGTACTGGCTCGCCGCCGAGGTCACCCGCTGGCTGCCCCTCGGCCTCGCCTGGGTCCTGCGCGTCAAGATCCCCAACTTCGACAACAACGGCAAGATGGAGCTCGACGGCCTCGACGCCGCCTGGTTCGTCAAGGGCGCCGCCATCGTCGTCCTCACCATCTTCGCCTCCGTCTTCCTCATCATCCCCGCAAAGGTCATCCTCGTCCGCGTCCAGGCCTCGCTGCTCCCCGTCGAGGAGGACACCGTCATCCCCTTTGACCGCTCCTTCGAGGGTAAGGTCGAGCCCGCCATCGTCGGCGGCAAGGGCTACGTCTCCATCGCCGACGCCTGGGAGACGTTCAGCAGGACCGCTTGGCGCCGCCTCCTCATCCTCTACGTCAAGGTCTTCCTCGTCAGCATGGTCGGCGTGCTCATCACCGCGGCCCTGCTCGTCCCCCAGATTGTCGTCATCGCCAAGAAGACGGAGCGCGTCAACTAAACCCGCCCGCGATTCGTGCCGAATGTTCCTCGCACTGCACAAGGGCACATCCGCTCACTCTCCCGCAATCGCTTCGATGGCTTTCCTCGATATCTAGTCCCCCTCCCTCGCCCCCCTTGGCGATACTCCGCTCCTGCTGTTAAGCGGATAATGAATTGAATTTTTGGTATGGGTCTTTTTTTTTTTTTGGACAATTGGCCAGGCTCCTTTGTATGGCATAGATGGAATTAAGCAGCAAGCAAGCTCGATCAGCCCTCATCACCAAAATGGCAAACGAAACATCACGAATTCCAATCATGGTGAAACGTGAACTCTTACGTGAACTCTTGATTTGACTTTCTTGATATTCATGCGTGAGCTGAAGAACCTCTCGTCGCCCAGCCGAGCAAAACTCCCACTCACTCGGCCCACCTACTCCTCATCCCCACGCCCGCGCCTGACACGCCAGCCTCTTCTTCCCTGTTTCCCCCTTACCCTCGTGCAACCAACTCCGTCTGATTGTCCAGGTCAACCGCGCACCGCGCCGCCGCCCTGGTATTCCAACGTCTTTTCCGCCGACAACAAAAGTCTCCGGCATGTCCGCCCTCTCTGCCAACAACAGGCTCTCTGCCAACGGCAGAAAGCAGTGTGTCGTAAATCCAATCGTCGTCGTTCGGGTCGGGTTCATCTGCGTGTGTCTGCCATACTTTCCTGCCATGTCTTTCTGTCTGGTCTGGTCTGGTCTGGTCTTCTCTGGTCTAATATATTGGGAGCTGGGTAGGGGATATCATGCCCTCGGGCGGAGAGCGGGACTTCCAGCGAGCATGCGAAACAGCGAGAAGCCTGGAAGAGGGAAGGGGAACTGAACTGTGTGTGTGGCGCGCGCGTGAGCGTACTCGTATGGGTGCTGTGTGGGGGATTTCTCTTCTCCGGGGTTGTGTGCCACAAAGGAAAAGCAGCGAGAAGTACTAGTAACATCTGAGGCGAGGGGATCTCAAGACACCGGTATAACAACGTAGCCGTGCCCATGGGGACGGAGCGGGGGAGACGCACGGGGGCGACGGGAGAGAGGGGTATGATGGTCTAAATCCGTTTCCTGGTACTCTGCCAACGCCGCCAAAGCAAGAAAGGCCGTGAGCGGCGAGGCCTCTACGACTTGTTGAAGAACCAGCTGCTCCGCTTGTTGGTTGGAACCTCGCTCTGCTGGATGTTCTGGATCGTGGGCACGATGGGCGGGGCATCGCCGCCGCCACCGCCTCGCAGGGGCTTCGCAATGCGGCTGCCGGCAGCGGCAAAGTTGAAGCCACCTGCCGTGGCGTTGAGCCCGCGCGTACTGCCCGCCTTGGCGGCCTCCAGGCGCTCCTTGACCGAGGCCAGCTGGACCTCGAATCTTGAGACTCGCGTTAGCAAGTTTGTCGCTACTTGTTTGGGGGAAAAGGAGAGGGGTGGGTCATACTTGTGGTTGGCGGCCGCCATCTTCTCCTGGCTGTCCTGCAGGAGGCTCTCCAGGCTCTGGATGCGCTCGTTCCTCGCAATCAGCTTGCGCTCGGCAATCGCAACCTCCTTCTTCAGTGCCGAGTTTTGCTCCACGAGCTGGCGCTGCACCTGAGTGAGCTGCTCCAGATTCCTCTCGAGGAAGGCCATCTTCTTCTGCTGGGCCCGGTTGTTGGAAGACCGCAGCACGTTGTTGTACTGCTCGCGCGTCTCGTCCAGGGAAATCTCGAGCTCGACGACGCGCTCGCAACGGTTCTGCAGGTCGCGCATGAGGCTCTTCTTCATCACATCGAACTCGGCAATCTGCTGCTGAATCGTCTTCCCGTTGGCCATTGGCGCGCCCGCCCCGGACTTGACGCGCTGCTGCAGGTCCTCAATCAGTGTCTTCATCCGGGCGTTCTCAGACGCCTTTTGTGCCAGATCTGCCTTCAGCTCGTCGACCAGCTGCATCTGCGTCGTCTGTCGACCGGCATAGGCCTTTTCAAGGCGCCCCTTGATCTCTTGCGCATCGGCCTCGTTGAGGTTGCGGGCAAGGAGCTCCTCGTACTCCTGCTGCAGCGTCTCCAGTCTGTCTTCCAGCTCCTGCCGCCGGCGGGCGTCCATGTCGCTGGAAGAGGCTCCGTACAGGCTCAGCTCGGCCTGCCTGACGATGCCCTGCGTCTCTAGCAGCTTGGCCCGTAGCTCCTTGAACTCTTCCGGTGCGATGGCATCGCCAGCTTTGCTTTGCTCTTGCAAGGCATCGATTTGCTGAACAGCCTCGCTGATGAACCGCTCGTTGTCGCTAAACACCTCGCCTCCGAGGTCGAACCCTGCCATCATTTTGGCCATTTTCTCGGCCTTCTTCTTCTCCTTTTCGTCAAACGCCGCACCGTTCTCTTTGGCGCTCATCTTGACATCTAGGAGCTGTTGCTTTACCTCGTCCAACTCGGTTGTGAGCTCGGCGTTGGCCTCCTTGAGGGCATCCATCGTTATTCCCGCCTCCTTGCCCTCGAAGTTCAAGCGCTCTAGTTGCATCTTGAATTCGTTGACCTCCGTCGTGAGCCTCTCGTTCTCTTTGCCCAGCCTGCTGTCGTGCTCCTTGAGGTAGGACATTTCCTCCTTCGTCTCACGCAGCTGCTTCTCGGCCGCAGTCGCCTGAGACTCCCTCTCGGCGAGTTGGTCCTGCAGCTCGTTCTCCCGCCGCAGGAACTCCTCTCGTTCGTCCTTCTCTAGTGTCAGGCTAGGAGTGCCGGAGCGCTCAGAGATGACGGGAGTCTCGGATCGGCTCTCCGGAGGTAGCCGTGACGGGGTGGATGGCCGCGCCCTAGCCTCGGCCTTGGCTCCGGCGACGCCATCGGCAGCTCCTGGGAGAACCCATCTCTCCTTGGGCACGGCTTCTCCAGATCGCCACAGCTGGATTTCACCCTCGAGGTTCTGGATGTAGCTCTCGAAGTTTGTGACCTGACCCTGAGCCTTCTTGAGCAGAAGCTTGAGCTCCGCAGGGCTAAGCTCCGCATTGACCTTGGCCTTGTTTTTGATCGACTTGGCTCGCGTACCGAACCGCAAGGTGCTCAGGGTTTCGGCGTCGTTGTAGCTGCTGGGGGAGCAATTGATGATGAGGGTGGTCCGGCTGTTACCACCCAGGGATTCTTGGAGAATTCGCGTCAACTTGGAGTCTCTGTAGGGAACGTGCGATGATTTGCCGTCGGTCAAGGCGTTGATGACCATGCCGAGGGCGCTCAAGCTCTTGTTGATCTTCTTGGCCTCCTCGAGGGTCTGGCCGCTGGCACCCGTCTTGCCCACCTTTTCGCTACCGGCCAGATCCACCAGGAAGAGCTGACCGCTCTTGGCCGAGCCCGTCTCGACATTCTTCTGCGTGATGGTGATGACGAAGATGGAATGCGATCGTGACGACTCCTGGTTCATGTTGGTGGCGGCGACGGCACGGGCGTTGCCGCCCCTCCGCATAACCTCGTAGACCTCCTGCACGCTCGAGACGTAGATCTCCAACAGACCCTTGACGTACACGCCTCGGTTCTTCTCCTCGTGCACGGGCAGGTTGTCGTTTTGCGGGGCCAACAAATCTCGGATGCGCTCCATGTAGATTTCCATGTAGCTGACGCGCACGGTGTACTCTATCGTGCCGGGGCTCGACATGATGCTGGCAAAGATCTGCTCGACAATGCGCGGAATGACGCCCCTCCCTTCGTCGTCATCGATGTTGGTGCCCATCATGGTGTACGACTTGCCGGCGCCGGTCTGGCCGTAGGCGAAGACGGTGCCATTGTAGCCGTTGAGGATGTCGTCGACAGTGGAGCGGATGGAGAAGTCGAAGATGTCCTGCTGCTTGCATTCCATGTCGAATACTCTGTCGAACGTGAAGGACCCTTGGGCCTCTCTTGACTACGACACCCTCATCGTTAGCTACTGGTCGCGGCGGGGATGTAGCCAGGAAGCATGCCGAAGCGTGCACGGGAGGAGACTTACGTCAAGAGTGCAGGAGTCATCTGAGTTGAAGGACACGATAGGTTTGCCGCCCGATTCCAGCTCGATCCGGTTCTGGGGCCGGAACCGGGCCACGACCTTGATGCTGTTGGCAGACATGGTGGGCGCTATGGACGGGTCAGCGGCGACGCCGTGGTCATGAGGCGCGCCTCGGGGTCGATGGCTCGGGCTCGGCGATGTCGAAGCGGGAGAGCTCGAGTGAGGTACGCGACGTCCTGCGACGGCGACGGCAAAGAGGACGACGCCGACGACGACGAGGGGCTGGCAACAATGAGCCTAACCAACAAGCAGCGACGCAACCGCGGCGGCTCGTGAGAAAGCGCGCAACGACGGGCGAGAGCAGTGATGGTGAAGCGACGCTGGAGCCGCGATGGAGGAGGGTGGAAGGCGAGCGGCGGGTTGGCCGAAGCAAGACACGCCCAGGGCCGTTGCGAATGCTGGTCGGGGTGGTGATGTTTTTGTTCAAAGTACGGAGGAGCCTCCGAGGCAGTGGGCGGTGGTGGGTGAGGCGACCGAATAGGATTGCCGGACGGAGGGGACAGACGCGCCGTGGGCTGCAACGGGACGGCCGAGCACGACGACGCTTCTTTCACAGGGCAGCACCGAGCACCAGGGCCAGCAGCATGGGAGCTTATGGCGGCGGTCCTGAGGCCTCGCCAGCCAGCCAAATGGAACCTGAGGTAATACCGCCCGGCTGTGGAAGCCAGGGCACCATCAAGCCAGGGGGCCCCGCGGGCCCTACCAACCTATCCTCCCAGCACCTCCAGCCTGCTAGCTTCAGGGGCTCGCCCGGGGCCGCCGCGCCAGCGCCAGGGCAGCACCCGACGCGACAGTGGATGGAGTGGGGTGGGGCATTCGACGACATACCGCCTGCACCCACCACACAAGACGCCCCAGTTGGGCGCTATCTGAGCTTCTGGAGGGTGGGCGACGGGGTCCTCCCAGCTCCCACTCCCGCCTCCTCCTCGCCAGCCTAGGCTTGGCGCGAGCGCCGCTTTTCTGGTTGACGCTTCCAATGTGCTGCGTCTTTGGCGTCATTGGCCTTGTTGCATTCCTCCCTCGGTTTCAGCACTGAACAAAGAGGACATTCCAACGGCTCAGCGTAAACCATCCTGGCCATCCGCCGCCCGCGCTGTGTCCTTCCTGGGTTGTCACTTACGAAAAGACTACTGCTATGTGCCGTCACCAGCCTGGACTTCCCCCAGTCCAGCCCCCTACCCATCAGCGCAAAGGAGAGCGTGCGGCGGGGCCAAGGTATACCTACGTATGTACCTAAAGTACGGATACGTCCGTAATAGCGATTTTCCAAGGCATAACCTCAATTCGCGGCATCGCTCATGACCGCGCGCTCACAGGAGGAGCCCGCATGACTACGCATGACTATTTCTTCTATTTCTTCTATTTCTTCTATTTCTTCTATTACCCTTCACAAAGCGGTCTGCACGTCGTGCTCAGGCTGCGCGATCAGTGCCAGCGCCGTGGTAGCGATGCTGTCCGCAAATTGCTGTGGACTGTCGTGGGAGATTTGATCATGCGAGTCTGACTCGACGTAAGTAGACGCGTGCCAACTTCGTCCAGACTACCATGATATTACTGAAGGCACACCATCTGCATCTTCACAACGAGCACTCGATGTTTTTGCCAGCAACGTGTGAAAAATGCGCTTACTCGAGATGTGAACGGTTAGCAACTGCTGTCTTGCTTCCTTCCTGCCCAGTGCATCCGCTCCCATCCGATCCCATGGTATAATCAGCCCAGCAACCTGCGCCAAAACGCCTGCAAACTCCTCCGCCGATGAGTTGAATCTGTGTCACGATCGAGCCGCCGCATAGTCGAGCATCGAGAAACTTGGCAGCTGCGAGTGGGCCGCTCAGGGTCGGGGTCGGGGTCGAAAGCCCTTCCCTTTGCGCCACGCAGCCATGCTGACAGCCTAGTCCTCCCAGCTCTTCTCAACCGTCTCTCTGACCCGCTTCGTGTATTCCTTCCGGTTGTCTTTGTACAGGTTCGAGGCTTCGACGTTGGCGGGCGACCCGGTATTGGGGTCGTTGAGTAAACTGCCACTCTGCGTTAGCAAATCATCGCCACCTCCTGGGAGTCGTGAGCTCTGCGAACCTTTGAATGCTGGTCAGAACCGCGGCCACATCGTACGTCGGGCTCCATCTGTTCTGCAGGATGTCGAGGCAGAGCTCGCCCGTGGCGTAAACGTTGGGGTGGAACATTTGGCTGATGAATTTTACTTGTGGCGGCTTGTTGGGATACTGCTCCTCGAACTGCATTACGAGCCTAAATGTTCCATCTTCAAAGGGTGTGTCGGCCGGTCCGATGATGACTGCGTTCCTGCCCGGGGTCTGTCAGCTCGTGGGTTATAAAACGACGGTATTCGGCAACAGTAGGCGTGGCCGAACGTACCAGGTCATGACGTTGTCGGGAATGGGAGAGGCGGACACGCCAGCAGGAGGGTCCGTCTGCATGCGCTGCAAATGGGTTAGCTGGGATCAACGATGGAGACACTTGGGAGATGGCATGCCTTGAAGTCACGCATCAGACGGCGTCGTGCTGCCGTAGACATGATTGCGATGCTGCCCGGTTCGTGGCAGGTGGCGATATGGATACCGGTCAAGGGGAACAGGCGATGGCGGAGATTCGGGAGGCAACGAGGCTCGCGCGCGCAGGATATGGGGACAGACTCGCACCCGCCCTTTCTGCTCGCTGAAGTTGTTGCGTCTTCGTGGAGATGTCTCGTGGAGGAAATTGGTCTTGGTCATCAAACGGACCGCCCTCGGACCATGAATCGATGGCAGCCCAGCAGCAGCCCTGGACTGCCAATCACGACGCACCGAAAGCTGGGCCAATGGCCGCGAGTACGGTGGGGGCTGCCTGGGATCCTCCGACAGTGTCTCACGTGACTACGCGGTCGTTGTCGCGTGGAGATTGGCGTTTCGTGACTGCCTCGGGAGGTGGGTAGCAAGCCAAGGATGACAAGGTGGGACACTTTTTGGAACGTGACCTGCAGCAGAAGAGCATGGTACTTTGTGCTTCGTACCATCGCTTACTGACCGACGACATTGGGCGGTTCGCCAGGGCGACGATAGCACAGCAGAGTTGCATCATCTTGCACCCAAAATCTCCGATGCCGGGAATTCTCGCAATGCAACAGCATGGCTGAGTGATATTTCTGGACGCTCGAGTATACCGTAACATGACACTCTACGAAGTAGTACCTCGTACATGTGTGCGTTTTCTGTAGTGTTCTGCGCCGCGTATTAGTGAGCTGGTACTTCGCACTCGCCACAGACGTCGCTTTCCCCAGGCGGCTTGCGCTGTGCTCAGCCCGAGGCGGCAGGTTCCCCACATTTCGATCCCGCCTGCCCTTCCCCGGAATGCCGTCAACCCCCGCTCTAAGCCGAAGCGTACCGAACGGCGGACTTCCATCGCCGTCGCCGCCGCCGCCTCTTCCTGCGACTGCTTATTATTCCTTTCTCATCCGCTGGACATTTCCTCGTCGTTCCTCCCCCTCCCGTCTGCAATCGTATCTGGCGCCGTGATACCCAAACCGCAAAGATGCCCGTTGCGCAGCTCAGGTCGCCTCGACTAGCGGGCCAGCTGGCTCGGCATGTGAAGGTCGCGCGTAACTTTTCCACCACCGCCGCCGCCCGCAAGGAGATCCAGGATGCCTACATTCTGAGCGCCGCGCGCACGCCGACCGCCAAGGTAAGCCGGCCAGCCACACTACTTTAGCTGCCAGTCGAGACTGACGATTTTCACCTCACACCAGTTCAATGGCTCGTTCCTCACCGTCCCGGCCCCTCAGCTGGGTGCCACCGCCATCAAGTCGGCCCTCGAGAAGTCCAAGGTCCCCATCGAGAAAATCACCGATGTGTACATGGGCAATGTGCTGCAGGGCTCTGTCGGCCAGGCCCCGGCGCGACAGGCGACCATCTTCGCCGGCCTGCCCGAGTCCGTCGAGGCCATCACCATCAACAAGGTCTGCGCCTCGGGTCTCAAGGCCGTCGCGTTTGCTGCGCAGAACATTCAGCTCGGGCTCGCCGAGGCCCAGGTCGCCGGTGGCATGGAGAACATGTCGCGTGTCCCGTACTACGTGCCTCGCGCCAGTGGCCTGCCCGCCTTTGGCCACGTCAAGATGGAGGACGGCCTGATCAAGGACGGCCTGACGGACGTCTACCAGCAGTTCCACATGGGCAACTGCACCGAGAACACGGTCAAGAAGCACTCCATCACCCGTGAGCAGCAGGATGAGTACGCCATTCGGTCGTACAAGAACGCGCAGAAGGCTTGGGCCGACAAGGCCTTTGCCGACGAGATTGTGCCCGTCACGGTCCCCGGCAAGAAGGGCGACAAGATTATCGACACGGACGAGGGCTTCATGGACGTCAAGATCGAGAAGATCCCCACGCTGAAGCCCGCTTTCGTCCGCGACGGAACCGGCACCGTCACTGCCGCCAACTCGTCGACGCTCAACGACGGCGCTAGCGCTCTGGTGCTGGGCAGCAAGGCCATCGCCCAGCAGTACGGCTCTGGCTCGCGGGTGCTGGCCAAGATCTGCAGCTACGCCGACGCCGCCGTCTCGCCCATCGACTTCCCCGTCGCCCCCGCCAAGGCCGTGCCGATTGCGCTGGAGCGCGCGGGCATCACCAAGGACCAGGTCGCCGTGTGGGAGTTCAACGAGGCGTTTGCCGGCGTCATCCTGGCCAACGCGAAGATCCTGGGGCTCGAGAACGCCAACGTGAACCCTCTGGGCGGCGCCATCTCCCTGGGCCACGCGCTCGGCAGCTCCGGGTCGCGTATCCTGACGACGCTGCTGCACCAGCTGAAGCCTGGCGAGTACGGTGTCGCTGCTATCTGCAACGGCGGCGGCGCGGCCACGGCCATGGTCGTGCAGCGCGTGGAATCTGTATAAGGCGGGAGTATTTGTCTTGGGGAATCTAGCGTTGTGATGTTGTTCATCATGTATCCATCCATCAGTACTGGCGCATAGAGGCTGTTTTGGGCTGTTCTCAAAAGAGCACGGCTTCGATTCCAACGGCAGTTATTATTGTGCCAGCATGTGACGGTGTATTCAATGAGACGTAGATATGCGGTTTCTCATGAAGTCGGGACCGAATAAGATGATCGTCCCGCAAAGTCCACTTCGTACTGTAGTTCATTGACCCTTGAGGTCACTCACCCACTGACGCCGCATGGCGACTCATAGCACCAAGTGGAGCCTCCGCTCACCACCTACACCTCAACTCAACTTCACTCACCTCCCGCCAGCTCACCCGCCGACAACACGACGCTGCTCATTCCGAGCCACCGCGGCCAACCACCCCTTTCCACCCGCCTCTGCGACGGCGACAAGGCCAGCGACAACATACGCAGCCGCCATGTCGCTCGTCAGCCAATTCCTGTCGCAGATCCGGCAGCACGTGCGCGAGCAGCGCGGCGACCTGCTCGCGTCGTGGCTGCAGGTCGAGCCCAATGCCTCGCAGCAGTACCACGCCATGGCCGCCGAGCTGCGGCGCAGCTTCGCCGACGGGGACGCGCTCGAGGCCGTCGTCGAGTCCTCCCTGCCACTGGACGACGACGACGACGACGATTATAACGGCGGCGGCGGCGGCGACATGCCCGAGGGTGGTCGCGCCGCGCCGTGGCCCAGCTTCCAGGCCTTTGTCAAGGAGTACCTGACGCTGTGGCGGGACATTGACCACGACGACTTGCTGGGCGCGCACGAGCTGCTGTCCTCTCTGGTAAAGTATGCCATCTGCCTACATTTCCCCCATGCTCTGCTCTGTATCTAGACAGCTTGGAAGCGAAGCCATCGTGTACGCAATGAGTGCTGACGTGCGAGCAACAACAGCGCCTGCGGCACCGCCTTCACGCACCCCCAGTACGGCGCCATGCTCATCCAGGTCTGCAAGAGCCTGTCCGAGTCGCTCGCGCGCTTCACCCTCAAGCTCAACCGCCGGCCGGACCTGACGCGGCGCCTGCGCACCGCGGGGGCCGGCGACGAGGACGGCGGCGGCGCCAAGTCCGTCGCCGAGTCGTCGGCCGAGATCATCCAGAAGATCTTCAAGGTGTGCCTCATGGACCGCACCGCCGGCCGCCGGCCCGAGGGCAAGAAGGCCTGCGTCTACATGTTTGCCAACCTCGTCCTGAAGCTGCTCTTTGCAGTACGTTTGCCCCTCCGTTCCATCCTCTCCCAGAGTACTTCTCTGTCACGAAACGCCAGATGCCGGTGTTGATGACGATGAAGACGATTTTGATGATGGCTGACGATCATGGCTTCTGCAGTGCAAGAGGACACACCTCGCCACCATGATCTTCCGCAACATGTCGGCCAGCTCGCCGCCGCTGCACCTCTACCCAGCCGCCCAGCGCGTCACCTACCTCTACTACCTCGGGCGCTTCAACTTCGCCATGAACCACTACCTGCGCGCCTCGCTGTGCCTCGAGCAGGCCTACCTGCAGACCCCCGCGCAGCTCGTCTCCCACCGCCGCGACATCCTCACCTACCTCGTCCCCTGCAACATGCTCCTCGGCCGCTTCCCCTCGCAGCTGCTCCTCGCCCGCCCCGAGGCCGCCGACTCCCTCGCCCCCGTCTTCCTGCCCCTGTGCCGCGCCGTCCGCGCCGGCAACTTCGTCGCCTTCCAGGCCCACCTCGCCGCCCAACAGCGCTGGCTCTGGGAGAGGGGCCTCTACGTCCAGATGTGCTACCGCTTGCGGCCCATGCTCTGGCGCTCCCTCGCCCGCAAGACCTTCCTCCTCACGTACGTGCCCCCGACAGATGCCGCCGAGTCGCGCCGGGCCGCCACCCTCGACCTCGCCGACCTGCACACCGCCGCCACCTTTGTCCAGCGCCGCCTCGAGGGCTGGCTGCCCTCCAGCCAGGTCGTCCGCGGCCGCCCCCACAACGTCAACGCCATCTTCATGAAGGCCATCACCAGCAACGTCCAGGTGCCCGCCGAGACGACCCTCGTCCAGCCCCCCGGCGGGCCTAAGCGCCTGCGCGCCAACGAGGGGCTCCTCAACGGCAACGCCCCCGTCAAGCTCGTCGACGTCGAGATGATGGTCGCCACCCTCATCCAGCAGGACTTCATGCACGGCTTCGTCGCCCACAGCCAGGGCCGCTTCGCCATCATCGGCGCAAAGTCCAAAGGCCCGCTGCTGGCCGGCTGGCCGCCCGTGTGGCAGGCCATCCGGGAGAGAAAGTATGACCAGGCCTACGATCCCGATGAGGTGCCCGGTTGGGTCAAGACTTGAGAGCAGCATTTGCGCAAGGGGGGGGGGGGGGACGTCGCTTGGCCAGAGATGTAAAGCCAAGCTGGAGAACCGGGAGGATCTGCAAGATACCCATTACAACAAGAGGCGCCAGGTTTATGATAGATACGGGCCAATGCAAAGAGCGTTAAACGGCAAAAATATGCAATGCTATATGTGTGTACGTCCCCTATCAACGCACCAAGATTGATCCAACGTGGATACATGATTCGTGAGCGTTCCGTCCCATTCATCCACGAAGAGTGAATCCAAAATGTGACAAGGCCTATGAGCCTCGACCCCCGAACCGGAGATCTACCCGCCCAATAAGCCATGTCAAGAAGTATGTAACCAACTCCCATCTCCCGCCATCCCCAATGTACGTAAAAATCGTCCCAAAAATCCATTTTCGCTGACCCATCTTCCTCCCACCAAAAAAAAAAATCACCAATGCGTAAAGGGTATCGACCGAGAACAAGATTAAGTAGTTGAAGAAGAGGAGGGCCGTCGAAGAGCCCGTCCGGATCACACCTCGACTCAGAGAGGAGGGCGGAGGTCACCGCGGCGGCGGGCACATCAGGCCGCGGGTTTCGTGCCGATCCGGGGGGGATAAGGCTACCACTGGGTATGGATAGCTCTGTATGTAGGTGAATAGATACGCTGCGTCTCGAGCAGCGGGTGTCAACGTGAAGGGCGGCAGAAGTGTGCAAAACCCAGCCGCGAGAAGGGAAACTCTGCATCTCCAATAACCGTGTGGGAAGAGACCGCCGTGGGTAGGGCAGAAGAAACAGCCGGCCATGGCGACGACAGTGTCGAACGTTGACAAAGAATTAGATCAAACCGGCCGGCCGTGGTTCGAGGCATGGATGCGAGTCCTTCTAGAAGAGGACAGCTGCCGCGATGAATGCGACGACCAAGCCCGCCACAGCGGCGCTGCCCTGCTGTCTGCCAGCCTCGCCCTTCTTGTCTGCTGAAGTCTTGGGCGGCGTGTCCGACGAAGTTGTCGAGGGCCCCGAGACCGTACCAGTGGTCTTTTGATCGGAGTCAGTCGTGGTGCCGTTCTCGTGGAAGATACCCGGCACCAGCGTCGGTCGCTGCTTGGTCGTGGACGTAGCAGTGAACTCAGATGACGTAGCCACCTCCGAAGAAGTGCTGTTCGTTGTGGCGGCAGAGCTTGAAGTGGTAACCGGTGGGGGTGACGAGGTAGAAGTCGACGACTGAACGGTGGTCGAGGTGGTCTCTGGAGGCGGAGGCTGCGAAGTCGAAGTCTCCTTCTTGGACGTGGGCGTGGAGCCACCAGAGCCATCGAACATGACGACGTTTGCGGTCTTGCCCTCATCAACGGTCACGACGCAGAACGCAGAGCCGCCTGCGCCGGACGCTGCGAGTTTGCTTCCGACCTTGCCACTGCCGGCGGAAGGGTCAATCTCGCATGGCAGGCCATTGCAGCCGCCGTCGGGGCACTCGATTCTCAACCCAAAGCCCGGACCCGAAGACTTGAACGCAGCTTGCTCTTCCCACTTGGGGTTCCAGCCCAGCTTGACATACGTCTTACCACCCTGTGCGTTCGCGCCAGCAACGTAAGGGGCCCAGTTCCCGATGGGCTTGCTCTCATCGCCCCACTTGCAATCCTCGACGCCACTGCCGGGGCCATTGATATAGTAGCTGTCGGCCTTGTCAGTCACCATACGGATGAGCATTTGTGGAGGATCGCCTTACTGAGCAGCTGTTCCGGCCCAATACTTTTCGTCCGGGACAGCGATGAGCGCTTCCGAGTCAACAAGCGTGGGAATGATCATAGACTCGTCTCCAGGAAGCATCGTTTGGCACCAGGACAGTGAGCTCTTGCACTTGTTGATGACCTTGACAGACTCAACGCCCCGGACACAGTAGGGCTTGTCAGGAAACGGCTTCGAGAGCTTGCCGCTCTTGTCGCAATACAAGCCGCCATCCTGCTTTGTCATTAATGCACGTACTTGGCGTGAACGGTAGCGGCTCTCATACCATGGACTCGGGATACGTGTACTTCGTGCCTGGCTTCCACTGGGCCAAAAGCATGGGAGCCTTGCAGACATAGGGACAGTAACTGCCGCAGGTGCATTCCCGATCGCTCGGGATGCCCCAACCGGCGTTCATCCCATCAGGCGTGACGGCCAAAACACTCTCGTGCTGAACGAAGCTGCAGGTTCCTGCTCGCTTCTTGACGGAACCATTCTCGGAACGAGAATGGAGGTGAGCATGATTGTGCCCATGCAGATGCGAGGCTTTGCGATCGAGCTGATGCAACCTCTGATGGGCCCTGCTAGCTTCGGCACCCGTGCCAGAGAGGACTATTGAGGCCGATCCCAGAAGGGCCTGAAGAGAAGACAGCTTCATGGCGGGCAAGGTCGTTGGTCTGCCGTCGGTATGGGTGGTTCCTCGGCTTCGGCTTGCTCGAGCGGCGGAGAAGCGAATGATTCAACACCAGGAACGTCGCGAATCTCGATGTAGGTCGTCGAGGTTGCGGAACCTGGCGTCGCGAGGACGGACGTGTGGCAAGGAGAGCGAGCGGCGACGAGCAGCGTCGGGGGGGACGGCGATGGCGGATCGGTCGAGTGCGTGTGTATTGTACTTCTCGGGGGAGTGAGGGAGCGTGGTGGGCAGAAAGCACGGATTTCTGGCCCGTGTAAGTGAGCGACGCGAGAGCGGGTGAGTGAGCGACGATGTTGTGCGGCGTAGCAGAAGAGAGTGACTGCAAAGAACAACCGTAAACGGAAAACGCAAAATAAGGAGCGACAGGCGTCTGGGGACGACAAAGTGGGAATGACTGGCGAGGGCAGAGGTTGAGGGGGGCCGGGAGAAGCAATAGGTCGTTCCGGCGACCGCCTCCCTGGGTTGCGAGTGAAGCTGGAGCCGTTAATGGGCCTCGGGGCGCTGCAGGGCTTCCTTGCAGGTGGAGCGCGGGTGCCGTGCCCCTGGCTTGCCTGGCCTGCCCCAGGCGACGAAATGAGACTGCCTCCAATCAGCGCCCGCCGCTCATCTCCCCCTGGCGCTGCGACGGCCAATCCGCGCCCGAGACACCCTAAACGAAATGAGGTGGCCCCGTCTTATTATGGCGGCGAGGGGAACACTGGGCAGGAACACCTCGCACGGCAGCGAGATGCCAAGGTACTGCAGGTACCTCAGCTCAGTGGCCCTCCCCTCCATGTCGCAAGGCTCCCCCGCTGAGGCACTCGCTGCAAATCTCGCCCGTCACACCTGGCAAGCAGCCGTACCTGCCCCCTGCGCTCGCTCTGTCTGCTTGACTCGAGCAACAAAGCCCGCGCAGGGCAATTAGACATGCAGCTCCCTCACCTCGACCTACCGCGACGCTACCGCCTCATCGCCTCTCCTTGACCCAACTTGCGACCACATCCCCCCGTGTCTCTATGCTCGTCCGGACACGGGCGGACAGCCACGGGGGCAGCATAAAACAGCAAGACGCGTGGCCGGCGCAAACAATAGACAGCGATCCGGCGGCTCCTCCGAGGTATTCAGCGTGATCGGCGTCGCCAAGATTGCATGAATGCTCTCCACCAACTGGGCCAACTCGGCTGGCCTGCCGAAGCACGCCAACGGCGCTTGGTATGCAAATTGCGCCGGCCTTTTCATCATCAGCCGGGTCACCAGTCCCAGGCGATGGCTCACAAATTGAAGCGCCAGGCAAGCCAAGCGACAGGGTCGTTCCCGCTCGACCGTCCAACCTGCAAGCAATTTACGAGAACGCGCTCGGTCCCAGCCCTCTTTCACAGAGAAGTCCGCGGTTTGAGATTCGTCGGCCACGCCGCCAAGTGATCGAACAAAGGGTGGGCGCATCGCCAAGTCGTCGCTCCACCGACCGCATGAACCATATGCCATGGTCTTAAGCAAGCTTTGGACCTGAATCATGTTCAGCAGCCGTGGTCGCATGGCCCTCATCGGTGAGGCCATGGACAGCGTGTCCAGAGAGCCGCTGTCATCAGCGGCGCCGCCTTTCCATTCCTCAGCAAATGTAACTCAGTTCGCCTCCGTGCATGAGAATATGTCGCCGTACATTGTCGACGGCGTTTCCGGCGGCCTTGTTGATAATCGCTGCCTGCCTGCTCCGCACCCGCAATCACGCCGCCGGTGAGCGCAATGCGGCAAGGGGCGACGATGGGCGCGACATCGACGTCACGAGGTTTGCGATCGAGTGCACTCCGCAGCGTTTGTGTGACCCCGATAATCGCCCGTCTCTCGAGATCGGAGCAGCGCGGCAGTGGCGTACGGGATCGAGAGGCAGTGGCTTAGTTGAGGAATGCAGCTGTCTCAAGACAGCGGGAAGGGTGCATAAACGCTTCGCGGTTGTGGCGATGCGCTTGGGAGCCCGTTGAACAAGGGTCTTCTTCCACGATTGGACGCGACCGGCCCAGATGGGCGTTGTAGGTCATCGAAGCCATATTCTTGTCGCAGCACTCGCTGTCGCTGAGGTCTGGTCGACCGTCCAGTCGGGTCCTCCGGGGAGCACCGTTGATGGTCAGAAGGGGTGGGGAAACTCGACTGGTCCACGGTACAGAGCAGCACCTCAAGGTGACGTTATGTCGATAAAATTACCCGTGAGGCCACTTCACGGGGCATTTAAGATACACGATGGAAGAGAGGCGTCCTGTAAGCAGCGTAAGATGACACGAACCGGCCTGGAGCGCGGTGAGGGCAGTAAATCTTGTCGAAAGGGTTTTGGTACAGGGTAAGTATTACAGCAGCGTCTCAAAGCCCCCTTTCTCGGTGTCCAACAACTCTTGCAAATGAATCAAAGGACATCGTCATTGAATGCCGTCCGGCAGTCTTGCTGCGCAGGTGGTCGTCGTAGTCGAGCATCTCCTTGTACGGCACCTTGGCCACGATCTCCACCATACGCGTTGTCGATTTCTTCCCTCGTAGCGAGGTCACCGACTCGTAGGGGTCTGGGGGCGCGTAAATCTTGGACGCGTCGACCAGCTCGACTTCGCCCGATGCCGATGACGACTCGGCTGTGCGATCCGTCACCTCGAGTATGTGACCACCGGCGCCGGCTGTGATGTCGTGCTGCACGCTGCCCGCCGCCGCCTCGGGGCAGGTAATGTGCGCGAGCATTATCGGCTCGAGGACCCCAATTTGGTGCTTCTCGAACGCGTCTCGCAGGGCGGCCTGCACGGCCGTCCGTGCAGCGCTGCTGAAGTGGCCGCCCGTGGGGCTCTCCAGCGCGCCCTCGGAACTGTCGAGCTCGACCTTGACGAGACAATTGTTCATCGGTGATGCCCGACGGGGACCCCGGGCGAGCCCTGCAATGGCTCCGTTCAGTAGCTGGTGCCTCGCCTCTTCCACATCAAATGGGAGAGCATCCTCGCCCTCGGGAGCGGGAATGTTGATCTGGAAGACGTTGCCATCTCTCTCGACACCCGACTCCAACAGGCTCCTGATGTCATAGTCCTCCATGGGCTCCAAGGTTGCCGTACAAGCGACTTTGCCAGGCTTGCTGGCAATTGGCCGATCGAACACCACATAGTGCGGTTGTGTGGGTGCCATGACGCATTCCTTGTAGTCCACCTCGATTTGGCCAAAGTCGGCATCAATCTTGTGCTTCTGCCGCATGTTGTACAGGGAGACGTCCAAGTGGAGTTTCCCCATGCCCTGGATTGTAAACTGCTCCGTCTTGGGGTTGCGACTCCACCGCAGGCTCGGGTCCTCCCGAGATGCGTTCTCAAGGGCTGTCTGTAGCTGTTGCGCAGCGACATTTCCGTAGGGATCGACTTGCAAGAACGCGACGGGAGGAGGGATCTCGGGCGGGCGGATCTGCATGTGGCGGAAGCCCTCGGCAACAGCCTTGCCGTTTGTTGTCGTGATCAGCGTGTCTCCGGTCCGTGCCTGCTTTAGCCCTCGCAGTGCTCCAATCTGGCCCACGGCAAGCTCCGGGATATCGTGCGTTTTCGAGGCCGAGATTTGAAGGATGCCCATAGGTCGCTCCTGGGTCATCAGATTGGTGTTGAAGCTGGCCGCATTGCGCATCAAAGTGCCGTGGTAGACGCGCACAAAGCTGATGACGCCCTCCTTCGGATGGTTGAAGACCTTGAAGACGGCAGCGACGGAAGCAACGTTGCTTCGCGCTCCCTTTTTGTGCTTTTCGTTAAGGAATTGCTCCATATGGTGCTTTGTAGAGCCAACCCGCACTTCGACGTCGGGTCTCTCCGACGGGTTTGGTAAATAGTTGGTAATGGCATCCATCAATGGCTCAACGCCGATATGCTTGAAGCTGGACCCGGCAAACACCGGGATGACCCTCCCATCGCCATTCTGGATTGCTCTTCGGACGGCCTGCTTCAGAAACGATGCGGTCATGTCCGTATTCTCCGCCAAAAACTCGTCCATGACGGCTTCGTCGAAGTCCGCCAGGCCCTCTATCAACCGCTGCCTTGCCAAGTCCAGCTCCTTGATAAGTGCAGGATTCGACGTAGCAAGAGCGTCTCTCAACTCTTCTGGCGTATATCGAATCTTTTGTCTTTCCGACTTCCAGCGGTAGCCCACTCGGCTGATGACGTCGATGACACCCACAAACTCATCCTTCTCCCACCATGGTATCTGGCAGACGAGCGGCCAGCCCTTAAGGCGAGTGCCGATCTCCAAGACAGACTTCTTGAACGAGGCCCCCTCGCGGTCCAGCTTGTTGCAGTAGGCGATGCGGGGGATCTTGAACTCATGAGCAGACGCCCAGACGCGCTCAGTGTGCGCCTCGACACCCTTGACGGAGTCGATGATACAGACTGCACCGTCGAGGATTGGGAGACACCTGTCGACTTCGAACCTGAAGTCCTGATGGCCAGGGGTGTCGATCAGGTTGACTGTCTTGGGATGCGTTCCCGCGGGACAGTCCTGTGCCCGTGGCCAGTGAAAGGTGATGGCTGCAGACTGAATGGTGATGCCGCGCTCCCTCTCAAGTTCGAGAAAATCGGTGACAGTGTTGCCGGAGTCGACATCTAGACAGCATCAGCAATTAATAGTCGGGGAGCAAGTGATTCTGACGGACTCACCTCCGACCCTTTGAGTGACGCCGCTGTAGTAGAGCATCCGCTCTGTGGTAGTGGTTTTGCCCTGGCATTGTCAGCCCACCACTGGATTATTTGGAATATTCAATCCAGGAATAGCTTACTGCATCAACATGTGCGATTATGCCAATGTTCCGGATGTCCTCGAGACGGGGGTGATCGTGGGCAGCGGCCTGGCTGTAGAGCCGTATTGTCGTCCGGGCAGCCGGCAATGCCACACAAGCTTTACTTCTGGCAGATAGACGCCTGCCAGCAGGCTGCGCACGCCGGAAGAGCGTCAAGACAATCATGGTGTCGCAAGACAAGGTCTCTAGAGGTGCAGCATCTCTTGCACTTGCACGGGGACTCTTTGATCTCTCACCACCTTCAGTGACGCATTGAGCCCTGGGACAGCTCTGTGAAGGTGAGGGAAGAGCCGCTCCCTTGGCCAACCAGCCCGGGGAGAATAAGCGTCTCAGAGTTGCAAGTGAAGACTGATCGGAAAGAGCGGCGGCCCGTGTCCCAAAACAGCTGAATGACTGACGGACAGACAATTGACGTCGAGACTCGAGAGGAGAGCTTGGGCGCGGCAGAACCGAGTTGCAAGACCAGGTTCGTCGTCCGCTGCCCGCATTCAGCAGGCGGTGACGAGCAAGCTCTCCTTTACGCGGCTTGCACCTGACGGGACACTCATTGGAGCGTCTTACAGCGGCAGCAATGGAATCCCCTCCCGCAAGCCGCCGCTGGACGCAGGCGCTAGCTTCCTGCGAATAGCGCACATCCGCATTGGTGCGCTGCCGCCCCCGGGCTGGGCTGACTGCTGAGCTTAGCATTGGCCAGCGCCCGGGCGGCGCCTACGTCAGTCTCCCCCCATCGAACGGGACTTTTCACCAAGCCAACGTCAACCGCGACACGCAACCCCCGTTATCATCCTCCACTCCCAGCCTCGCCCACTGAAGCTCAAAAAACAGCTGCCTGGCCCTCCACCGCGCGGCGCATCTCCGTCTGCATAATTGACCCCTTCCGCCGCACCCCTCGCCGCGCTTCGTCTCGCAGCCATACCCCGTATTCCTCTCGACCAAGCGCCTCGCGACCGCCGCCATGGAGCTCTCCGACATCTTGTACGTTGATGCGCCGCGGCCGCCTACCTCGTCAGGGGCCACCATGAGCTGACTCTGCGCCCCGTCTGCAGCCGTATCGTTAACTTGGCCGTTGGCGCCATCACCGTCATGGGTGGTATCGGCTCCATCTTCGCCTTCTCGCTGTACGTTGCCGTCACCACACCCCCCTTTTCGAATGCGCCGAGCGGTCGGTCGCCGGCGGTGTCCCGCGGGGGCTGCCACCGGTGGTGGATCGAGGGGCCACGCGCGCAGGTGACACAGGAGTTTGCTAACAAGGTCGCAGTCAGGGCATCGTCGTCGGCGTGTACATGATAGTCTTTGGCCTCTCCATTGCCCTTCTTGGTAGGTTACCATTCGTACCGCGAGGCTGGCTGTCTGGCGCTAACTGGCAGCAGAGTTCCAGATCCCCCCCCAGATCTCGAGATACGCCTCGTTCCTCTTCTCGTTCCTCGGCCGAGGCATCTGTACGTACCCGAATTGAAATTTCCATGCCATTGGGCTTGTCTAACTAAGCACTCGCCAGTCTACATCTTCCTCGGCTGCCTCATCCTCGGCTCCCACGTCCTGCAGAAGATTGCCGGTGGCATCGTCGGTATCGTCGGCATCGGCTACGTCGTCCTCGAGTTCATCCCCTCGATTGAGCCCCCGAGCAACATGCGCGAGGCCGACGTCGCTGGCTGGGGCGCCGAGCAGGTCTAGTCAGACCATGCGGACATGGTGCCCGAGCCCGGCGCGGTGGCCATGACGGACCGGGCGCATGGCTAGCGATGCCCTCACCAACACGGCTCAACAATGGATAGGACGGATTGTGGCGGTGACCCGAGTCCGGGAGGGGTAGATGCACTCAAGGCGTGCGTGCATTTGTGTGTCAGGAGTAGTAGTAAGAGTCTTCGTATAGATGCATCACTCCGGACGGTTGGCGGACGGTGGCTGCGAATGGATCGGAGCGCAGCGCGGAGGTCGGCGTTTGAACACTGTGTGTACGGAATGCAGACGGTTTACGATTACATGCACATGCAAGACTACAGATTCAAGGCGATGCGTTGCGTAGTTGCTTCATTGTCATTCTTCATTGTCATTGTCATCCTCCATACGGTTACATATCGTACAGTCTGCCCGAATCCCATCCGCGCTTCATGAAAACATCCATCATCAAACGGCGACAGACAAGTAAATTACTGCTTCTTCCACTGTCCCGCGTTCTCGACGCCCTGGCCCACGCTGTTGAGCCCACCCTGGACGCCCGTGCCCAGGTTGCCCAGCGCGTCGCCGACGGGGCGGCCCGTCTCGCCCGTCGCGCTCGTGACGGTGTTGCCGACGCCCCGCGTCGCCTCGCCCGTGACGTTGCCCAGCGTGCCCGTCACGCCGCCGAGGGTGTTGCCCAGCGTGCTGGTGAGGAACTGCGCGCCGCCGGCGGCCTGGTCGCCGATGGAGTTGACGGTGTTGCCGGTCTTCTTGGTGGCGTCGGACATGGTGGCGGTTGTGTAGTAGAGTATATGCGTATGGTGTTGTGTGTGCTTTGGTGCAAGTAGCCTCTTTAGAACGGGCTAGGTTTTGCTTGGTTTGTGGTAGTATGGATAAGTCTGTTCAGGATGGATGTCTAGATCCAGGTTGCCATGGAGGAGCGCACTCCACCTTCTTATATCCGCGATCCGTCCCCAACGGATTCGAGCCTCACCTGTCAAGAGCCATGCTATGGGTTGACAGCTTACACGTGAAACGTGGCTGTCGTAATGATCTGCTTGAGGTGCAGGTGTCGAATGACGTCAAAGTTGAGGCACGTTGCGCCAATGCACATCATCCAGGGCCGCCTGCCATGAATCTCGATTTTTGCTCCACATAATGTGGCGATGCCCACGACACCCCAAGGGCAATCCAAGGCGACGAGCCCACGGAACAATGCCAAAGCTCGCTGATTCGTCGCTGGGGGCCACCCAAGCCTGATCGGGTAAACAGAATGAGCCCGGTCTATATCAAAGCAGGATTTTGAGCGAAATCAAGCGCTTTCTACTATATGCCTGTAAATGCTATCGAGGAATGCCCCCCATGCTCCCCATGCTGCCCCAACACTTCTAGCCAATGTTAAATTCGTCAGCGGCGGCGCTCATCAGCATCATGCTCTTGCGCTTGATGACATCCCCCGCAGGTCGCTGCTCCTGCCCGCGGTCCGACTTGGGCGCATCCCTGGACCCCTTCTTCTTGGCCTTGCGCTCTATACCCGACCCAATGCCACCTGGCGCCTCGCGAAGGCCGAAGCTTTTCGCCACATGGCCCAGGTGCAGCTGCGTAATGTCGAAGTGAACTCGCTCGTCCTTGACATGTGTCGCGTAGGCCCTGATGTGTGATTTGAAGCCGTTACGGGCCAGCTCCAGTCGCTTTGCGTCGTTAAGCAGACGCTGTTCCAGATGAAGCTGCAGCGTCTCGGCCTTGTCGTGATACGACTGTGCATCTTCCGGCTTTGCTGATGTCTCAACCGGAAACTCCAGCTTTGCCATGAGGCCCTTCTTGAGAATTGCCTCATAAGGTTGCGACGATGGTGGTGTCGACGACTTGAGCAGCTCAATGTACCCCTCCTCCGCACCAGGTAGCAAGAACAAAGCGGCGTCGCCGGATCGACCAGCTCGGGCCGTCCGACCGACTCGATGGATGTGGTCCGCAAAGCTAAAGGCGGGATCGTATTCAATGACCAGATCGACCGACGGGATGTCCAAGCCTCGTGACGAGACGTCGGTAGTGATCAGCAGCGAAGGGGTCTTGCAAGCTGAAAATGACCTCAGGGTCGCCGTACGAACTGGTTGGCTGAGCGATCCGTGCATCCGGTGAAGCACCACTTCAGGGCTAGCCGCAGAAGTGAAGTAGGCTGCCTTGGAAACTGTCTTCGAAACAAGCTCGGCGTCTCTGGAGGCTGACTGAGGAACGTCTGACTCATCAGGGTTTCTGAGCATCTCGTAATGGAAATCTACCGAGTCCGCACAGGACATGAAGATGATTGCCTTCATGGTGCGGCCCCGGCGCGAGAAGACCGACTTGAGATATGAGACCAGCGTCACAAGACGAAGCTTGGAAGGCACCACGATGTACGTCTGGTGCAGCTGCGCCGGCGCCTTGTGAACGGTGTTCTCTGTTGGGTCATCGTCGCCCTTCTCGGCGGCCAGGAAGGTGGCGTCAGCAAGACTCATCTCGCCAAGCTTCTGCACGTTCATCTTCATGGTGGCAGAGCAGAGGACCGTCACCCGTCTGTCCGGTAACGTGTCGAGCGGCGTTCCTTTGTCGGTTTCGGTCACAATTGCAATGTCCCGGAGAGTTTCGATAGCCTTCTTCAGGTCGTCCTCGAAACCCAGATCCATGAGTCGGTCGCCCTCGTCTAGAATGAGCCACCGAACGGTGCCTAAGTTGAGAGCCTTGGTATTGTCGATATGGTCCGCCAATCGGCCGGGCGTGGCGACCAGAAAGTTGACGCCTTTTCGTATCCTCGCCTTCTCAGCCTTTTTGGACTCGCCACCAGTGATTGCGGTAGATACCAGCCAGGGGAATGGTCGTATCAGCTGCTCGAGGACCGTGTGAACCTGCTTGGCCAGTTCACGAGTGGGGGAGACAATGATGGCAAAAACACCAGAGTCCCGGTGTATTTGCTTGTCGCCCCCCGAGCTGAGAAGAAGCACTCGATGGATGATGGGCAGGAGATACGAGAACGTCTTGCCGGAACCGGTTTCGGCCTGAACAAAGGCGTCGGAGCTGCTCGAGAGTAGGTGCGGTATGACTTTTTGCTGAATTGCCGTCGGTCGTTCGAGGTTCATCTTGGCCAGCTCGTCGACCAAGCGGGACGAGAGCGTGAGCGATCCAAAGTTGGCGACATCAGCCAGCGGCGCGTTGGTCGCTTGCGGCGCACTCCATTCCTCCTCATTCTCCTCGGCGGCCGTCGTCTGCGCAGGATTGAAGGAGAAAAGCTTGGAGATCACTTGGCGGTTTCCTTTGGGACCGTCCCCGGCGTGGCTCTTGTGATGGCCGGAGAAGCCAGACTGCGAAGCATCGTGTCGCGAGCCCTCGGGTCGCCTGTTGAAACTCGGTCGCGGCCCTGTCCTGTAGCTGGGAATGGTGTCCGCGTCATTGTCTTCCACCCGACGTCGCTTCGTGAATCTTGCGCCGTCGTCGGCCTCGTTCTTGGTCGTCTCGCCTCGCTCCGACGCCAGTCGAGCGCCTCGCTCTGCACGCTTTCGCTCGCGCCAGCGACCGCCTTTGAACTTGACTTGAGTCTTCAGAGGCTCAGGGCCCAGCTCAAAGTTGAGCAGCATGCCATCGTCGGCCATTGTGTATTGCAGGCTGGGCGCGGCTCCGAGGTCGACGGAGGTGGGGCCTGGTGTTGCAGTTCGCCAACACTGCGACGGCGAAGCTGGGAATTTTTTTCTAGAGGGGCCCAATCTTATCGGGTGGTTTCTTATCGATAAGATTGATAACAGAATCGCATCTGATGATCTGACGGCACCCGGGATTCGGGTTCGAGCTTCCCCAGATTCAGGCGTCATCGACATTCTTTGGCGTCGATGGATGCCTGAGGACTGGATCAATGATCACGGACAGGGCAGGTAGATCCAGGGCGGGGAGAATTGCCAAGGGCGCGTCGTCCGTAACCCGGAATGCTACCTGCGCCACGACAACTCCGCATCCCGGCCCATGGCAGAGCCGCCTCTGCGCGTCTTGTCATGATGCACCCGTAGAGGAGGGAAGACGTGTTTACAGTCGTGACGAAAGGACGTGTGTAGGCTGTTCCTTGACAAGGAGCCCTAAACAAGACATCGAGCACCGCACGTCGAGGATGCCTGCAATAACCCAAGTCCGTGAAACTACCACAGACCACGCGCTGTTTTCCAGCCGCCAGCTCTCGGGAGCGCGGGTCGATGCCCTTGCTGGGCGAACGACAACAACAACGACACGGTCAATTCACCGCATCCCGGCGATTTTTGTCGCCGATGTGTCTCGGTCGCAAGCCCCGTCGATGGAGGCTTTTGGACCGATACGGACAAAGTTGTCGGGCCCGGGTTCGAGAAAAGACCGAGTCGTCGATGGCGCTCGGATGTGGCAGCCACAGGTGCCAGCCGGGGTAGTGGTGGTGCCCGGCTCATCCGAACGACAGACGGGACATTTTCGTGGGCAACGGCCATGTGACAGGCAAATCCGTGGGGCGCCAGGACCCTCCTCGGCGGTAGTGCCCCGGCGTACAGGGGCGCAACGGGCGCTGACGTTTTCCTTTGCTTGTTCCTGCGAGGGCGTGGCGCGGCGGGTGCGCTCCAGCTCGCAACGGTGCTGCCAGTCCGGGGACACCCAAACCTAACCTTACGGTCCTGCCCGTGTTAGCGGAGGACCTCGCCCGCGTGTTTGAGTTGAACCTTGAAGGGCATCTTTGTCTGGGTCGCATTATTCAGCGCGGTCGCACAGCAGAAGCGACAAGACGGCGTTTTTCATGCCGAAGGCCCATCATCTGCACAACTGACCGAGCTCGTACGTTTTCCATGCACCATGCTTCTTTGGGCGTCCCCATCGTCGGGGCAAGAGCAATGACCATGTCGTAACAGAAAATATCTGAAATTACACTGGTCCAGGGCAGAGGCTGCCGAGTGGCGGCTGTCCCAAGCGCAGCGTCCAAGTACCGCAGTAATGGGGTCCCGGGGCCCATTCATCAGCCTGCCGCCGCCAGCGCAGCCACCACCGTGCCTTGGGTGCCTCCCGACAGGCTGACAGGCAGGGCGCCGCCCCGTAACCTGCGCTCCGGCTTCACCCATGGGGGCCCACCTCCGGAGCAGCGTTCCCAGCCAGCCCAGCAGGCCCAGCACCATCTTCTTCGCGAGTGCGCGAATACTCGCCAACTGGCCGCGCGGGACCCCTGCTCGCGTACCCGTCCCGGCGCACGCCCTGGGACATTGTGGTCGTCATCCATCCACTTTCACCCGCATGGGACGGACACGCACGCACGCATGCCTGGTGGCCTGGCCGCTGTCGCGTGTGCCGATCGAGGGAAGAGGGAACGTCACCGCGACCCGAGATGGAGGGCCGCCGTGCATGAGTGCGAAGCTGAGGACACCATTGCCTCAATGCCTGCCTGCGCGTCCGTCGTCGTCGCCAGGACGCGACATCATGAGCAGAGGCAACGAGGCGCCGCCGAGGCAAAAACGACGACTCGTGCCTCCGAGCTGGGGAGCACAAGCAGGAGAAAAAATTGCGTTTGCCCAGCGCTGGTTGGCCCGCGCCGCGGCGGCGTCTCCAGTAAAAAATTCCTGGGTTGAGGGATTGGACGGATCCCCGAGGGACTGTCGCAGCGCTGAATGGCCTTGCCCATCCGTATCTCCGCACCCGAATCCCGCCCCGGGGCGTTCAGGGCCTCCCTGGAGCACCCGCAGGCGCCCGTAGGCGTCCGTCGGCGGCCCACCCAGTGGGAGGTGGAGCGCTGACGACGGGACTTTCATTGCTGCGCCAGCGCACCCGCTGCCACCACCCAGCGGGCGGCAGCCCAGTGCGTGTGTGTGCCCCGTACTCCAAGGCAGAGCTCCCCCATCCATGACTCCCTCATCCCTGCGCTCCCGTCAGCCGCGGGGCCAGAGCCCAAAAAAAGGCCCCTGGCCCCGTTCCCAGCACGCGCCTTCGCTGGCCATCTCCCGCATTCTACTCGTACCCGCACCGCGCTCGTGCTCCCCCCGTCCTGAGGCCAATACTTCTTCAAGCACTGGCATCCTGCTGCCTCTTCCTCCTTCTGCAACGCACAGCAACAACATCCACCACCACCTTAATCCCTCCCTTTCTGGACCGCGCGTTTGTTTGACGGGCTTCGGCGCTGTCAAATGAACCTGCAATCGTTTTCATTCTTTAATCTCTACGTGAGTGCTGCTTTGTCCCCCGCCGCGTTTCGCCCCAGCGCCTGCCCCAGAGTTTCGCCGTTGCACCGCTTCGACCGTGACTCAACGTCGACGCCTGGCGCTTGACCTCAGGCAAACAATCACGGCGACAACACCACCTCCTCCATGCAGAAGCTAACCTCGGGTCTCCCATAGTCCCCTCCCCCCTCAGTCTTCTAAATGCCCACCATCTATTCGTCGCTGTACACGAATTTCATCCGTCAAGGATCAACATTCGCCAAGTCGATCACCACCCACGGCTACGCACAATCTGTTGTAGCTGCCGCCCACCCCCATGTTCTAAACGCGCAGAACCGCCCGGTCTTTGGTCGCCGGCATACCAACAGACTCGGGCGTCTCTCCAACTTCCAGCTTCATTCGGCTTTTCACTCTGAGCGGACAGGAGCTGGCCTCTCGTCCGACCATCGCCATGGCCACGTACATGGCGGTTTAGATGCCTATTTTGAGGCTCTCCAGAAGCAGCAGGCTGCTGGCGAGGCCGACAATGAGTGGACGCAGTTTGAGTTCCAGAAGCGGATCGAATGGAAGCCCAGCTCGTCGACCGTTCTTGCTGGCGAGGAGGATGCCCTGGCTGCCGAGGACCCTGCCGTCGAGGCGGTCGAGGATGAGAGCTCGTCTTCCTTCTCGGTGGAGGAGGCTGCCGCCCTGGCACACATCAATGCCGCCCTCGAGAAGGAGATCGAGTCTCGACAGTTGCAAGAGGCCGCTGAGAATGCGCCCTGGGCCTCTGTCCCTGTGTCCCGATCGCAGACGCCCAGGAGTGTCGCGCGCACTGCCACTCCTCCCATTGACAGCCAGTCGCAATCTTACGCCGACCACTTGGCGAAGCTTGCTGCCGCCGACCGATATGCCGAGATTCCTGCAGTGTTCGAGGCCATGCTGGCCACGGGCGTCAAGCCCATTGCCAGCGCCTACAACGCTCTCTTGTTGGCCGCCATCCACATCCCGACGAAGAAGATCGAGATTGTCTCGAAGGCTCTCGACGTCTATGCTGACATGATCCGCCGTCGTGTCACCCCGGACAGCGAGACTTATGATATTCTCGTCAATCTCCTGGCGTCGCGGTCCCTGGAGGTTTCCGCGATGAAGAAGGCCCTTGGGGACAAGCGCCAGCGTTTTGGCGGCATGGACGAGCCCGGCAAGTTCATGTTCGCTTCTCACGAGCTCGAGCATGCCATTCTTTGCGAAGACGACAGGCTCGATCTTGCCATCAAGCTCTTCGACCAGTCGGCCGATGCTGACACCGCCATGTACTCAGCCGAGACGTATCACGAGCTGATCATCGCGTGCGCAGAGGCTGGACGAGTGTCAGACATGCTCCGTCTGTTTGAGCACATGGAGTTCAGCAAGACGGCGCCCATCGCTGCCATCTTCCCCGCAATGATCACTGCGTTCGCCAGCCGCGGTGACCTTGTCAGCGCCGTCGAGTGCTACAACGAGTACCGCAGCCTCGCGGTGGCCCACGACAACGGAAGCGCCAGCCTTCACGACCGACTTGACGACCAGGTCTATGCCGCTGTCATAAACGCTTATGTCGTTTCGGACAAGATTGAAGGCGCGATGAAGTTCTTCCAGAAGATCGTCAGCGAGTACGGCGTCCGTGCCGTTGACATCAAGGACGCTCTTGTCAGCCTTGGCTTCGTCAAAGGATTCATTTCCCGCGGCATCTACCAGGAGGCTTTCCACTGGGCCCAGTCCATCGAGGCTGAGGCTCAGTCAAAGGCTATGGCCCGACTCGCCACCGTCGCTGCCGACAACAGCGAGAAGATGACGGCAATCGACGCGTATGGTAGCATCAAGGGCGACACTCAGGCTATTGTCACCCCCACTATGGCGTTGCTTGCCATGAGCATCCGTGAGGGCGACGTTGCCTCAGCCACCAAGTACTGGCACGCCCTTTCTCGACCGGAAATCCACGCTACTGCGTCTTTCATTGAGCCGACAGCCATGTATGCCGTTGCTCTGATCGGTTCTGGACAGGTCGCTGAGGGTCTGGCCCAGTCAGAGATGATGTTCCAGCGCATCCGTGCCTCGGAATCCGAAGCGCGGACGCAGCTGTCTGAGGAGGTTGACGAGGGTGTCGAGTTCATTCAGCGGTACATGGAAACGCGCGGGATCGCGGACCCTCGTGAGATGGGTTCCCAGATGTCCTCATTGCCTTCTCAGGCGATGAGCGCGTCGCCTTTCCTGTCGACGCCCACTGTTTCCAGCTTTGAGGACAACTTTGATCCGCACGCTCACAGCACCGATTTCAAGGGCTCGTCTCTCATCGCTGACGATCTCGAGGGCAGCCACGGTCGCAAGGGCGCGCGCCTGGGTGATGCTCTCAACCGTTTCCGAAACATGCGCCGCGCTGGCCGCCACCCCCGCTACATCACATACGCCAAGATGATTTCCGCCGCAGCTCGCGAGGGGAAGATGGAGCTCTGCCACGACATCCTCGCCATGGCCCGTACTGACGTCCCGTTGATGCCTCAGTACGCCATGGTCCGTTACGGCTGGTCTTCGATTCTCGACGCAATGGTTGGCGCTTGTCTCACCATGGGCAACCGCGGCCGTGCTGAGCAGTACCACCAGGAGCTCCTGGAGATGGGTGCTGCCCCTTCTGCGAACACGTTTGGGCTCTACATCACGACGCTGAAGGACTCGACCAAAACATTCGACGAGGCGTCTGAGGCTGTTCGCATCTTCCACCGGGCGAAGACGGAGGGCGTCGAGCCTAGCTCGTTCTTGTACAACGCTCTCATCGGCAAGCTGGGCAAGGCTCGCCGTATCGACGACTGCCTGTTTTACTTTGCTGAGATGAGGGCCCTGGGCATCAAGCCAACTTCCGTCACCTACGGCACAATCGTCAACGCCCTATGCCGCGTCAGCGACGAGAAGTTTGCGGAGGAGCTGTTTGATGAGATGGAGGCCATGCCCAACTACAAGGCTCGGCCTGCACCCTACAACAGCATGATGCAGTTCTTCCTGACGACCAAGAGGGACAAGAGCAAGGTGCTTGCCTACTATGAGCGCATGAAGGCGAAGGGTATTGCCCCCACGTCGCACACGTTCAAGCTTCTGGTCGACACGCACGCCACGCTCGAGCCTGTGGACATGACGGCAGCTGAGCAGGTCCTCGAGATGATTCGGGCATCTGGGCAGCGAGCCGAGCCGGTCCACTATGCGTCCCTGATTCACGCTCGGGGCTGTGTGCAGCACGACATGGAGGGTGCCCGGAAATTGTTCGACAGCGTCATTCGGGATTCTCTGGTTCCCGTCAACGCGAGCCTCTTCCAGGCGCTGTTCGAGGCCATGGTCGCCAACCACCAGGTCACGGCCACGGAACCCGTGCTCTCGCAGATGCGAAAGATGGGCGTCGAGCTTACGCCGTACATTGCCAACACGCTGATCCACGGCTGGACGGCGCAGAAGAACATCGACAAGGCCCAGCAGATTTATGGCGCGGTCGTGCGTGAGAAGCGCGAGCCCAGCACGTACGAGGCCATGACGAGGGCCTACCTCGCGGTGGAGCAGAGGGAGCAGGCCAAGGGTGTGGTTGGCGAGATGCTCACCCGCGGCTATCCCAGCGCCGTGGTGAACAAGGTGCTGGAGCTTCTGGGCGGCGGCCAGGAGGCGCCAGCGGCTTGAAGAGGTGGTTGAGTTGTGAGAGCGTTTGGTTGCCTTTTGCGAGCCTCTTTGTTTGATACCCCATTGTGTTCACAGAAAGGAAGGAGTTTGGGGTGTCGTTGTAGACGACCAGAGGCTCTGCATTAGGGTTTCACAGTTTTCCTATGTTTGATGCGGGCATGGCGTTTGGGTTCATTTACAAAACGGAACTGGAGCCTCGGGCAGAGCGGCCCGGAACGAGGCCCAGACAGGATGGCATTGGCGGTCGGGCGGGACCAGCCCAGCGATAGACACATCTCCACTCGGCATGAAAAAAGGCCAAATAGCAGCATAAGGGGTCAAAAGACGGGAAGGGATCGGAGTTGGCGGATGGCGGCATCCAAGCGAGGGCCGCGACGGGGGCAAGGACGGGCTCCTGCTGCTTGTATTATATAGATCTAATGCAACGAGATCTGAGCCACTTGACTTTGTCTTTGTAAAGTGAAGTAAAGTGAGGGCCGAGGGAAACCAATGACTGATCGGTCAGGCGACGCGAGTGAGTGAGTGAGTGAGTGATTGAATCGTAGCAAACCATATTATGTACTGTGGTGAGGAAAGCTGTGCAGATGCCCGGAAAGGGGAAAGTACAGTGCGGATAGCGAAGGTTTATTTGACATCGATGCTCCTCCCCCACTCGGCTTTTGAGAGCTTCACGATCTCAGCCCCGCCACGAGCTGAAGCTTCACCAAGCAACTCACATTGACAGCCGAGCCCTCGCTTTGGCAAAGCAATTTCACAAAGAAATCGGATCACAGCCCACGAGGCTTTGAGAAACGTCTCATTCACGCCGCCAGCTCGGCCTCCACGTCGCAGCAGCAGCCGCAGCAGCAGCAACAACCGAGCAGGCACCGAGCTTCACCGCCGCCGTCGTCGCGATGCCCGGCCAACTGCACCCCACCGTGGCCGTCTCGGCGCCGGGCAAGGTGCTGCTGGCGGGCGGCTACCTGGTGCTGGACCGCAAGTACACGGGGCTCGTCTTCGGGCTGAGCGCGCGCATCAACGTCGTGGCGGGCGCCATCCACACGAGCCAGGGCGTCCAGGTCAACGAGATTGTCGTCGAGAGCCCGCAGTTCCTCGAGGCGCAGTGGCGGTACGGATACCACCTGGCGTCGGAGAGGGGCGGCATCAAGGTCACGCAGCTGCAAGTGTGAGTATTGGAAGCTTTTTACCGACCTGGACCCCTATTTCCTCCTCCTTTGGCGCGGCGCCGGTCCGTTCGTGCGAGGTCGCTTGTCAGTTCGGTTGCTCGGCGGCCGTGGGCCGTGGCCCCCCGAGGCGAGGCGGACAGCGGGCGAGCATGGCGGGCGGTTACACGGCCGGAGAGACAGGCTTCTTCACATGTCGACGTTTCCGAGGCTCGCTGACACATTGTCTTTGTTCGCGTAGGGGCTCCAAGATACAGGCAAACTCGTTTGTTGAGACAACGCTAAGCTACGCGCTCACATACATCGCGGCGCACTCGGCCGGAGGCCGGATCAGCGCGGCGCGGCTCATCGTCCTCGCCGACAACGACTACTACTCGCAGTCGACGCCGACGCCGGCGGACCCGGCGCGGGGCCGCTTCGCCAAGTTCGCGGTGCCGCTGAGCGGCGCCAACAAGACGGGGCTGGGCTCCTCGGCGGCGCTCGTCACGTCGCTCACGGCGGCGCTGCTCAGCCACTACCTCCCGCGCGAGGCCTTCGACGCCGCCACGCCCGAGGGCCGGCGCACGCTGCACAACCTCGCGCAGGCGGCGCACTGCGCGGCCCAGGGCAAGGTCGGGTCCGGGTTCGACGTCGCGGCCGCCGTGTACGGCTCCTGCACGTACCGGCGCTTCTCGCCCGCCGTGCTCGCCTCGCTGCCCGAGCCGGGATCCCCCGGGTTCAGCGACCGGCTCGTCGCGGCGGTGGACGACGGCGACGGCGCGTGGGACGTCGAGGTCGAGGGCGACGACGACCTGGGGATACCGGCGGGCGTGGCGCTGCGCATGTGCGACGTCGACTGCGGCAGCCAGACGGTCGGCATGGTCAAGAAGGTGCTCGCGTGGCGGGCCGGCCCCGACGCCGACCACGCCAAGCAGCTATGGGACGACCTGCAGGACCGCAACGAGGCGCTCGCGGCGGCCCTGCGCGACGGCCAGCCCGACGAGCTCTCCGGCGCGCTCGACGCCGTGCGCGAGCGCATCCGCGAGATGGGCCGCCGCAGCGGCGTGCCCATCGAGCCCGACACCCAGACGGAGCTTCTGGACGCGCTCGGCGCCGTCGAGGGCGTGTACGGCGGCGTCGTCCCCGGCGCGGGGGGGTACGACGCCCTGGCGCTGCTGATGCGCGACGACGACGACACGGCGCGCCGGGTCGAGGCCCGCCTCGCGGCGTGGAGCAAGGACAAGGGCTCGCGCGTCAGGCTGCTCGACGTCAAGGGCGAGACCGAGGGCGTGCGCCTCGAGAGCCTGGACTTGTACCGCGGGTGGCTGGAGTGACGGGCGATGACGATGGACGGTGATGATAATAATAGTTCTTGACGGCGGTGTGTCCCACCACACACACACACACACACACACACACACACACACACATATATATATATACACACCACATGTCACAGAAAAAGAAAAGAAAAAGCCAGTGTTCTCGGGCGCCACGGAGCCAAGCCTTGACTGGAAGCAATAGTCTTGACGATAACGTCGACAGACGAGCACAAAAAGTCAAAGAAGCAAAAACATTTCGCCAAGTTTCACAAAGAGCCAAGCGTTGAACTACTTCCCAACACGTTTGACTTTATATTCGTATTATCTAGTGACGACTGCGCCCCGAGACGATGATTGAGAAATTAGTGCGCCTGGGGGCAGGCCACGTTTCGCCCCTGTAGTGTCCCCAAGATGTCCGTTCCCGTTCCTTTACCCATGACAAAAGTCCTCCGCGTATGCTCATTCCCTTCCCGTCCCTGAGGCCCAAGCCAAACCCGTCTATCAGCAGTGATTCCCTCCTGTCCCATCGTACAAAGGCCGTCCCGTCTCGTCCAGTGCCGTGACGTTTCGTCCGTCCCATAACAGTCCGTCCGTCAGTCCGCCCGTCCATCTGTGCGCCGGAACCAAAGCCTCATTTCCCCGAGAAACAAAAAGGAAAACTTAAAAGAAAGCAAAGAGTTCCCACGCGGTTTACGCCAGTTTACCCCTGCCCTTCCCCCCAGCCGAGACAAAGATGGAAAGCAAAAAGCATGTGTTGCTGGTGTGTTGTAGTTGCCGGTGACGGTAGTTGGTTTTTATTTGTGAAAATCGATGTTGTTGCTGTTGTTGTTACACTGCCGAACGAGTCTTGTCGTCGACAGAAAAGGGAAAAGGAAAGCAGATTTGCATTGTCGGTGGTGGATGAGATGGTAATGATGACGATGTTGTCGCGATGATGATGATGTCGGTGTTGATGGCCTCGACGAATGTCTCACCACACCGGCCGGGCGGGGACGGCAATGTGCGGCGGCAGCGACGTCATGACGGCAGGAGAAGGTGTGCGCAGCGGGCGCGAGATCTTGTGCAGAGACGGCGAGCGGGAGCGCGAGGGCATGTACTCGAAGACGCCGATACGGCTCGCGGCGGCCTTTTCACGGAGGATGGAGATTCTATTCGGCGAGACGCCCCAGGTCAGCAAAAGCAGAAATTTGGGCGGCACTTGATAATGGAGCAACGTACTCGTCCTCAGAGACGCCTGGCAGGCAGACGGGCTCCAGCTTGAGATCGAAAGGAGCAGACTGAAGGGTGGTCAGCAATGAAGTCCTCGCAACAAGATGAGAGAGACTGGGCACGAAGGAAGCAGCAGCGGCTAATACTCACAATCTCCATGGGAACCCTCTTCTGCTTGCGCCGACGCTGCAGCAAGGTCTGAACGCGCGAGTAGAACATCCTGACGTTGTCCTTCAGACACATGTATAGACGAGAAGTGAGAGAACGTCGAGACCCGTTCCGGGGGGTATGGCCTCCCAAGAGGTGAGAGGGCTCGGTGGCTGCTGAAGAAAAGGAGCGTGAGCTGCTGCTACCGACAGGCCGGTTCACCCGGATTGCCGCGCAGAACAACGGGGTATAAGTAATAAGTAAATAAAATGGCGGCAAGTACGGGATGCGATGGCGATGGCGATGCGATGTGATATCTTATAAGAGAGATGGCGCCAAGGAGACCCAGCAGTCTGGTTACCGGTAGCGGCCGGGGTGGAGGGGGGAGTTGCCTGCCGAAGAGGGTGTGAAGGCCGATTTGTGTGTGTTGGCGATGCCGATGGTGGTGGTGGTGTCGGTGATGATGTCGGTGGTGGTGTTGGGTCAAAGGAAGTAGAAAAAGAAAAGGGACGCGCAATGTCGCTAATTAACAAGAAATGCCCCGGGTGTGCCGATGATAAGAATAATACGGAGGACTGAACGTGGTGGTAATAATGACGGAAGCTTTTTGTTGTTGTGTTGTTGCTTGTGCGGCCGCTGCCGATGATGCGAGAGATGAGGACCGGGCTTTCGGCCAAATGTCAGGTACAGTAAGCTGGCCGGGGCGCACACGGTTGGTGCGATGTGACGGGGTGATGACGGTGGTCGGGGCCACTTTGCACGCACGCAAGAGGCGTCCGTTCGGTCGCTCGGCTTCGTCGTCGTTGTGTGGTGTTGTTTGTTGGGGCTGCTGGCCTGTCCCCTGTTGGTGTTGCGTGTTGTTTGTTGGTGGCGGCTGCGCCGAACGGGCGGTGGCTGCGATCCCAGGGTGCACTCGGAGGCACCTGCGAAATAGGAAGGCTGAAAAGAAGACAGTACTGTACTCCGTAGAGGTGGAGCAAAAGAAACGACAAAGTAAAAATGAGAGAAAGTAGTAGAAGGGAAAAAGCAAAGGTGTTTGCGTTGTCGAGTCCCGACCGTCTGGGTGCCGACAATAATAGCGTCGCGAGTACGATATCAGGCCGACCGATCGAGTGAGGCAGCAAGCAGCAGGGTTGATTCCGACGGTCCGGTTCGAGACTGCACGCCCGCCGCTGACAGCTGAGCCGCAAGTATTGAAACAGCACAAAGGCCCAAGCACCCGACCTGTTACAGCACTGTACTTGCCGGGTCGAAACGGCGACTTGAGGCAAAAAGAAGGAAAGAAGGCCAAGCACGGTAGAGCTGGCGGACCGGGCTGACAAAAGACGCAACACCGGACGGGCGACGATGCAGGTGAGAACAGAAACAGGCGAGCGACTCGGGCTCGACTCGAGGCTCGGAAACAAAGGTCAAGGAGCGGCACGCCAAAGACGACTAAAAGGCCTCGGCAGACAACAACGAAGCTGTCTTTGTCAAGATGTTTTGAAACTGGTGGTTTGCGTTGGAGCCCAAAGGCAAGCGAGCGTGCGTGAACAATGGACCCGAGTCGTCGAGGGCCGCGTTATATTAGTATGAATGCGCGTTGCTGCTGCGTTGCCCTGCCCGCGACACGACACGGCATGACACGCCAGGCCCGTATGCAAGGCACGTCTTCGCAAAGGGCAGCGTACAGTAACCAGAGTGAGAAAGTGTCTGCAGCTCCATCCGTCCAGCCCGCCCGCCCACTTCAAGGGCGGCCAAGCCGTACCCTCTCGTCGCCAGCCCTCTCTCTCTTTGACACATGCACATCTCGAAGCGTGACACGGGGGCGGCCGAAAAAAGGGTCTTGCTTTGCGTCTGAGACGCTTCGCTCACGCAGAAAAAACGGCAGGCCGGGCAGGCCAAGGGCACGGCAACTGCGTCCGCACGGCGACCACGTCGTCCGTCGTTTCGTTTCGGGACACGAGCTGCGCCAGCTGGAATGCCGTCCCGGTCGGGCTGGAATGGAATCCAGGGCGTCGCATCGCGCGTCTCGCCCGCAAACTGCCACCATCGAGTGGCTCGTGCCTCGACCCGGCGCCCAACCAACACGCGACGTCCCAAAAGCAACCGTGAATGGACGTTTCGGGGGTCCCGACACACATAGCCGGCGATGCATCCCGGGGCACGCACTGGATCCCATGGGTCCCCGGGTCTCTCTGGGTCCCTGGACAAGGCCTCCATGCGTGCGCCTGTGCCTGTACCTGGGCCTGGGCTGGGGCTGCCGAGCTGCAGGGCGATCCGGCTCCTTCACCACTTTGCACGGTTGGCCTGGTAATTGCGGAGGGCTGAGGCGGCCGTCCCCCCTGTGAAACGAGTGCATTAACTTGGTACCTGAACGTGGCCCTCTATTCCTCCTCTCCTACCTGGTCTGACCGGTCGCCGACGCCGTGAATCGAATCCGTCGCTTCTCCCTTGCGTTCGCCAGTGGGGGGGGCCGGCCTTGTCTCACTCCCCTAGCGAGCATCCATCACAGAGCGTCGGCATTCACGCCCAATCTTCATAAACCGCCCGCCGTGTCCTTGTGGCCCCGATGCCATCCCTCTCGTGCCAGCACCCGACCGACCGTCCGTGGCCCCATGCATGACGCAACCCCAATGGCTTCGGGTGGCGGATGCGACCGCGATCTCGGTACCGGCCCAATTTCACACAAAAAAGCCCGGCAAGGGTCCCTGGTTCCAAGGGCGACGTCTCTCGCTAATCGTCAACACGTCTCATCAAAATCTCAGCTTGTCTGGTCCCGGCGCACCGTCCCGGGCGGTGGCACCGGTGGCACCACGCCTGCCGCGGCGCCCCTTGTGACTCGTCTCTTTGCTGCATTATTTCGGGTAGTCCTTGACGTGGAAGCTCTTGGACTTGACAAACTGCTCGAACCCGAACCGCCCCAGTGTCTGGCCCTTGCCCGAGTTCTTGTACCCCGTCCACGCCAGATCCTGCGCTCCATTGTTAGCTCTGTACTCTGCGCTCTGCATCCCGACCCGCCCTCGTCGCTCGGGGGACATACCGGACTAGGATAATCGCATCGATTGACGAACACAGTGCCCGCTTCCACGTCCTCGGCCAACTCGTAGCCCTTGTCCGTGTCCTTGGTCCAGATGCTTGCCGTCAGCCCAAACTCGCTGTCGTTCATGAGCTTGAGTGCCTCGGCATCACTCTTGACCTTCATGATGGGAATCACCGGGCCAAACGTCTCCTCCGTCATCACCGTCATGGAGTGATCGACGCCCGTCAGCAGCGTGGGTTTCACAAAGTTGCCCTTGGGCGGCGGGTTCGCGAAGCTCTCATTTTCCGGGGTCGCATCCTTGGCGCCCTTGTCTAAGGCGTCCTTGATGTGCGCCTCAATTGCCTCCTTGGAACGCTTGGAAATGACGGGTCCTACGTGAGTGGACTTGTCAAACGGATCGCCGAGCTTGTAGCCCTTGAGCACCTTCTGCACCGCTGCGACAAATCCGTCGTGAATCTTTTCATCCACGTACACTCTCTCGAGCGAGCAGCAGCTCTGGCCAGAGTTGAAGATGGCACCGTCGACAATCTCCTCGGCGGCCCAGTCAATGTCCACGTCATCTCTGATGTATGCCGGGTCTTTGCCGCCGAGCTCGAGGCCGACGTTGACGATGCGGTCGGCGGCAGCCTTCTGCACGGCCAAGCCGCCGGCCACGGAGCCCGTGAAGCAGACCAGAGCGATCCTGGGGTCCCGGACAATCGTCTCCATGACGGTAGGGGAGCCGCAGTGGAAGTACTGCAGCACGCCCTTGGGCAGCCCAGCATCGGAGAATATCTGAGCCACGCGCTCCACGATGGTGGGGGTCTGGGGCGAGGGCTTGAGAATGACCGTGTTGCCGGCCAGAATAGCGGGGATCAGGGAGTTGACGAGAATCAAGTAGGGGTACTGCATGAGACGGGCAATCAGTCCGAGCTCGGGCTTGGCGTATAAGGCAGCAGACTCACATTCCACGCAAAGATGATGAGCACGGGTCCGACAGGCACCTTGCGGATGAAGCGCTTGAAGCCCTTCTCCGGCTCGCCGTCGGTGTCCTTGAGGGCCTCGTCACTGATCTTGAGCAGGTACTCGCCGCGCTTGACCGCTGTGCTAATCTCCTTGCCGGTAAAGGCGATGGGCCGACCCATCTGCACCGTCAGCTCCTGGGCCAGGTCGCTCTCATGGTCGCCAAGCCCCTTGAGGAACTTTCTGACGATGTCCTGCCTCTCTTTGAGCGTGGTCTTGCGGAAGCTCTCGAAGGCTTCGGTGGCGACCTTGGGCAGCTGCTCAAGATCCGCCGCCGAGGCCCCATTGCGGGTGATGATGGCCTCGTTGGTGGTGGGGGAGATGGTGTTGATGACTTCGACAGACATGATGGGATACGGTTCAAGGCGTTCTGACGAGGAGGAGATGATGTGTTGGAGGAGGGGAAATGGTCCAAGTGTCGATGGGCATGTATGATGTGAGGCAGTCGCGATGGAGGGGAGCTTGCCATGACATATACGTGCCCCACGCCACCCGCCCAGAATCTCGGGGCGAGTGCGCCGGCAGCTCTTGCTCCATCTGATTAGCCGCCTGCCGCGCGACCGCGCACCGAGTTCGGTCCCGCCGACACCCCGCAATCGCAAGTGCTCACGGCGTCCGATCTGGCGAGCGATGGCTTAGGCGCAGTCACTTGACCACACGTTGACAATTACCCGGGTTGACATTGTATCGTAAATCATACCCGGCGTTGACTTGCCGCGGCCATGTCCCTGACGGCTCCTGGGCGGGCGACCCCTGGAGGCGGGTTGGCGGCATGCACTGACAACCCCTCCATCTGCCTTGTGAGCCAATGGCGTGCGTTGCCGCCAACCCAGCCCGCCTAACAGCCTTATCGATAAGGGGCAACATTTTTCTCCAGCGCAAGAGGACCTGCTGCCGTTGCGGCAAGAAGCGCCAGGTTGTTCAGGTTGTTCACTGATCGCACCTCACACACCGACGCCGGCATGGCTCCGCCAAAGAAAAACGAGTTCCTCGATGCTTCCGACAGCGAAGATGATCAGATTGACGCCTACGATTCCGACAACGAGGTGGCCAAGGGCGGCCGCAGCGCGAAGCGGCGCAAGGTCGACAGCGACGAGGACGACGACGTGATCAGCGACGCGGAGCAAGACGCAAGCGACGCCGAGGGTGACGATGACGAGGGAGAATCAAGTAAAGAAGCCGAAGCGGGAGACGAGGGCCAAAAACAAACCTCAAAATCCAAGTCCAAGAAGACGAAACCAGAGCTCGACACGGAGCTTCCAGACATCACCAGGCCATTGACCAAGAAGAACCTGGTCGCCACCGACAAGGCCATCAAGAAGTCTGGCGTCGTCTTTCTCTCCAGGATACCACCCTTCATGAAGCCCGCCAAGGTCAGATCCCTGCTGGAGCCGTACGGCACCATCAACCGCACGTTCCTCGCGCCCGAGGACCCGGCCTCGCACGCGCGCCGCGTCCGCGCGGGCGGCAACAAGAAGCGCCTCTACACCGAGGGATGGATCGAGTTTGTGCGCAAAAAGGACGCCAAGGCGGTGTGCGAGCTGCTCAACGCGCGCATCATCGGCGGCAAGAAGGGCAGCTACTACCACGACGACATCTGGAACCTCGTCTACCTCAAGGGCTTCAAGTGGCACCACCTGACGGAGCAGATCGCGGCCGAGAACGCCGAGCGGGCCAGTCGCATGCGGGCCGAGATCAGCAAGGCGACCAAGGAGAACAAGGAGTTTGTGCGCAACGTGGAGAAGGCCAAGATGCTCGACGGCATGCAGGCCAAGGCCAAGTCCAAGAAGCGCAAGGCCGCGGACGGCGACGCGGAGGTTGCTGCTGCGCCGGCGGCCGCGGCGGGCGGCGAGCGGGAACGGGCGCGGACGTTCAAGCAGGTGCAGCAGGTCAAGAAGGCGGACGTGGAGGATCAGCCCGAGCGTGTCACGCGGGTTCTGAGCAAGATCTTTTAAGCCATAGCATGTGTCGCGATGTGATGTTTAATTACCCATCCGGCGTGGAGTTGGGGTTTGATCTCTGTACCAAAAGATAGCCACTTGCATGTGAACCATATATTCCGTCGCTCAATCACAGGGAAGTCGGCCAACATGCAATTCCGCTGTCAAGACGCCGTATCCGGTGCAGAACGGTGCCATGCAATCGTCGTCAATGTTGCTAATGCAGCGGCACCAATGATCCTTTCGGTGCTAGCGCATCCCCCAGCGTCGAGTCACCGCCAGCACCCACTGTGGCGGTCGCGATAAGACTTTTCCCAGCGCTTATCAAGCAGCGGGGCAAACATTTTTCGAGTCCCCGCGAACACCGACTTTCTCTACAGCAGATCCAGCCCAAGCCAGGCGCTCCCTCGCCATCGACATCATCACCACCCACAAAGACAGCCACGGACATATTCACCGGCAAAATGTCCATGGACCTTGACGACGACGCCCCCGTGGCCATCGGGGGCCAGTCGCAGCAGACTGGCGCCACGTACGTTTCCCAGTCGCAAAGCCTCGTCCCTCTGCCTGAGACGGAGACATGGCCGATATGAAGGACTGAAATGCTAACATCCGTCTAGGATTCTCTGCTACAACTGCGGCGCCCCCATCGACGGCACGACGGCGACCGGCGCGCTGTGCTTTGCCTGCGTCAAGCTCACAGTCGACATCTCCCAGGGCGTCCAGCGCGAGGCGACGCTCAACTTCTGCCGCGACTGCGACCGATGGCTCATGCCCCCCACGAGCTGGGTCGTGGCCATGCCCGAGTCCAGAGAGCTGCTTGCCCTCTGTCTGAAAAAGCTGCGCGGCCTCAACAAGGTCCGCGTCGTCGATGCGAGCTTCATCTGGACCGAGCCCCACTCGAGGCGGATAAAGGTCAAGCTCACCATCCAGGACCAGGTCCAGGATGGCATGCTGCTCCAGCAAACCTTTGAGGTGGTGTATGTGGTAGCAACGCAGCAGTGCCCCGAGTGCGCCAAGTCGTACACGGCCAACGTGTGGAGAGCCTGCGTCCAGGTCCGGCAAAAAGTGCTGCACAAGCGTACCTTCCTTTTCCTCGAGCAGCTCATCATGAAGCACAGCGCCCACAGAGATACCCTCAACATCAAGGAGGCCAAGGACGGCATCGACTTTTTCTTTTCGCAGAGAAATCAGGCTGAGAAGTTTATCGACTTCCTCAACTCGGTCGTCCCCGTCAAGGTCAAGTCGTCGCAGGAACTCATCTCTCAGGACGTCCACACGTCCAAGAAATCCTTCAAGTTCACCTACTCGGCCGAGATTGTGCCGATTTGCAGAGACGACCTGGTCGCCATGCCCATCAAGCTCGCCAAGCAGTACGGCAACATTTCACCCCTCGTCCTGTGCCACAAGATCGGCACGTCAGTATACCTCATGGACCCGCAGACTCTCCAGACCGCCGACATCAGCGGCCCCGTCTACTGGCGTTCGCCTTTCACGTCTCTAGCAGACGTCAAGGAGATGGTCGAGTTTGTTGTCATGGACATTGAGCCAACGCCGACCAGGAGAGGCAAATGGGTCCTCTCGGAGGCGACGGTCGCCCGTGCGTCGGATCTTGGCGTCAACGACAAGACCTACTTCACCCGGACACACCTCGGCCATTACCTGCAGCCGGGCGACTCCGCCATGGGCTACCTGCTAACAGGCACAATGTTCAACAACCCCGAGTTCGAGGCGCTCGAGGAGTCCAACGTGTACTCGTCAACGATCCCGGACGTTGTGCTGGTCAAGAAGCACTATCCCAACCGCCGAAGGAACCGCCGCCGCAACTGGAAGCTCAAGCGCATGAACAAGGATGAGGGCGAGCTGTTGCCCAAGAAGGCCGACCAGGACCGCATGGACCGCGAGTACGAAATGTTCTTGCAGGACGTCGAGGAGGACGAAGAGCTGCGAGCCGCCATGGCTCTGTATAAGAACGAGAAGAAGCGCGAAGAGGAGGAGATGAGCATAGCGGAGACGGAGACGGACGCCGGGGACGACGCCGGCGTGCCGCAGGTCGACATGGAAGAGCTGCTGGATGACTTTGACGAGCTGACGATGCAGGAGCAATAGTTTAATGGCGGCGTTTAAAATATTGCTGTTCAGGCGTACATGAATGAAGTCTCTTCGCCCGTGGAGGCAGCCAGCTTCTCATAAGAAGGACGGAATCGTATCCGGTGATAGTTTGATCTTTGGTGATTCCTTCTCTGCCGGCTTCCTCATCTGCTCTCTGGACTTTTCTCGGCGCACGCGGCGTTTGTTGACACCGAAAGGGTCATCGTCATCGTCGTCCAAATCAATAACGTGGTGGCGTTCTCGACCGCTGCTTCCCGCGGCATTGTCTCGGGTCGCGTGTCGCGCCATGCCTCCATGAGAGGGCGTGCGATCGACAGAGCCATGAGGTGCGCGGCTTATCGAGGCCGTCGCCGGCGAGGAATGGTGGCGCGGAGTCGCAGCGAGCCGAGGAGCAGCATTGTTCGAGGCTTCTCCTGGCGTGGGGGACGAGGTCGTCGACGATGTCTCGGCGAGCGACGAAGACTCACGCTTGCGCTTAGACCTGCTGCCGCTGCCACCCCGAAAGCCATCGGACCCTGTGTTTGTGCTTGCCGTGGCCGACGCATGATACCCCGCCGCGGCGCGCGTCGTAGAATGCACCGGCGCATAGGACGATATAGTCCTCGTCTCGCTGCGCGGCCGCTCCATGAGGCCCTGCAGACTGGTTCCCAACCAGGGCAAGTCTACCGCCGCCGCGCTCCCGCTGCCATTGGCGTCGGTGCCGCCCTGACGCTGCTGCAGCCGCTGCTGCCTCGCGCCGCGACGGGACGCCTCCCTGCGGAAGCGCGCCGTGGCCGTCAGCGGCGGGGCGACGACGGGGCGCTCCATCTCGCGGACGGCGGCCTCACCCTGCGCGCGGGCGGCTGCCTTAAGCCGGTTGTACTCTGCGCGGTGGAGGTGCGTGGTGAAACGTTGGGCTACGGCGAGGAACTCGTCCTCGACCATACGATAGCGATCATCAGCGTCGGCGCCGGGGATCATGAGCCTGCGCGTGAGAGTTAGTGAGTTGAAGCAGAACCCCCGCGACATGGCAGACGACGTACTGTTCTTGAGGCGGCGCGGGAGGGGGCGAAGTAGACGGGCTGCGGACTGCATCTCTTCCTATTTTGAAGCGACATATTAGCCGACGAATCTCATGGCGATGCGAGGCGGTACGTACGCGAAGCCGATGCCGGGGTGTGGTCGCGTCGTGGCGTGGATACAGCAACTTGACGCGCGAGCCTCACTGGCGTTCTGATGCCGCCCGACGGCGCGGGACTCTCCGCCTTGGGAACATTTCTAGGCGATGGATTTTCATTTGCGTCGTCTTCTGTTTTTGTTTTCCAGGGCAAGCGTCGTGCCATGACGATGATGTGATGTGATGAGGTGAAGGTGATGCGAGTGTTTAGTGTTGCAGTCAGGACCCTGAGAAGTGGTTCAGTGTTGGGGGCGCGTGGCCAATGAATGCAAGCGAGGTGCCCAGAAGTGCGCAGGTGTTCGTCAGGGTTGAAGTGCTCGACTGCCTGGCCGCCTGCCAAGGCACATTAAAGACAATGCGGCTCATATTACAATAACTTCTCGGTTTTAGTCTAAAGCATTACGATTCTGATTTGAAAGGAGCCAGCCATGGCGGCGCGTGGTTGTGGAAGCTCAGGAGGCAAGTGAGCGCACCAAGTCGCACCTGCCAAGGCTTACAACTTACCCTGCGTCTCTCCCCATCCAACCTCCAGCTTCCACCTCACTTCTTCTCATACACTCCTTCCCATGTCTGTCCAGTCCCAATACCCTCGAGGTAATTTCACGTCTAACGGGTGGCAAATACAATAGTTTCTCTGTTGCAATGTCCCATCAGCGTCTGGCTGCAGCTGCTGCCGGCGCTTGTTCTAGCCCCGAAGTCATCCTGTACTATGTGAGATCGACATGGCATACGACACCATGTCCGAGAAAGTCGGACACTCAAAAAGGCGACGCGGCGATTCATCAACCCGTCTAGAGACGCAAGGCTAAGCTCAGCAGGCGGGTGTCGCGCATAGTAGCCCTCCACCCGGCAGCGCCGCCTCGGCAGTCTACACCGATGCGGCATAGGGCTGCCGAGCGTTGCCGCACGAGGTAGATTGGGAGGATTCGCCAGGGTCGCATCCGCCGATTCAAGGTCCCGCATACGAGGACTCCTGCCGTCATTGCCCTGGCCCCGGGGCCCGCCTCTGGGCAACCTGGATAGTCTTTTGCTGGTGCGACACTGTCGTTGATGTTGACGGTGGCCGAGCCAGATGCCTCGGACGTGGCGACGAGACGTGCCTGCGATCATCCTTTAGGCGTGCGAGTATAGGTGTTGAAGAAAGGGGTTCATGTCCGCGTATAAAAGGGCAACAAGCTTCCCCAGATTCCCCGGATTCTTCAGACCCAAAGCGGCAGCGACTCCACGCTATCGAACTCCCTATCCATACCCGGTCTATAAATCACCATGAAGCTTCCCTCCGCCCTCTTGGCGGCAGCCATCCTTGGCTTGGCTACCGCCTCGCCCCTCGATCTGGACCGCCGCGCAACCTCCAAGTCCTGGGCCGGCACAAGCAACTACTTCATCCAGGGCCTCTCGGCCGAGGACCAGCAGACGTATCTGAAGCAACTTGCCGCGGCCGGCATCAAGACCATCCGTCTCTGGGTCAACAGCCAGTCGGGCAATGGTGCCTGCGTCAAGGGAAACGTCAGTGCCACCAGTGTGCCGGAGCTTGAGACCACCATCGGCCAGTACAACAACGAGACGCTCGACGCCCTGGACCAGACGCTAGTGTGGGTTGGCCAGAACGGGCTCAAGGCCATCATCTCGCCTCATGATGGGAACAAGCTCAACGGCGCAAATGGGTATGTTTTTCCTCGTCATAATCCAAGACATGCTTGATGGTGCGCTGCTACCGTTCTATAAACCTCGAAAAGCGGCCTGATCACAATAAGAAACAAAACAACTTACACGTATCTCGCAGAAACGACATCTACGGTCAAACATATGGCTCCGGCAGCTTCTACGAGGAGCAGGCCGCATACGACGCCTACGACGCGCGCCTCCGCTTCATCACGTCCTACACGGGCAAGCACAGCGGCAAGACCTGGCGCGACTGGCACGACGTCATCATGGCCTTTGACCTGCAGAACGAGCCCTTTGCCCCCAAGACGGACGAGTGCTCCAGCAACGGCGCCGCGGCCAAGACGTGGGTGTGCGGCCGCTCCGACGCCCTGAGGGCCGCGCTCGGTGCCGACAACCCGATCAAGATTGCCTCGGGCGGCTTCGGCGGCGACTACTCCAAGGGGTGCTCGTTCTTTGAGGGCGCCATGAGTTGCTCGTCCCTGGACATTGTCGCCGGTACGCTCTCCCTCTTACAGCTACTCTCCCCTCAGCCCTTGACCAGCCCCCCTGAGTTCATGGCCGAGATGCTATGTGACCACCATTCTGCACACACAGAGAACCATGGCATACAGCTCACACATAACATGTGCTGACACCACGCGCAGTCCACCGCTACGCCGGCTCCGAGTCCTCCAACCCCAACCAGTGGGCCGACAGCTACGCCGGCTGGCTCTCCTCGGCGGGCGGCAAGCTCGTCTTCCTCGAGGAGTGGGGGGTCGACACGGGCGCCCTCGACCCCAAGTCCGAGTTCCCCGCCAACACGGCCGACATGAACGCCGGGGGCCTCCCCTGGGTATACTGGCAGCTGCTCCCGAGCAAGAAGTGCGACGCCTCCGACGGCGACCATTTCGGCTTCTTCATCGACGGCGGCGTCGACGTCGCGGCGCAGGCTGGAGGCGCGTCGGCCGCGACGTCCAAGCAGGACTGGACGGGCATCGTCTACTGAGCTGTTGAGGGGTAGAGCATATCGGCCAGATGGATGGTGTTCAGGGGTCGGTAGGCAAGCGAGCCCCTGAGTGAGTGTATATACTTGCACAAGTGGCACACATATGGAATGAAAGGTCCACGCACATAGGCAGACAGTCTTGCAAAGAAGAAACAAACATTTCGCAGTCGACGTCATCGCCACTCCTCGCATGGCCGCGTTTTATTCATCAAGCAAATCCTCTACAGATACCTAGGTGTGTCCAGCTCTTGGGCCCGCCCTCGTAAGAAACAGAGAAAATGTAGGTTTTACAAAAGAGACGCCATTATGCCGTAACTACAAGACAGACAGAGGGGGTGAAACAAGTGACATGGGGGGGTTTTGTTCTTTTTCTTCCCTCATCATGCTCGCTTACTGAGTCTCGCCGACGACTTTCCGGATGGCATTGGCCACGTGGTCAATGTTGTTGGTGTTGAGGCCGGCCATGCTGATGCGCCCGTTCTTGGTCATGTAGATGTGGTACTCCTCGCGCAGCTTCTGGACCTGCGTCTCCGTCAGGCCGGTGAAGCTGAACATGCCGATCTGGTCGGTGATGTGGTTCCAGGTGCCGGGGGTGCCGAGGGCCTCGAGCCTGGAGCGCAGCTCCTTGCGCATGGTGATGATGCGGCCCGACATGGTGCGCAGGTTGTCCTCCCACTCGGCGAAGAGCTGGGGGTCGTTGAGGACGGTGCTGGCGATGCGGGCGCCGTAGAGCGGGGGGTTGGAGATCTCGGAGCGCTGCAGGATGGCGAGCTGCGAGGCGATGCGGCCGATGGTGGCCGGGGCGTCGGAGCCGGGGCCGGTGACGACGTGGAAGCAGCCGGCGCGCTCGCCGTACAGGCCAAAGTTCTTGGCGAAGCTCTGGCAGACGACGAGCTCGAAGCCCTGCTCGATGAAGTAGCGCACGGCGGCGGCGTCGCGGGCGAGGTCGCCCGAGGCGAAGCCCTGGTAGGCGCAGTCGAAGAAGGGGAAGTGCTTCTTCTGGGCCATGATGGCGGCGAGCTCCTTCCACTGGTCCAGGGTCGGGTCGACGCCCGTGGGGTTGTGGGCGCAGGGGTGCAGCAGGATGACGGAGCGGTCCGGGGCGGCCTGGATGGCGGCCTTCATGCCCTCAAAGTCGAGGCCGTTGGACTTCTTGGAGAAGTAGGGGTAGTCGGCCGTCTGGAGGCCGACATTGCCAAAGATCTGCTTGTGGTTGGCCCAGGTGGGGTTGGACAGGTAGACGACGCGGTTGCCCTTGTAGAACTTGGCGAGGAAGAGGGCGCCGAGGTGGACGGCTCCCGTGCCCGAGATGGTCTGCATCGACGTGGCGCGCTTCTCGCGCAGGGCCGGCGAGTCGGCGCCGAGTATCAGCTCGGCGGCCTTGGAGGTGAACTCGGGGAAGCCGGCGATCGGAGCATATTCGTGGTTCAGTTCGGGGTTGCTTCGGAGAATGTCGTCGGCCTGTCAGAGCGGAGGGAGTCAGCAGGTGCATTCGCCTAACACGAGGCACGATTGCGGAGCAGCTGCGCAGACAGCCGGGCATGGGGGAGCTCCGCCAGAAGCAATTCTTGTGGAAAAACTGCTCGGTGGAGGAGTCACCCCTCAGTTGCGACTCAAGCGAGTCTCCCCAACATATCCAGGCTGCGCCATATGCGCGCTCAAGACAACCACACAATGCACGCACCTTCTTGACGACGGGCAGAACCCAAGGCTTCCCATTGTTGTCGCGGTAAGCTCCGATGCCCTGTTTAGTTGAAGCGCGGTCAGTTTGAGGTTCTGCCATCGGATCCTGGCGCCCTCCGAACATCGGCCAGGAGGGCGGGCAGGACAGGAACAAGGGGAAAGGGCAAGTTCATACCAGGTCGACCTTTTGCGGGCTCGTGTCGGCCTTGTAGGCGCGGGCGAGGCCAAAGAGGGCATCTTCAGGGGCCTGGGGGACGGTGTCGGCGGGGAAGCTCGTCGCGGAAGCCATGGCGGGCGAGATGTGGTTTGCAATGCTGTTGAGGCGCTGGAGGGAGGATGACGCAGAGGCGGAGGGAGTTGAGGACGAGGACGAAGACGGAGCCATGGTGGGCTGGCGGGGGGCGGGGCAGCCTGGAGTAATAACCAATTCGTCACTGGCTAGGTGTCTCTGGAGACCGCAGTGGAGAGAGCGCGCAGAGGGTGCAAGGGAAGCCCTGGGGCCTTGGGTGGCAGGTGACACAGTTGTTTCCGCGCTAGGTGTCGTTGCTCGTACGAGTAATGGCGCGGGCGGGAGGAGGAATGCCCAGGAAGGAGTGGGAGGGATGTCGGGCGTCTGTCAGATGCCGGCGGCTTCCAGGTTGGCTAGGTACCTAGGCAGTTGGATGTCGGCGCTGGGGGTGGGTGGTGTGTCGAGTCGCTGTACTGCACGCTGCACACTGCACTGCACTCTGCGCTGCACGCTGCAATGCGGACGCCTTCTGCTGCGCTGTTTCCTGGGCAGGCGGTCCAATGGAATCAGACAGGTCCACTGCTGGGCCCTGCGGGAGGTGCGCTGATTTTGGCGACAGCTGGGACGGGAGTGCTCGGCGGGCGGGCGGGCGCGCTAACGTAATAGCGGGCAGCAGCGTCTGCTGTATGTGGTGTACTTCGTACCGTGTAGTCGAGCGTTGCGTCGGCGGGCGTTGCTGAAACCGGCAATCAACCTAACAGCCGAGCAACAAGGGCGCGGGTAAACGGGTAGGCTGTTGCTGCTGCTGCTGCAAAGAGAGCTCTCGCCTGATCTGTGCAGGGTCGGATGTCGGTTTAGGACTTGTCGGTGCGAGTGGGCTTTTTTGTTGCTTCCTTCAAGGTTCTGGCTTCCCCGGACCGCGCGGCGGGAAACCGACGCTGGCAGGGCGGGAGGGCGGCCGTTTTTATGGCACACCTCGATTGGTCCCACAGGCGCCTTCGTGAGGTCATGTCACCGGCTCACCCCCCCGTCAGCGGCTCGACCGAGGCACCCCCTCGGCTTCCACGGGCGCCTGCTGCTGCCGCTGGCATATGCGCGCGCCCCGGCTCGCCAGCCTCCAGGCACAGGGACGGGACGTCAAATCGAGCGCCGACTCCTACCTTACGTTGTTCCCAAGAAAGAAGGTGCCTGTCGTTTCGGTGATTTGCTCACATGCTCAGGTGAATGAGCTCGTCGCCGGGGCTGGCCTCACCTTGACTTTTTCTGTCGGCTTCGTTGCATGGGCCCTTGTAGACTTTTGCAGGACTGGCTTGTGAACCCCGTGATGGCTGTTTAGAGATGGTTTCGAGCTCGAAAGCACATACGAAGACTCCCATGCCTGCAGGTCGTGAAGCAGTGAAGCCGCGGCTCTGCCTCAACAATGCCAGCTCTGGCAACCCTTTCTATGTGCGACTAGAATGGAGGCTCACTCTGGCGAAAAGAGTATTCCGTGGCAGCCCACTCCCTCGCAAGGAACTTGCCGACAGCAGCACCATGTAGCAATAGCCGCCGCGCAAGCTGCAACACTCCCCATACAATGTCAACAGACACACGGAGCGGCCCGTAGCGTATTTGCGTAAAGTACAATAATCACAACTGAACCGCCGGTAGAACATTTCCAAGCTGGAGGCGCCGACATCTCTCCAGGATTCCCCGACTTCATACGGACTACGAAGTACACACCTCCACAATGGGGTTTAATGCTGTCCCCACGAGTTTGACGTCGAAGTCCTCTCTCCCTCACGAACGCTCTTCCAGATTAATCAGGGGGAGTGCTATTCGTAGAGCCAACTTTTGCTAGTTGTAGAGCCGTCCTACATTCTTTCTTGGCCGCGCCCTACCCCCATGTTGCTGCGCCAGCGATTTTTGTGGCATAAGGCGACAGCGGTGCTCTGCCTATTGCTAGTAATTTGCTGCTATTCCTACCGTTGCTGTCGTTGCTGTCGTTGCTGCTATGGGCTCTACAACTAGCAAAAGTTGGCTCTACAACTAGCACTCCTCTTAATCAGTCACTTCGTGACGGCTCCTTCACAGGCTCAAGCCGCATCACAACACCCGTCCCGACTTCGCCCGCCGCTTTGCATCTACGTAGCAACCGGAAAAATGACCCCATACTTTACCGGCCTTGCGCACTCGCCGTCAGACCTTTCGCTGCCGTGGACGTGCGCGCGCGCGAGACGCAACTATTCACCCGACGGCCAAACGCAGACGGGGGGGCCTTCCATCCAGCCCCTCCCCCCCTGCCCTCTGCTCTCTGTGCCCGCACGCACCCGCCCCCCCGGCGTCCCGCGGCTTTCCGCCCGCAACGCCGGGGAGCCGCGCTCCCGGATGGACGGGCGGCGCCAATTAGTCAAGGAATCGACCCGCCCGCGTCGTCGTTGTGCCTCGTGCGGTTCGTCGCATTTGCCGTTTCTTCTTCGCTTCTGCAGGTATTCTGCAGGTACCCAATTTACGTACTGTACTTTGCCGGTCGGGCACGTCTCCGTGCTGCTAGCTCGCCCGGTTGTGCTCTGCCCGCGGCATCGCAGTCCGGGGGTGGCTCTGGGAAATCCGGAGTCCCCCACACGCCAACGAAAAAAGTGCCGCCCGTCACATGCTGCCGCAAGGTCTGCGGTTCCCCCTTGGCGCTAGGCGCAACCGTCCCATCCACGGTCAAAACCGAAAAGATGCGGGCCGGCCATGGCCGTGACAGTATCATACAGTAAATACATACGCTACATGCAAAGTGTACCTCGTACTACACGTACAATGTCGTCGTCTGATCCCCAGGTCCTGCCTTCTTCATATGATGAGGTCCCAGATCACGAGAAAGGCGCACAGCCCGCTGGCCGCGAAAAAGGTATACCGAGCCGCGCTCGGCCGTTCTGCTGCCTTCTTGAGCTCCTTGTTGCCGCCTCCCACGTTCTCCGTCGTCGAGAACGAGTCCGTTACCAGCTGCTCGATGTGCGCCGACTGCGTGGCCAGGTTGTTGACCAGTAGCGACTGGAGCTCCGAGATTTCCAGCAACGACTTCTCCGCCGTCCTGCGAAAAAGCGTCAGTAGGTGTCGAGCACGCAAAGCACCAACACCGGCCCGCTCCTCGCGTACGACATACCTGACCTTGCCAATCGTGCTTTCGTAGTGTTTCATCATGTCCTGGTTCCCTTCCTCAAACATCTGGACCTGCTCCTCCGTCAGGTCCTGGTACGCGGCCGAGGATTCTTGATGCGCCGTGGACCCGGTCGAAGTCCGTCGTTTGGTTGCCGTGGGAGCAAACTCGGCAAAGTCGGCCGCCGGCGGAGCCATCAGCCCGCGCGTCTTCTCCATCTCCCGCGTCAGTCTCGTCTCCATCATGTCCTGCTGCGTGCGGCAGCACGACTCCAGCCTCTGTCGTAGAAACCACAGCACGCCGTCCCGGTGCATGCCCGTCTGCTGCGCCTGCGCCTCTGCCGCCGCATGCTCCGGCGATCTGCCCAGGCTATCGCCACCAGACGCCCATGAGCTGAGGGCGCTCAGCCCGCCGGCGTACTTTTTGCGAATGATGGCCGACTCGGTCTCCCGGCGGAGCTGCTCGGCGTCGTCGAGTGCTCGGATGCTCGCATTGAGCTCGCGGATCATCTGCTTCGCATTCGCGTCGACATCTTCCCGCTCGCGGTCTGTCAAGACTCGTGGCTGGCCTTGTGCGTGCGTGCCGTGCGCTCGTCGCGGCTGCGCTGTCGAGAGGTATGCTTGCCGGACGTCCCTCAACTCTTTGTGCAGGGTCGTGATGTGGGAATTCTGGTGGCCGCACGAAGCTGTCAGAAGGCACGCCGGTGCAGAAAACGATACAGCAGGCTAGAAACGTACGATGCGATAGGCCTCCTTCAAGAAGCCTTCCAATGCGTCCGTGTCGAGCCTGGCCTTGCCCAGGACCCGAGGAGCTCCTCGCTTGCCGAGAAGCTCGTCGAGCTCGGCGGTGATGTCCACGGACGGCAGGATCGCAGGGCCGGGAAGGGACATGCTCGCGCCGTGACTCGCGATCAGAGTCACGCGTTGCAGGTTCGACAGATTGGCAGGAGATCAATGGGCTTGTCCGGCTGCATCAAGTTACGGGAGTTCGTCATTTCGCCCACGTAGCTCCATGCGCTGGAGGGTGGAGACTTGGCAGGCCCCTCCAAAAGCTGGCCTCACGGCTGCTGAGTCATCGTCCGTGGTGCGTTTTCTGTGGCTGCAGGGCTGCTGGGCTGCTGGGCGATGGCCGTGTGCGCTGACCGGTGCGGGCCCAGGCGGGTGGGAAACTGAGAATACGCGGTGCTCTGTTTCGCTCTGATACGCTTCAGGTGCCAAGTAGAAGTGCTCGTTCATGCGGGCGCTGCTGTTTGTTTGCGTTTACGGTAGGTCCAATAGGTCTGTGACGGGACAGAGTCAGGCGAGTGCGCGCCTGTAACCAGGCCGCTGGCCGCCAAAAGCGCAGATGCACCACCAGCTCAGGTTCACGCGCTGCAGCACTGGGCAGCGCACTCAATCACTGTGGCGGCCTCCTCCTCAGCTCCCAGACGCCACTTCCGCCATGTGGTCAGGGCTCCCCTGCAGCGGCTGGAACAGCCAACGCGAGGCCGTGGGTGCGTCACTGTGTCCCCACCCGAGCCTGTGGCCAACGGTGCCGAATCGGAGCCGGAGGGTGGCGGAAACGTCGCCTGGCGGCCTTCGGCAGGCGCGCATCGATTTGCATGCACCCACGACGGACGACGGGGGGCAGGGACCCTGGGCCGCCCGACGTTGGCCGCGTTCGACGTGCATTTTGATATAGACGGCCGAGCCGAGCCAACGTTGCCTCGTCGCAGAGCACGGCCGGCCGAGAACAAAAAAGGGCTTGCAATGGATGGGCCGAGCGATGGATTGGGTTTGGACTTCGGGTATTTTTTCGCCGCTTCGCGGTTTCAGTTTGTTTCTGTGCCAATGCAAAGCCAAAGCCGAAAGCCAGTCCCGGTGCCAGTCGCCCCCCAAAAGGGCAGTGGCAGTTGCCAGCCGCATCGGGATTCCTCGAGTGCGGAGCCGAGACGGCACGGGTGACGGGAGAGCCCTGGATGGGAGGGCAGGCGCTGCCGACCGGCCTCCTTCCCATCCATGGATGCTTCCCTCGCCTATCTTCGCCTCGATCTGTTTGCTGTTCGTTTGCTCGGCCTGGCGCCGTCTCCGAGACTCAATCCCTTCCCCCCCGGTCCCAAGCATCCAAGCAAACACCCGCCGCCCCCAAAGTCGCATCGCCCAAATTCCTCTGCATCACCCGCCCGTGCGCCCTGGATCCTGATTCACCATCCTCAGCTCCGTCCTCCTATAAGGCGCCGCGGCCTGAGCTCCCCCAGCTGCAAGGTTAGACACGAGGCGGCCGCCATCACTCGGAACCTGGCCGCACACAGGCCGCACCCTGGCCGCTCCCTGCCCATCCCATCGGCGCGTCGTGTTGGCGACGGACCTCCACCCGGACTTCGTTCGACGCCGGGCCACGGAAGCTGACCGAGCGAGAGCTTGAACGAGGACGCCGACCGACTGGCCGCCCATCCGCCATCCACATCCGCCATCCACGCCCGCCACGGCCAATTCCCTTTTTTCCTATTTACCCAGCAGCTGTCACCCTCAACTCGACGCATCCATCTGTCTCCGCCGCTCATCAACTCCCGGCCTTCCTATCGCGGCCCGCACTTCGACATCTTGGCGGGATTAACCACATCGGACCCGAGTGGCCAAGGCGCCGCCGCTCCCGCCCCCGTGCCACCTACGAATATAGTGTACAGGACAGTACGGAGCACTCATTTCGTACTCACGCCATAAGCCTTTGTTGCTCGTCCCACGGAAACAAGGCCTTAAACACCATCTCGCCCACCCTCTCCGCCCATCCCAATGTCGCGGACAGTTCTCCGGCAGGTCCTTTGTCCACCAACTCCCTTCCGATTCCTGCTTTTCCCTCCTTTTACTTGAGTCGCGGAACCCTGGTAGAGCATATGCACCAGGACTCGCGGCTCCGCTCCCGCAACAAGCAGGATGAAGGACGATGCCGCTGGTCCGGAGGCCTCGGCCGGCGATAAGCAGCCTGCCATGGAGGCCCTCGGCCAGGCATCGACGCATCCGACAGTGTCCGAGATGGACACGCTTGATCGCAAGTCGACCAATCTCGACGACCCCGCCGATGCCGTGACGACCGCAGGACCCGTTGATGGCGCCGGTGTCTTGGAAGACGTCGAACCAGCAACCCGTGTCTGCAGTGGCACGCCTTATAGCGCCTTCACACGGGGAACCAAAGTCTGGATTACCGTCATGGTCACCATCTCCAGCGTCGTGTCCCCCATGACGGCAAACGTCTACTACCCTGCCCTCAACGCTGTCGCAAGCGACCTAGGCGTCTCCATCTCACTCATCAACTTGACCCTGACGACGTACATGGTCTTCCAAGGCTTGTCGCCCACCATCTTTGGCGACTTTGGCGACATGGCTGGCCGTCGCCCGGCCTTCATCGTGGCCTTCAGCATCTACCTTTGCGCAAACATCGGCCTTGCGCTGCAGCGCAACTACGCTGCGCTCATGGTGCTCCGGTGTTTGCAATCCGCTGGCAGCAGCGGCACTCTTGCCCTGGGCTTTGCCGTCATGGCAGACATATCGCCAACCGACGAAAGGGGCAGATATATGGGCTTCGTCAATGCCGGCATCAACTTTGGACCGACCATTGGGCCAGTCCTCGGTGGCATCTTGATCCAATTCCTTGGATGGCGCTCGGTGTTCTGGTTCTGCGCCATCTTTGTATTTGTCTGGCTGATACCCTGGATTCTCGCTGTCCCTGAAACCTGCCGCGCCGTGGTCGGCAACGGCTCCATTCCCCCGCCAAAGTGGAACATGACGTTGGTCGACTTCATTCGATGGCGCGGAGTCCACCAACGGCCGGCATCGGCACCCAAGGTCAAGATCCGGATGCCTAATCCCTTGCGCACACTGTACATCGTCTTCAGGAAGGAGGAAGGCCTGATACTTTTCGTGTCGGCCATCATCTACGTCAACTTTATCCTTGTGTCGGCCACGTTGGCGACGCTGTTCAAGGAGATTTACAAGTTTGACGAACTGGAAGTCGGTTTATGCTACCTGCCGTATGGAATTGGCTGCTGCTTGTCCAGCCTCGTCTCGGGCTACATCGTCGACTGGAACTATCGGCGTGTCGCGAAGAAGCTCGGACTGCCCATACGCCGCAGGAAAGGAGACGACCTGAGCAAATTTCCGATCGAGCATGCCCGCATTCAGATCGTGTATCCGGCATTGGCGGTCGGCGCTGCATGTCTCATTGGCTGGGGCTGGGCATTGGAGGCCGAAATAAGCGTTGCGGTGCCACTAGTCCTGGCCTTCTTCATCGGATGCCTGGTACCGCCGTCCTTCAGCGTGCTCAACACGCTGATTGTTGACCTCAATCCGGAAGCCCCGGCGACCGCGGCGGCAGCAAACAATCTCGTGCGCTGCTCTTTTGGCGCAGTGGCGACGGCCGTGATCAACTACATGCTCGACGCTATGGGCCGCGGGTGGTGCTTCACGTTCCTGGCCATCGTCATGCTGCTCTGCTTCGCCGGGCTGAGGGTGCTCGAAAACTACGGGCCACGCTGGAGGGCGGAGAGAGCGAAGAAAGTTGGCCGGGAAGACACTCAGGAGAAGTGAGCCAACTAAACGTTACACACGATTACATCATGAGAGCATGGCAACGGCGTTAGCGAAATGAGTCCAGCATTTCTGGGCGTTGACTTGGCCCAATCGGCATTTTCTTTATTCCTCAAACGAGGTTCTATAGAGCCGTGACAGCAGAATCCAAAGAGTTTCTTTGTGCCTCCCACATCAGCCAGTCTGACCGTGTTGTCCTGTGACGCAAGTTAGCAACAAATTGCACCTAGAATCGCGCAAAGCGATGAAGAACGCACGGTAAGAGGCCCATGGCGTTGATTTTCCACACGCCCACGGCCAGAGCCACGAGCTGCATGGCCACGTAAACGAGCTTTGTCTGGAAGAGTTTGGCCGAGTTGCCCTCGGTCTGGAAGCGCTCAAAGGCCTGGTTGGTGCTCATGAGGCCGACGAGAGGATTCTTGAAGGCCATGAAGACCATCATGATGCTGAAAATCTGGAGCGAGTTGCCCGACATGTACATCATGATGGCGGTCATGGGCAGGGACTTGACGGGCGCGAGGGCCACCTCCCACGCCTTCTTGAGCTTGAGCGTTTCCATCTCGTCCGAGGTCGGGGCTTTTCGCGGCTGGGGCTTGCCATCCTTCTTCTGCAGAGGGGAAGTCAGTGACTGAATTTGCGCGGGCGCCTTCAGCTGCGAGTGCGACTGCAGCTGCGGCTGCGGCTGCGTGCGGGCTGCGGGATGGCGACGTGGCGCACCTTGGAGCCAGAGCTCCCGGACGAGAAGCCGAGGGGATCTGGGACGCCGGAGACCTTGCTGCGCGGGGCCGGCGGAGATTCGACCTGGGCGACCCAGGCCGGGACGCTGGGGTTGGGGGCTGCCATTGTTGCGGAGAGGCGGGAGTCGCGGGAGAGGGCCGTGGTTGTGAGGTCGTTCGTTGATGTCGTGGGGAGAGTTTCCGAGAGGAAGAAGTGGCCGAGGACAAACGGGCTCGAAGGAATGCACTGGCCTGGGCTCGGTGGACAGCCTGCTGCAGTGCGACCACCAGAGCTGCTGGGCTCCAGCTCCACTCCGCCATGCCCGGGGAAGTGCCTGGCCAGCATGGATGGATGCTTACCTGCCTTATCGATAAGTTCCTAAGGAGGGAGGGCTGGGCGGACGAGGTACGTACTGCAGCGCCCCCTGCCGGCGCGCCGTGCGTCCCGAATCTTCAACTTCCCCCTTTCAATTCCACGACAAAGACGGCTCGATTACGACACGACAAGCAGTCGACGGGCTGTAGACGACGCTGCGAGACGACCGGCGACCGCACATCCCAGCGAAAAGCGCGGAGGCAACAGCACGGAGCCGGACCACGAGTGCCTGCCGGGCTGTGGCGCAAATACCATACCATACCTGACGGACTGTTACCTGACGTACAGGTAGCCAGGGCGTACCGAGTACGTTAGTAGCGCTCGTAGTTCAGAGCGAGAGAGCCCATCGATCTCGAAACGGCGACACATGTGACGCGAGCGCACCGTTGGCCACCCCGCCCTCTGCAGCAGCAGCGCCCTTCCCCGCCTCGGAGCTGAAGCAGCAGGACACGCAAAACCAAAAGCGACAAGGACGTTTGGCCGGGCGTGCGTCGTCGTGCCTCATTGGGCTGCCTGCCAGGATTGCGCGCGCACCCCCGTTGCGAATCCCCCGGACTCGACCCTCGACTCGACCTCGAACATCCGATAAGGGTGCGCGACAGTGAGGGGTCGGCAGGCCGGAGTGGACATCTAGGTTGCTGGCCACTGCCGAATTTATCAGCGCAGCGTCGCGTGACGAGCCATCGAATCTGTTGGGACGCCTCGCAGCCCTGTCGAGCGGATACCAGAGACGTCGACCAGCACCACCACCACCACCATGTCGGCCAAGGATGGCGGAGGTGACTCCAAGCTCTTTGCGAGGGTAAGCCACCTTTGCTCCCAACCCTGCACCTGTCGTTCGCGCCCTCGCATCCCCTCGTCCCTCTCGTCATCTCCCTTTCCCTTCCTCTACACACAACCCAGGCGTCGTGCCGCGCTTCGCAGCGTGCGCCCTCTCGCTGCCCTCCCCCCGATCCCCTAATATGCCATCTCAACACCGTCCGCGGCGACGCCATCGGATACCAACATGATAGGCGCATTTCCCATATACGCGCCGGCGCTGGCGTTCGACAAGCTAAGGACTCGACAGGGCAAAGTAGCGGAGCTGCGCATCGAGCTCAACAGCGGCGGAAAGAAGGACAAGAACTACTCGGCCAAGAAGGTCGCCCTCAAGCGCATCGTCGCCAACATGACCATGAGCAATAACGATATGGTCGCGCTGTTTCCCGACATCATCGCCTGCATGCACCTCCCGAGCCTGGAGATCAAGAAGATGTAAGGCGTCTTGCGCGACCCTTAGTTGACGATGGCATGGCTGACCTGCGCTGTATAGGTGCTTCTTGTACTTGGTCAACTACGCGCGCGTTCGCCCAGAGATTGCCGTCAAGGCGATACCAATCCTGGAAAATGTGGGTGATGCGCCGTTCACGTTGGAAGCTCTCGCTGACGTTTTGGCGTTCAGGATATGGAGGATCACAACCCCTTGGTGCGGGCGCTCGCGCTGCGGACCATGTCGTACATCCACGTCAAAGAGTTTGTCGAGGCTACGGTGCCCATCGTCAAGCACATGCTGAGAGACAACGACCCATACGTGCGCAAGACCGCCGCCTTTTGCGTCGCCAAGCTGTACGACCACGACCGGCAAATGGTGGAGCGATCCGACCTCATCGACCGACTCAACTCATTGCTGAGAGATGACAACCCCACCGTCGTGGCCAGCGCGCTCGCCGGTCTGATGGACATTTGGGAGCGCAGCGACTCGATCAAGCTCACGATCGACTACAGCAATGCCTCAAAGATGGTTGCCATTCTCCCGGACTGCTCCGAGTAAGTCCACGCCTTGGCCAGGTGTGGGTTTGGGTGCTGAGCTAACAGAGTTGCAGATGGGGTCAGACTTACATCCTCGAAGCTCTCATGTCGTACGTGCCACAAGAAACTGGAGAAGCCGCGCTCTTGGCGGAGCGCATCGCCCCTCGGCTGTCACACTCCAACTCATCCGTCGTCCTCACGTGTATCCGAGTGATCCTCTACCTCATGAACTACATCGCCGACCAAAAGCAAGTAACGGCGCTCTGCAAGAAGCTATCACCACCACTGGTGACGTTGCTCGCCAAGGGCCCTGAGGTGCAGTACCTGGCGCTGAGAAATGCGCTGCTCATCCTGCAGCGCCGACCAGAGGTCCTTAAGAACGACATCCGCGTCTTCTTCTGCAAATACAACGACCCCATCTACGTCAAGGTGACCAAGTTGGAGCTCATCTTCATGCTCGCCAACGAGAGCAACATCGACGAGGTCTTGACGGAGCTGAGGGAATACGCTACCGAAATCGACGTTCACTTCGTCCGCAAGGCAGTCCGCGCCATCGGGAAGCTGGCCATTAAGATCGAGCCTGCGGCGAGGCGGTGTATCGACTTGCTGTTGGAGCTTGTCTCGACGAAAATCACGTACATTGTGCAGGAGGCCACCGTCGTCATCCGCAACATCTTCCGCAAGTACCCGAACCAGTACGAATCCATTATCGGCACGCTCTGCGAGCACCTCGACTCGTTGGACGAGCCCGAGGCGAAGGCAGCCATGGTGTGGGTCATTGGGCAGTACGCAGATCGCATCGAGAACAGCGACGTGTTGCTCGAGGAGTTCCTCTACTCGTTCGCCGAGGAGCCGGTGGAGGTGCAGTTGGCGCTCCTGACAGCAACGGTCAAGCTCTTCATCCAAAGGCCAACCAAGGGTCAGGAACTGGTGCCAAAGGTGCTCAAATGGGCGACGGAGGAGACGGACAACCCCGACCTCCGCGACAGAGCATACATGTACTGGCGGCTACTGTCGACGGATATGAACGCGGCCAGGCAGATCGTCATGGGCGAGAAGCCACCCATCACGGCTGAGGCGGAGCGACTGGAGGCGCCGACGCTCGAGGAGATGTGTCTCAACGTCGGCACGCTCGCGACAGTATACCTCAAGCCGGTCCAGTCCGTGTTCCGCTCGGCGCGGCCCCGCAAGCTGCAGGACTCGCCCGCGCTGCAGAAGCAGAACCTTCTGGTGGATCGGGACAACCAGAAGAGCATCAGCATGTTTGGCCGTGGCGGCCAGCCGACAGACATTGACCTACGGAGCCGGGAGGCCGCCTCGTCAGCCGCCTCCAACGGCAACGGTGGGGCCAACCTGTCACAGGCGGTGAGCGACGCCGACGCCTACTTCTCGAGCATCGGGACGCAGCAGATGGCGGCCATGCGGATAGACCAGGGCGACGACATCTTTGGCGGCGGCGGCAACGTGACGACGGGCTACGTGGTGAGCGCCCATGCGCCGCAGGCGGTGATTCAGCCGGCGCAGGGCGGGGGCAGCAACGGCGACTTGCTGGCGCTGTGAGAGAGTGAGAGCGACTAGCTGCCGCGTGTCTAGCAATGTCGTGGGCGCAGTGCGGGGGGCGGTTCACCTTTGGATTTGTGCCGTGCCGATGCGGCCTGGGCGGGTTGAGTAATTTAGCAACCAGAGGCCTCCTGGAGAAGGGGGGCTTACTGGTGGTGTTGGTGAGAAGGGGATGGCGATGCATCGCAGCGACTCAATGGCAGTCATGGAAGATACAAATGTAAACCGCCTTGTTGAGCCATGTAAGATCCAAGTACGTTTTTCAAGTCACATCATCACACAACATGCAGAAGCAAAGGCAAATCACGCCCCGTCTAGACACGCCGCGTTCCGTCAGGCGCCATGTCGACGGCAGCCAAGAGCTGTCACCGTAGATTATGCATGTCTCATGCCGGCGTATCTTTAAAAAACCGCTCGATCTCGTGCCGTCCATCCCAGCTCCGAGAAACCAAAAGGCGCGCCACACGTACGTACTGAAGGGGTGTTGACGATGACGTCGAATGCCCCCAAGCTGTAATTCGTACGAAGTAGTAGGAACGTGCCAGTGCCGAACACCGAGCGTGCCTTATCTCGTACGTACTTGATTTCATGTAATACCCGTCGCCCACGGGCCTCGGCAAGGTCGTGGCCGGCGGGAGCAAATGCCGCTGGGTGCCGGAGACCCCGTTCCGACGCACCCGGTTGACTGTAGCTAGCTCGCCAAAGGGGGGGAGCTACAAGCTCTTATCAAGTCCAAAGTATAACAGACAAGACAGGACGACGAGACATTTAGCGCCCGTAGAGCACGCAACAGACGGTGTCGAGTGGTATTAATTATATTGCCGCAGTTCAAATAAAGGCAGAGGTCTATGTTGATTATTACTGCATCGCAGGCTGGCCCGGCCGTGGCTTCATGCGCCCACCAGCATCACAGATATCCACGCACGAATCCGTAACGTAGTCCAGCTTGAGCACGCCCCCTCCCCAGCTCTTATCCCACACCATGCCGCAGCGGCTCCCGCAGCCGCGATCCGCGCCCTTGTCGCTCACCTCCTGGATCTTGCCCATCAGGCGCTTGGCGGTGCGGGCCGTGCGCACGCCGCCGTCCTTGACGCCCTCGAAGAAGAGGCAGAAGCCGTGCCGGCCCAGCGCGTACTGCCGGCACACAATGTTCTGCCCGTTGGCGTAGTACGTCGTCTTCTTGCCGTCGCCGGGGAGCTTGCTGACCAGCTTGGCGATGTAGTCGGTCACGTCGTTGCGCGTGAGGCTCGTCATGCAGTTGACGCTGACTTTGCAGCTCGTGTCGAGCTCGCCTGCTGCCACGAGGGTGCAGAGCAGGGCGGCGAGGGCGTAGAGTAGATGCATCTGATTATCGGGGAATACGTGTTAGCAGCGGAGGCGAATGGCTCGGGACACGCATATATATTGAAGCATCGACGCCCTTATCTTGATGTGAGCCCCTTTGGCGTAGAAGCAGTTGTTATAAATGACCTCCGCGATGAGACGAGGCCAGGGATACACTTCTACAAATTATACAAAGGCCCAGTCCTGGATTATGTATTGCCTCGACGCGCCATCCTGCGGCGAAGATTGCTATTTAGGAGCCGTGACGCTTCGATTCGAGCGAAGACGACGGCGGGGGAAGTTCAGACAAAACGCCTATAATTAACCTGCGGTTCTGACCGACAATGACGCCCTGAGGCGCGCAAGTAAATCATGCTTCTAGAAGTTGGCAATGTCCGTGGTGAGCCACGTGCTTCGTGCTGGCATCGCCACGGGGTCCTTGCTGTCGTCTGGACTCTGTTGTTTCGTAGTCCGGACTCCGTACGTGGCCGCTCCGCGACGAAACGCCTGCAGTTCGAGCCCCTTACCCAGCTTACACCAAAACGCGCCCGCCGGAAGACTCGCGTCGAGACGGCCCGGGTGTCGACTTACCTCAGTATCCGCTACGGACTACTGGTGCAATATATCACCGACACCATAGCTATGCCTTGCCTTCGTTGGAAGCGTGCAAGTTTCCCAGATGCTGCGGCGACCCAGCGGAGAACCTGGTACTGATGCTTTAAGCGCATGGCTCGCGTACCCAATTATGGGTGCCTGGAAAGTCTAATCTTCAGCATGAGGGCGGCTGGAACGCTATCAGCTAGATAGAGGAGACCAAAGGCACGTACACAGGCACTGAGTCAATGGACGTCAGGCTCGTTGAGGCCGGTGACTTTGCCCGTTGTGGCGGACGGGGGACTTCGTCTTAGTCGACGCTCGAGCCTTGCAGTGGCCATGGGGGGAATGGAATGCAGGCTGAAGTTCCGCCCGTCCATGTGGAACCACTCAAGCTCAGCTTCCGCAAGCCACGGCGGACCGCAGTGGAGAGCTGCTTGACGGGCGGTTGGGCCGCTATTACGTGCCGTTGATGGCGGAGACAGCCAAATCGTGCGCCTCCGTCCAGACTCCAGTGTCCAGAGTGCTCGCTCGCGCGTACTGCTTGAAGGCCCAGTCTGGCGCAGGCTAGGACGTGCTTGTTGGCGGCTACACGGGCGGGCGCCACGGCGGCGGGCCAAGGTTGCGATCACCCACACACACGCAATCACCGCGCCTGTGAGTGGTAGCGTGTAATTGCGAGTATGGGTTCACAAGTGACCGCACGCCAGGGAGGGTGCCCGCGTACTCGCATGGCCGCCGGGAGTAAAGAGGCTAAAGTGCTGTGCCTCTCCTGTGCTGGTACATACTCGTCGGCTTGGCGCGCGAGGTTATTGTCTCGTAGTGTGGCTGAGCAGTCCAGACTGCCCTCTTTCGGGCGAGGGAGAATTGGGCGAGTGCATGGCTAGATGAGGTAGGTCGTTGGGGCACGTCAAATCTTCTAATGCAGGTCGGTCAGCCTCCTGCTTGTCAGACAGTTGAGGGGGAGTGGGAGTGGGAGTGGGAGTGGGCTGTGCGGGCCGGCGACCCTGGCAATGGCTGGCAAGAGTGTTGAAGGGGCGCGATGCCCAGAGACGGGAGCGAAGGAGAGAAATGTGAGAGGGGCCCAAAGTTGAGAGGCGATGACGAAGCGAGGAACCATGGAGTAATGCAAATCGTCGAGTACTTGCAGGTAGCCTGCACCAAGTCATCAGGTGTATCGAATACGGCCTGCGAAGTACTACTACTCCGCAGCCCGTACTGCGTCTGTGAGAGAAGGTGGCACCGGGCCGGGGCGACGGCAGTCGAGGAAGGAGAGGCCTATGCCGTTTGGTCGGGCGCCTTCCAAGCTCCAACAAACAAGTATCGTACTGTACTTCTTATTAAGTACCCGGACCGCTGTCAGCAGTCTCCTCGCTGCGCTGCACAAGCAAGTGAGGTGACAGTCGCCCGACGGGGTGACAAATTGTCGTCGTCCATCACTTCACCCTTGCCGGCCGTCCATCGCACCACCAACGTATTAGCCATCGACCTGCATTTCATACCCCGTACCCTCCCGTCGAGCGTTCGTTGCTTCGGCCGCCGCCGTCCAGGGACCAACGGCTGACCCAAAAGGGCCATGCTCGGCAACGACAAAGGCCCCCTAGAGTCGCGCGAGGGACGGGAAGGCACACCGGCACCGTCAGCAGTACGAGCTTCGACCACCAAGTATTAGAATCCAACGGCATCTTTAGACTCTCCCCAGGTCCCGCCGCGTCCCGACGCAGCAGGCCAATCATCCACAGCCATTGGCAAGACGGAGCAGCACACCGGCCACCGTTGGGCGTTGCACAGGCGGGCGGGACTCAGCGGGACGCAGACACGAACGTCCAGCCCGTCACCCGTCACCTCCTGTCTCTTCAGCGGCCGTCGTCTGCAGAAGACGGCGAGTCAGAAGCCTGTTGGGCCAAGAGCGAGTCCTGCCGCCACGGCTCCTTGGCCTGGCGCCTCGTTGTCCCCTCCCAGCAGTGCATTCGGAGCCTCCCAGGACAGCTGCAGGACCAGTCGCAATCTCGAATTCATCATTCTACGATTCCCTTGCACACGCACGACTCTGATTGTGTCGAACGACCAGCCGCAATCTCGCCAGCAGACAAAGGCGAGGCCTCGACATTCCCCCTCGTCCGTTCCGCCTGGCGCGGCAGCCGTAGCGTGCTCGCGCTCTCTCGATTTAGTACTTGGCGCGCCCCCAGCAAGCCTCGCTCGCTCGAGTCCGCAGCCGGCCATCCGTCCTCCCCCACTCCCGTGTGGCCCGGAACTGGGGCTGGCCGCGCTCCTCGTTGCAGAAGCACGCTCGCTCGCTAGTCGCAGGTCGATCCTCGACTCGCCGCCCAGCTTGACGTCGACGCCGCGACTCTTCTCCGACCACATCCGACACCCTCTGGCCTATCCCATCGTTGGTCATCGTCGCCGACCGAGACGTGGTACGATCCGTTTCCCGCTGCTGCGCATGAATTGAGACGGGCCGCCCGTTTTCCTCACCGTCTCCTTGTCCCGTCCATCCGCCCGCCGTTGGTGCGAAGCCGCCACCCTGCGCCCCCTGTGCGCACCCCAGAGATGGAATCGACCATGAGCGGTGGCAACTCCACCTCCGTCGACGACGCCCGCCTCGAGCAACCCAGCGACGCCGTCCCGATGGAAACCATTGACCAGTCCTCCGCCCCCGAAAAGGTCGCGCTCAAGGCCGCCGATGGCCCTGCCAGCGCTCAGGACGCCGTCCCGGCCTCAACAGCCGCCCACGGCACCCCCGCCGACTCCGAGCGGCCGGCACACGCGGAGGCCGACGCCCAAGCAACACCACAAAAGGGCAAGGACAGGGACGACGATGCGCCCACGCCGCCATCCAAGGAGAGGAGCGACTCCATGGCAATCGGCCCTGCCCAGGATGACATCAGGGCCGTGAGCCACGGCGCCACCGACAATCCCGTCTGCAACATCACCCTACTGCTCACGTCGGGGAGCCGCCACCCGTACAAACTGGATGCCAAGTACCTGACGAGGCGGAACGTCGCCATGCCCGAAGAAACCGAGAGCGGCCAGCCCGACCCCTTCAGCATCAGCGTCTACACCTTGAAGGAGCTCATCTTGAGGGAATGGCGCAGCGACTGGGAGGCGAAGCCCGCTAGCCCAAGTAGCATACGCCTCATCCACTTTGGCAAGCTGCTGGACGACAAGGAGCAATTGAAGAGTATGTGCACGCACGACATGCCCCCGTTTCGCTGCGGCCTGCTAACCAAATCTGCAGAATATCAGTTCAGCACCGAGGCTCCCAACGTCGTCCACATGAGCATCCGCCCGGCTGACCTGGACGAAGAGGAGCCAAAATCCGGGAGTAAGCATCTGCCTTCGGGTAGCGGGGACGGCCAGCACTCTCGGGGTGGCAGCAACTGCTGCGTGATATTATGAAGAAGGGGCAGATGCTCTAGCTCACAGTCATGTGGACAGCTCGGTGTGTTTTCGCCAACCAAGATGGTTCCGCGTTGCCTGGCTCGGCCATGGTCGGCGGGCACATATATGGCGCAATGAAAGCGGACGAGAACGACGAAGCCTCGGACAGCGTGCCCGCGCGTGTGCGCAGGGACGTCCGGGCCTTGCACATAAGGATTGACGCATTACGCCCTCCCTCGGCACGACACACTCATTACAGCATCGTGCTTTGTTGATTTTTCTTGGCCTAGTTTTACACGGGCTGTAGCGTATGGCGGGACACATTACCGCGACAGACGGATGGGAACCGGAGTCTATATGGGCGTCTCGTCTTGTACAAATGTATTTTGCTCCCCAATGTCTATTTGGCCACGCTCCGGGGCGCGGGCGGCGGACGAACAGCGCACGCCAAGGGAATTGGAACATGTCCATAGCAGGATAGAATTGCAGCTGTACTTTGTTGCTGGCCGCGTGCATCCGGTGGAGGAAGGCCGGCGGGACTCGCATCTATCATGTCTTGCTGCGTCTTGTTTTGTTGTACATGTGCCGAGGCTCCTCTTCTTCCCAACCGAGCCGCGCCCCTCCCCGACCGACCTCTCTGACCCCTCCAACCGACATGTGCTCTACTGAATCTTGAGCTTCTTCTCCATCTCGTCATGGAAGCCTACCACGCCCCTCGTCTCCTCGCCGGTGAAGACGTCCTCCCAAGTAATCATGTCCTCCCTGCCGCGCAGAATGTCCTCGTGGACGCTGGGCAGGCCGCGGCCGAGGGCGAGGGGCCGCCACTCGCCCTCGCGGACCATCTTGAGCTCCATGCCGCGGCGGACGGGCTCGGCGATGCCAAAGGTGCGGCGGAGGGACTCCATGCGCAGGGCCTCCTGGGTGGCCTCCCAGCCCTTGAGGCGGGCCTCGAGCGGGTGGGCGGAGGCGGGCTTGCCGGCGGCGGCGTCGTGCGGGCTAGGGCCGACGCCGTGGCGGAGGGTGTCGTGGACGCCCGGGGCGGAGGGCGCGGACGAGGTGTGCGACGAGGTGTGGGAGAAGGAGTCGGCGTGGGCGCTCGAGGGGACGATGCGCATGGACTGCGGGAGGAGTTTGTTAGACTCGTGTGCCCGGTTGAATAGGCCCGGGGGGAGAAGGTGAGCGGAAGACGATGATGGAGGGGAGGCTCACCATGTTGGCGGTGTTGGCGCGGGAGGTCCGCGAGGTCGAGTTATGGAAAGAGGGTCGCGGGCTTGTGGTGGTGACGGCGCCTTGGTGCGCGCAGGGTCGAAGAGCAATGCGTTGCGAGGGGAGGTGTCGTCGGGCGTTGGATGGTGTTGCTGCGATGGGGACGGTTGTGATGATGATGGGACGGAGGGCGATGATGAAGCTCGGGAGCTGCCTCTGGCTCCAGGCCAGGCTGCGAGTAGCCTCGCGTTCAGTGGCCTGCCAGCGGCGCTGGAGCTTCGGCTGAGCTGCGGCACGTTGGTGCGGGCCCAGGCGGTGGGTTCCAGTTGGTCGGCAGCGTCGGTGGAGTGCTGCCCTGCTGCTTGCCCGTGGCCGGCCGGCCGGGGTACGTACCTTTTCAGTGACCCTGGCTGCCCCAGCTCCTCGCTGTCAAGTGAACCAACACGATCGAGACATGGATTGAGGCTTGCCGACCCCGGATGGCAGCTTATCCCCGATTACGGCCGTCTCGCTCAACCATCACACCAGGTCACATCGGAAAGCTCGTTGACTCACGCGTCTCCTGGGCATCAGCCCGCCTTTATCACTCGCCGCTCTCCCCAATTCATCTTTTTCCTCCCAGACATGAGCACATCTCGCGAGTCGTGAGCGAAGTCAATTGGCGATGGCGTCCCTCAAGGCCAAGGCCTGCTCGCCGCCCATCATCCGCATCGCCAACGGCACCTTCTACCGGCGGCATCCCAACTCGCACCAGCCCGGCCCGCACCCGCACCCGAACCCGCCGCTTTTCAACGGCCTCTCCTTCGAGCTGCCCTCGTCGACGCCGCCGCCGCCGGCCGGGCAGCACAACTGGTGCGTCGTCGGGCCCTCGCTCTCGGGCAAGACGACCTTCCTGCAGGCGCTCCGCGGCCGGCTGATCTGCGATCCGCCCACGGCGCGCTCGTTCCCGTACCTCTCGCAGGATGGCGTGCCGTCGCGGCTGCGGAACCCGCAGACGGCGGTGCGCTACGTCGGCTTCGATGCCGAGCAGGGCTCCGGACCGCTGGCAGGCAGCGCCGTCACGGCCTCGGCGTACCTGTCGGCGCGGTACGAGTCTCGGCGCGAGATCACCGACTTTTCGCTTCGGGACTTTTTGCTGGGGAACACGGAGCTGAATCCGCTCAAGTCGCCGCTGGGCGAGGATGACGGATCCATCTCGACGGAGCTGCTGGATCGTGTCGTCGGGGACCTGAAGCTCAGCCACCTCCTGGACCTGCCCGTCACGTTTCTCAGCAACGGCCAGGGCCGACGAGCCCGCATTGCTCGTGCGCTGCTTATGAGGCCAGAGGTCCTACTGCTTGACGAGCCGTTCATGGGGCTCGATCCCCCGACCGTTTCTGGTCTGAGCCCCTTGCTGCAGTCTCTGGCCGAAAAGGCAAGCCCGCGGCTGGTGCTGAGTGCCCGCCCGCAAGATCCGCTACCTGAATGGATCACGCATCTTATCTACCTGCGGACGGACTGCCAGGTCGGGTCGATGGGTCCAAAGGAAGTCGTGCTCGATGGCCTGAAAAAGTATGTGCGCGGCGTCAACAAGGGCGGCCTGGTCGAGGACGACAAGTTGCCCGTCCACGCTTTGCAGGACATTGGCCGTGTCTTGTCGTCAGGCACGTCGTCTACATCCGACGCGACTGCCACGCAAGCCACCTCGCAGGTGCTGAGCTCTACGAATACAGACGCCGAGCCGCTGGTGGAAATGGACGGCTGCCAGGTCCGCTACGGCGACAAGATTGCGCTGGGGAACTGGTCACAGCAGACTGCGCAGGGCAACAAGGACGGCCTGATATGGACCGTCCGGCGAGGCGAGCGATGGGGCGTCTTTGGCCCAAACGGCTCGGGCAAGACGACCATTGTGTCTCTGCTGGGCTCGGACCACCCGCAGACCTACTCCATGCCCATCAAGCTCTTTGGGCGCAGCCGCCTGCCCGAGCCCGGGTCGGGTCAGTTGCCGCTCACGTTCTGGGACATTCAGTCGCGCATCGGCCACTCGAGCCCCGAGGTGCACCAGCACATGCCGCGGAGCCACACGATCCGACAGGTGGTGGAGAATGCCTGGTCTGCGACGTTTGGTACGCCGCCGAAGCTGGACGGCGCGGCCAGGCAGAGGGTGGATGCGGCGCTGCGCTGGTTCGCGCCAGAGCTGCGGCCCAACGCGGCGTCGACATCCCCAGCGGCAGACGAGGACGGCGCGGACGACCTCTCGTGGGCAAACGAGTACGTGTTTGGGGAGATTTCCTTTTCGGCACAGCGCGTGGCGCTCTTCATCCGGGCCATGATCAAGGGCCCGGACGTGGTGGTGCTGGACGAAGCGTTCAGCGGCATGGACGACGCGGTGCGGGACAAGTGCACGCGGTTCTTGGAGGAGGGCGCCCCGGGAGGGGGAGCAGGAGGAGGACAATCGGCGGTGCCCGGGCTGACGGACCGGCAGGCGCTGATTTGCATCGCGCACGTCAAGGAGGAGGTGCCCGACTGCGTGCGCGAGTGGATGTGCCTGCCCGAGGCCAACACGGGCCGGCCGGCGCGCTTCGGGCGGCTGGAGGGACCGCTGCGGGAGGACGAGGGGCGGTGGCATGCGATATGGGGGTTCAAGGAGAACTAGACGGCCGTGCCCGCGCGTAGACTTGATAGACGTTGGCTACTGCCTAGACGTACATACTAACGTTGACTTATGTGTGGCGATGTAAGTTGTCGGGAGCCGCCGTTGGCGCGGAGAAGCACGGGCGCTTATTGCCAGTGACGTGCCACGAGCCCAGCCAGTGTACGGAGGACGTGAGAATAAGGTACATACTTTTCAGGCAGCCAATGTCTGGCTTGACAAGGGAGGAGCAACAAAGCATGGACGATGCCGTGCTCCTCGCTGGTGAGACAAACAAAACAACTGCGGCTCAGCCGTGTGTCAGTCAGCGCCAGGTGTGAGTCTGACATCTGGGTCCAGTATTGCCCTGCGCGGCTGCTGCTTTGTCCCTCCCTGCTGGAGTGGAGGAGGTGGTCCAGCCAAAAGTGTGCGGGCGGCTCTGTTTCTCACTGCATGCCCGCGGCGCCCGGCCATGAAGCGCCTGTGGAACTTCGATCCTCGGACTACGAGTAGCGCGACAGCCGGGCACTAAGGCAATGCAAGGTACAAGTGTAGCTGCAGGCTGCAGCTCTGAGCTGAGAGCTGTGTGCTGTGCTGTGCCTATCAAAGAGCTACCTAGACGGGAGGCGGGTGCAGCTTTATTAGCTCTAAGCCCGCAGGCTAGGAAACGGTAACGCACTGTATGAGCTACATCGCGACATCGCCAACCCCTCCATCCTCATTCTCCTCTCATCCATCCATCAGTGACGTCGTTTTTTTTTTGTTACCCGCTCACCCACCACCATCACCACCATCACCACCTCCAACGAACAATACAAAAGCGACCGTCACTCCGCGCCCACATTCCAACTCAAACTCCAAAGACCCTGATCCGATCCGTTCATTCCCTCTCCCATCAGCGCTCCTTGGCGGGGGGAGAAAGGAAGAACGACCATGTCCTCGGCGCAGACACAAACCCGCGCGCAGCCGCCGGACCACCACGTCGACGAAGACGTCGACGCCGACGCCGCCATCGACGAAGAGGACATCACCCTGCGGTGCTGCGCGCCCGTCTACGCCCTCACCGCGCCCGTCGAGGTCGGCGAGATAGGGTTCGTTGACCCCCTCCTCCTCCTCCTCCTCCTCCTCCTCCCAGCAGCCCATGTCCATGTCGCACTTCTCCGCCGCCGCCGCTCTCGGTGCTTGTGAATGAACCTCTCTTTTGTTCCGTGACTGACAGATATGCCGCCCACGTACACAGATCCGGCGGCCGCGCTGGCTCGTCGGCCTTCTTCGCCTGGCCGCTCCTCGGCCCGCTGCTCTTCCCCAACGAGACGAGCGACGCGCGCGACCACTGCGCCAACGAGCGAAGTACGTCTATTCTCCCCCTTCCCAATCTCTTCTCCCCTCCTCTCACCTGTTCTCCTCGTCTGCCCGTCTATATAAGCCCTTGTATCCAAGCTAACCGCGGTTACCCGCCGCCCGCCCGCTCGCAGCCTTCCTCTCGTACCTCCGCATCGCCATCTACCTGGCCGTCCTCTCCGTGGCCATCACGCTCTCCTTCCACCTCAAGAACCAGCCCACCAACCTCGAGCGCCGCATGGCCAAGCCCCTCGGCATCATCTTCTGGGGCCTGAGCGTCGTCACGCTCGTCATCGGCCTGGGCAACTACATGAGTGAGTTTGATTTGATGCCCCCGCTCTACGTCACCGGGCAACGGAACCAACCTCCTTCGACTTGGAAGCATGCTGACGGCGCGCGGCAGAAACGGTCAACAAGTATAGCCGCAGGGTGGCCATTGTGCAGTCCGGATGGAGGACGCAGTTGGTAAGTCGAGACTAGCACGTCTACATAAGAATGCGGCAGAGCAAACCGTCTAACCGGCGCACAGGTCCTGGGCATGCTCGCCGGCGCCATCATCGGCACGTGCATTGTCCTTCTCGTGGTGGAAAAGCTGCGACCAAGCGAAAGTTCGCTGTGATGAACTTGATTCATTAATACGCTACCACGACCCGCGTCACCCCGCTCTCTTGGTATCACAAAACAGGTCCCTCGCATACGAATCTGGCAGCGGCAAACTCTTCAAGTCCTCCTCGGAGCAGTGCCCGACCTGCCGCCGGAACTCGTCCGCAAACTGGGCTGTCTCCATGAGGAACTTGGCGAAGCTCTTTTGCTTGCTGTCCCATGACAATATGGGCAAGTCCTCGGGCGGCTGCAGCTCACCGCGCTTAGGCAGTGTCTCCAGCATGTCCACCGATGACCCCGGGTCAAACGCTGGGCTGACCCTGTCGACGAATCCTCCCTGTTCCCTGTCTTTCGAGGAACTCCCGGCGTCGCCATACTCCTCCGGCTTGTCGGACAAGTCGGTGTGAACGCCGACAATGGCGCCAGCCGTGTCCTTACCGGGATACAGCGTAAAGTAGCCGCGGAGCCGGGCAAGCTGCACCGCGTACTCCATCCAGGCTGGGTGCTGTTTACCCACCTCCTTTTTGGCTATCAGCGCTGGCGAAGAAGGGCTCGAGCTGTGCCTGTTTATCATCTGGGAGACGTATGCGTGCAGCTCCACCCACTTGTCGCCCAAGAACAGGACCGCATCGCTGGCAGGAGACTGCCAAAGGAACGGAGCTCCCTCGCTTCCAGGCTTGTTGCCACGCACTGGCGCGGGGGGCGAAAACGGTTGCGTGCCATCGAGCGACACTGTGGGAACGGCAAAACCCATGGCCATCAGTCTCAGTTCCAGGCCTTCGCTCGTCGCAGCTCGCGAGTACCGGTAGTAGAGGATGGCGAATTTGAGATCTGTCGAGGGTTAAATGATTGTCAATAGGCTAGGCGGGGAGCCAGTTTCCGCTTACAGTGAAAGAACTGAGGCGTCACCTCCGCATTCGGAGAGAGGACCAGCACATGGGAATTGACTGGGTCCAGCGGCCAGAACGACTCGAGGAAGCGCACCAAGCTCTCCTCCTCGCTGATCCTGTGGCTGGGAATTCGCCGGTGCAGCGACATCATCCGCGGCAGCGGCTTCTCGTCGCCGGCGGACGGGGGCCACTCATAACGACCCAGGAATTCCTGGAGCGGCTTTTCGATGAGACTCGGCAGTTCGACCGTGAGGTGCGGGATGGAGTGGCCGCCGAGATCGGCGCGTGCGAGCGAATTGAGCAGCCTCTTGATGTTTCCTGTGCCCGTAGGCGGAGCGCGCACCATGATATCGAAGCGGACTTGATTCCAAGCTATGCTGGGTCAGCGCCCACGCTCACTTGGGTACTGGCATCACACTCACCTGCCAGGGCTGGGGCGTCCAGCTTTGTGATCCACGACAGCCGAGTTTCGGGCTTATGAGGGAGCTCAATGAGAGCTGCGTGCGTGGATGAGATCTCGTCACGAGCGCCACGGAGGAAGAAGGTCTCCTCGGCATCGGTCGAGTCCACAAGGACGGCCTGTGGATGCATGTACGTGTTGATGTAGTCTACGTCTTGTCAGCAGAGCATCTCTGAATCTCATCAATGCACGACGTACAAAAGGCACGCGCGACGGAGAGTGTCATGCGCGCTTCGGTGGAGGTATCAGCGTGGTCGGGTCGTGCATCTATGAGCTGTCAGTTCCCGTCGCCCGAGCACACACACAGACGCTGAGAGTGCTCATCCGTACCATGCATCATCATTGGACACGTCCTGTCGATGCCGTTGACCTGGAGAAGTTCCTTCAGGGAGATGGCCGACCGGCCAATGAACGCGAAATGGACATATGTTGTCTTCTCGTACGCCATGCGGCACGCCATGGGCAGCAGCGTGGCGGCGCTCTTGAGGCTTGCAGCAGCAAACAAGACGTTGCGGTTCGTGACTGAGGTGCCGCCGGTCGACGATATCGCGCGGAGGGAAGCCGCCAGCTCGTAAAACTTGATGGGTCCATTGTAGCTCTTGGGCTCGTCGAGGGCATCGTGGCCAGCGGCGGGCGTTTTCGGCTTCGTCTTGGACTCCGCCACCGGGTTCGGCTTTGGCCTCGACTTCGGTTCGGCATCGAGAGGTGGCGGAGGGGGACGTCCCCGGGTGGGGGAGTCATATGCGCCGGGGAAGTCGTGACGGAAGGGGTCTCTGTCGAGAGGAGACGGCGACGACGCATCGTCACCGGCAGTGATGGTGCGGATGAGGATGAAGAGCAAGACTCCCAGGACGACGAGGTATACGACCAGGCGCAAGACCAAGCCCCGTCTCGGAGGGTGGACAGCTTGCCATTGGCCTCCGTGCTGCTGCTGCTGCTGCTTGGCATGCTTGGGCAGGCCGAGGTCGTCGTCCTTCTTAGCCAGCTCCTCGTCGTCGCGCCTGGGATGCCAGCGCCTGGAGCTCGACATGTCGGCGGCCGAGGGAGGCGGAGGAGCAGGGGATGGCGTCTAGCAGTGCGTGCAGCAGCAGTCAACCCGACATCTCGTCGCGCATGGGGCCGGGAGTGCGCAGGCGTACGGCGCGAGGAGCCACTGGTCTGACGATGGGGGCGTTGAGAAGACCGGCAGATGGACGGGTTGGAGGGGCGCGGAGAGAGAGATGGATGGAGCTGGAGCTGGAGCTGAGCTGAGCCGAGCTTGGGTGAGATGTGGTGTGCGGCACTGCGCCGAAATAAAATGCCGTCAGTGAGGACAGGTAGGTCGACTGTCCGCCGGGCCGGGGCACCCCTCGCGCGCCAGGGCGTCATTTTGGAGCGCCCTGGTGGAGCTGGCGGGTAAAGCTTAGGCTGCGTCTCCCCCACTGAAAGGATGGATTGTTAGGCTAGCATGCTAGGTAGGATGGATGGAGCTTGCCCACCTCAGCATTGGATCCCACGCACGTCCCACGTGTAGCCACACGCAGGGGAGGTATACTAGGTTCCTCCTGGAGAAATGGTGTGCTGTCCAGCTGTTTGAAAACCTGGCATCACAGCGGGTGCGCTCAAGCTCTGGCGCGCTGGCAGCTGTTGGTGAGGAAGCCCGTGATAGGAGGTTGCTTGGGGTCCCGCGACGGAGCCCTGGAGACCCTGCATGAGCCACCGGGCATCAACCTCCATTGTAACGGGGCACCCGGGGCCTGTGCCTGCCGTCCAGCGGCTCTGCTAGCAGCCGCCCGCCCGTCCGTGCATAGGTTAGATCGCGCGCCCGCATGCATTGGATCCCGCCCGGGGTGCCGCAAGTGTTACGGGCACTGCCCTGCACACCACAGGCGCTCGACCCACTGTGGCTCTCCCGCTTCAGCGCCAGACGGCCGGGCTGTCTTACGCCAGTCCTGGAAGCCCCTCGTCCGATGGACCGCCGTGGCGGGACCCCGCCAACGCCGTCTGGCTTGCATCGGGGGTGGGGCACAAGAGCAATTCGTTCCTCATGGTTCCAGATATTTTTTTTTTTCCTTCACGTCTACAAGCAAACCAGCTTCACCATCTCTGCGATTCCCCTCCCCCCGCGACGCGATTGACCGAAACGGCCTGTTCTCGGAATCTAACCGCCCTCGTGCTCGAATAATACCGGAACCTTCCCCCCACGTCGCACGAGCAATCCGACCACCATGGGCAAGTCGAGGCGCAACCGCGGCGGCACCGCCCACCGCCGCGACCCCATCGCCAAGCAGGTCAAGCCGCCCTCGGACCCTGAGCTGGCCGCCCTGCGCGAGTCCAAGATCCTGCCCGTCCTCGCCGACCTCAAGAACGCCGATCCCAAGTCGCGCTCCGCCGCCGCTGCCGCCATCTCCAACATCATCCAGGACAGCAAGTGCCGGAAGCTGCTCCTGCGCGAGCAGGTCGTCCACGTCGTCCTGACCCAGACCCTCACAGACGCCGCCCTCGAGAGCCGCGCCGCCGGCTGGGGCATCCTGCAGGTGTTGGCTCAGGAAGAGGAGGCCGACTTTTGTGTCCATCTATTCCGCCAGGATGTGTTGACGGCAATTGAGTATGCGGCAAAGATGGTACGCACCCCGCGCGAGATGGCTTCCTTCTCGTCTCTCCTCCCCTCTCTTCGCCTCTCGTCGCATATAGCTCACAATTTTCCCTTTCCATCAGGTCACCGAGAGGCTTCAATCTACCGCGACCCCTTTCGCCAAGACTCCCAAGGCCGAGCAGGGCTTCATCGCCAGCATCGCCGCCTCGCTCGTCTCTCTTTTGACCGCCCTCGCCGAGGCTGGCGACGAGGTGCTCGAGGCTATCTCGGCCAATGCCACCGTCTCTCAGTTCCTCTTCCTTCTCATATCCCACGACGGCCATGGACAAGAAGACGGCATCGCTGGCCTCCGCGTCGACGCCATGGCCTGTCTCATGATCCTCTGTGAGGACAACGCGGCTCTGGCCGAGAAGCTCGTCACCTCCGAGCATGATCGGTGCCTCAAAGCGCTGCTGGCACTGAAAGACGACACCAACAGCGACGGCGTCCTCGCTTGCGCCACCCTCCACAACATATTCGCCTCGCTGAATGGCTTAAGAAACGCACCCCAGGTGCCCGAGGCGGACGACTCTCTATTAATACCGACTCTCACGAAGACCATCGCGGCCATCACTCAGGGGCAGGCAGCGACCAACGGTAACGGGTGGTCAAGTCCCGTCGAACAGCAGCAGCTGGCGCTCGAGACCCTGGCATCCATCGGCACGACCCTCAACGCCGCCATGGCCGGCCCGCCCCCGCGAAAGGAACGAGACGAGGCGCCCAGGGAGGACGACGAGGACATGGGCGACGCCGACGCTGACGCCGGTGACGCCGATGAAGACGAAGGTGCGGAGGACAACGAGGCTGAAGGCGACGAGGACGATGAGATGGACCAGGACGAGATGGAGGCCGACATGGACATGGTCACGGGCGTCGACGGTGACGACGACGACATCAACGACCTCCCCGTTCTCAAAGCCCTGCTCCAGACCGCCATGCCCGAACTCATCCGCGTCGCCTGCCTCCAGCCCTCCAGCGACGAGACGATGCGGCTGCAGGGCCACGCCCTCTCGGCCCTCAACAACATCGCCTGGTCCGTCTCCCTCATCGACTTCTCCGAGGACCAGAACGAGGGCATCCAAAAGGCCTGGGCCCCCGTCGGCCGCTCCCTCTGGGAGCGCGTCATCTCCCCCATCCTCGCCACCGACACGGCCGACGTCGGCCTCGCCACGCAGGTCACCTCGCTCGCCTGGGCCGTCGCCCGCAGCCTCGGCGGCAGCACGCCCCTCAAGGCCGACGAGCACCGCAAGTTCATCGCCCTCTACCAGGCGACCAAGGGCCTGGTCGCCACTGCCGACGACGACGACGACAACGACGACCCATTCCAGAGCCTCGGCGTCAAGTGCGTCGGCGTCCTCGGCCAGCTCGCCCTGCACCCTGCGCCCGTCGACCGCAACCGTGAGGTTGGCACCTTCCTCGTCACCCTGCTCGCCGGCCTGCCCGACGGAGCTGGCGCTGGCGCCGGTGCCGGTGCCACACCCCCGGCCGACGCCGTCGAGGCGCTCAACCAGCTCTTCGACGTCTACGGCGACGAGACGTACCCCTACGACCGCGACGTGTTCTGGCGCGGCAACTTCCTCTCCCACCTCGAGGCCGCCGTGCCCAAGGTCCGCGCCCTCATCAAGTCCATCGACAAGAAGACGCACGCCGAGCTGAGGACCCGCGCGGACGAGGCGTCCCTCAACCTGACCCGCTTCCTGGCGTACAAGAAGAAGCACAAGCCGTGAAGGACAGGCCGGCTGCTTCGTATGGTGTGGCACAAAAGTGGACGAAATAATGACTTGGCTATGAGTGTGCGTGTCGCAAGGACAGGATACCGAGGAAAAGGCTTGGAGCAGCGCCTAGCAGAGGCGCGTTTATTCATATCATCATCATGGCGCTACATCGGGTTCATGCGAGCATATAGCTAGACAGACAGCACATAGATATCACCTTGGAACCCCCCAAATCGTCAACACCGCTCAAAAACCTTGTACAGCCCCTTCAGGCTAGCCACTTCCAAGACGCCCCCCTTCATCAGAGACTGTGTCGCCACCAAGCGCGCCTTGAACGCCGGAAAGAAGATGTTCTCGACCGCCCACCTGACGTACTGGCGCCTCGTCCGGACCTCGGCCGGGACCTCTTCCTCCTCTTGCGGGGACGACGCCGTCCCGCTGGGCGACGCCGCGGGGAGCTGCTCAGGGACGTAAAACGTCGCCAGCTCCCTCAGGAACGAGTCGAAGCAGGCCTTCTCGTCCGTCCAGTCGACGTTGGGCCCGAGCCGCAGGAGGAACTGCGGCAGCTTGGCCACAGAAGGCGTGTACCCCTTGACCATCAGAGGAATAGAGACGAGCTCGCCGGTCGGCGAAATTTCGAGAGAGAAATACTCCAAGAGCATCTCCCTCCTCTCGATGAGTTGGTTCGCCACCTTGTTCACAATTGCTTCGACATCGAAATCCTCGTCTGACACTCCCAACATCTCCTTCTCCTTCTCCGCCGCCATTGTCAGGAGCTCGCCAAGTCTCAGCGGTGGGCTGAATCGGATGGTGCCAAAGTTACCAAAGTCTGTGAGCCCCAGCTGGTAGAAATACTCGTAGCAGGTGTGCCCGTAGTCGATGAGATACAACTTGATGCCGCTCTGTATCGCAGCCAGCCGCCGGCTCTCGTCCACTATGCCGACAAAGGTATGCGACGTAAATATTTCCGTCAAGTCGTGGTGCATGTCGTCACGTACTTCGCCCCGCAACTCTTTGACACTCCTCAGGCGGCAGAGCATCGGCTCCCGATCGCTCTCCTCATACTCGATATTTTCAGGGGCGGCCAGCGGCTCCTCTGCTCCGACTCCAGCTCTTCCAGACTCTCCAGAATCTGCCCGCAGAAACATGCTGGTGATCTTGCGCATCGATGTGTCTGTCCGAACGAGTTCATTGGAGTTCCGCCTCGCTTTGCCGGTAATCATGTATTTCGGCGTGGCCGGTGCAGCATCGTCTGGGTGCGCGTCTTCAAACTGCATGGCGCCCGGCAAAAGCGTCTGAGTCTTGAATGTTCGGCTCGTGTCGACTGCCGCGAGTTCCTCCTCTATCTTGTTGCACACATCTTGAATGATTTCGTCCTCGTTCAAAAAGTGGACTTCTCGCTTCGTCGGGTGCACATTGACATCCACCCTCCCGGGATCAATCTCCAAACTCAGGTAGACGAAGGGATGGCCCCCTTTTGGCAGGTAGCTGGCGTAGACCTGTTCAATGGCCTTCTTGATGTTTCCTGACTCGACGGCCCGGTGATTGATGAACAGCAACAATGTCGTCTTCTTGATGTGGTAGTTTGCGTTGGTGACAATACCATGGGCGGTGTAGCCCCAACGGTCCGCAGAAGTAGAAAACTCAATCAGCTCATTCGCTACATTGCTACCATGAATCTGACGTATTCTGTCGGTTGGGGAGGCCTGGGCCTGTATGGAGAGCGTGTTCGATGCCTCGCCCCCTTTCTTGCACGTGAAGCCAACTCCCGCACAATGGATGGCGTAGCGACCGACCATGTCAATGATCTTGTTGAATTCTTCGCCGTGCGAGCGGAAAGCTCTGCGTCGCGTCGGAACGTTGAAGAACAAGTCTTCGACGGTAATCTGGGTCCCTGGCCGACTAGCCATCATCTTGGGTTCCGCGGGCTGGCCTGGCTTTGGCGGTGCAAGCTTTCCGTCGAGATAGTGCGCCCGCCACCCGACATCAGAGTCTTTGGTTCTGGTGGTGACGCTCAAGTGGGCAATATGGCTGATGCTTGCCAAGGCCTCTCCTCGAAAGCCATAAGTGCCAATCGTGGTGAGGTCTTCAAACTTTGTGATTTTGGACGTCGTGTGCCGCTCACACAGAATGGGCAAGTCTTCCCGCTGCAACTATCGTCAGCCATCGTGAAGTGCAGCGGAACGGCGCACCGTCCGTCTCACCTGGATGCCGCCGCCATTGTCAGTGATCTGCAGCTGCTTCAGGCCGCCGTCCTTGACGACAATCTCGATGGCCGTTGAGCCGGCGTCGACGGCATTCTCGATGAGCTCCTTGAGCGCGTGGACCGGCGCCACAATAATTTCACCAGCAGCGATCTTGTTGACGACCGCCGGGTCCAGGGCCTGTCGTGCAAGGGTCAACCTCCGGTTCGATGCCCACGGCACCGGAGACGCGCAAGCAATCGACTCACTCTGATTCGGCGTGGCGGCTGTGCCTCTTCTGGGAGATCCTCTGCCTTGCGCTTCTTGCCGCCGTGGCTGTCCACGTCCATGCTGTCACTGGCCATGCCTCCGCCTGCCCCGTCGCATTTGCGCGGAGACGTAACGTTGCTTGGACCTTGCTGGGCCTTCGGCGCCAGTGCCGGCCGCGAAGTTGTGAAACAATAGTCGACACGATCGGCACAAGGGCCGAGCCGGACGAGAGTGTCAACCTGTCAAGCAGGAAAACCAGGGCGCTCGTAGGTTCGGTCGAGGTGGTGCAGGGTGGAAAGCTGCAACTTGGTCCTGGTGGGGTGTCGAGTTTCCATCCCATGTCGTCACAGTGCGTGTGTCAGGGGAGCGCGGCACGCGAAGGCTGCACGTCCCCACGTGACCGAGCGATGGGCGATGCACGTCGCGGCAGGCACGACTTGCTGCACACACACTGGCAGTGCACGCACGACAAGCAAGGGCAAGAGCAAGTTACGTACCTCACTTACCTTCCTGAGCGAAACGGAGAGCAGATTACCAGGGACGGAGTACCACAAAGGTACTTTGCATGAAGTACCTCGGGTGCCCTACCGACACGCCTGGTCAGGAAGGCACCACCCGCGGCAGGAATACGAAGTACTGCCCGTCGCGGCAAGGCGGGCAAAATGCGGGATCGGCCACTTAGTACCACGCCTAATGCTACGTACTGCTGCTAGGTAAAAGTGCGACGCGTCGCTCGGTTCGGCAGTCGCACGAACTGCATGACCCCCCGTCCCTTGCTGTGGGCTCCGTGGCTCCGTGGCTCCGTGATTGCCCATCCATGCGCATGGCAAGCACGGATGGCTCCATGTCGTCCGCTCGCACCTTCCCCGGATTTCCACGCGCTCGGACCTCGGCCCACGGCCTCATTTCGTCCCTTTTAACCATTCTATGCAAGCACATATCCCGCCTTGATAACCTCATCATCGTCCAATTCATGCTCTGCACCCAACATGCGCTCGGACCCTTGCTCTGCTGACCGCATGCCTTCCATCACGCCCCTGGCAGGTAGCTTGTTCTTGGCAGCGTCGCTAAACACCGCTCGCCTCAATCTGTTGCGCCCTGGCAAGCCCGGGCAGCTTGGGGGATCCACCGACGGGTATCAGTAGTTTCGCCAGCGTTCGACATGTGTCCAAGCTCAACGGCCGCCGGACTCGAGTCAATGATGCGCCACGATCCACGGGGTGGTCGGTCACGGTAAGACAATGGTCTCAGGTTCTCTTAACCACCAAGGTGGGCGGGACAGGGGATCCACATGATATCAATCTCAGCCCCTGGAACAAATCTTCAGCTTGCTCGTTGGTGGAAGAAAGCCCGCCATCTTGATAATCGCACAATGAGCCCATCTAACTTGGAGCAGAGCGAAAGAGTCTTGCGCTCTGCGCCCTCAGACATAGGAAATATCGTACGGGTATAATCGTGACCCCCCTTGCTTGGGGCGGTGCATTCGCAACTCCAAGTGACCACGCACAAGCCCTAGCCAGGGCTCACCACCTGTCTCCTACCAAGGCAAATTCAAACGACTACTGCTATGGCTAGAAAGCAAGCCCATCGGCGCCTCATTCTGGACAACCGCAAAGTTGGCGGTTAGCTCAAGACACAAACCGGCCACGTAGGCCGCTCGAGGTCCGCGACGGGGGAGCAACTCTTAGCCTGGCATAAAACGCTACGACCTACAGCCCCAATCACGACGAGCATCAGTCTCTAGCTGTAGTGATATGGGTGCCGTTGAAGCCAGTTGATCTGCAGGACAAGAAACCCCCCCTCAGCTGTGACATCGTGCATCCTTCAAGAACAGACTTAGGCACACATCTAAGTGTGCTGCTGTGGTCGAAAACCATCTTACAACCTCCATGGTGCAAGGGCGACCACGGTCCTCGCAACATACTGTTGTTGATTCTGTATCAAGTCTCGTATGGGCCTTGTACCGCGTACGGTCCCTAGTCGATCGGATCCTCGTTTTGGAAAATCGCTGATGCTCGTTCGATCCGTTCGAAATTGATACTGGCAGGCTTCCTCTTGACTTAATCGCTGGAATCTGTCACGATCGTCATTGGCTTTGCGGGTTCTTTTCAGACCTCTGAGGTCTATCAATCAGTCCTTCGATGTCAAGTCGACTCGGGCGCTCCTCGCGCTGCCATCCCTGAGAAACGGGTGTCGTTCGATGCTCGGACTGCGCTCGAATCGGGGCGAGTTGATACCCGTGGCGGCCTGCAGGGTCCGCAGAGTACGGTGTCTGGCTTCGGCTCGGATCGTGTGTCGTCTCTGCCAGAGAGGACCCTGGGGGTCTGCTGCTCATTCCCGAGGTGTCGTAAGAAAACAAAGACGCTGAACCTGGACTTGTCCTGGGAGCATCGGGGCCTCCGTATGTATTAAGCCCTAACGGAGGCCGTATTTGTAGCGAGCCCTCACTAAGCCGATGTCGAACGGGATCAAAGTGAGCAGGATCAGGGCTCCGAGCCGTCGATAGCGGCCGATGACTCGCTGACGGGTTGTAAAACGCGCTCGCGGGGGGTTGTGTCTGCGGATAAGGATAGCCCTGGGGCGCGCCCAGGAGCATTACCACAAAGTAGAACGAGCCTTCTTTCCCCAAGCCCAGATGCAACCCAAACTGCCTCCCATAACCATCAGGGCCAGCGAAAGTTAGCTTGTCCTGGGTGTTGAGGACGAATTGTGAAATCTCCGCAGTGCTAAAACCAAGCCCCTGAAGGGCCGGTCCACCGCCTAGTATTGGGGGGAGGTAATTGGGTTCCCTTCGTTTCTGCTCCTCTCCAAGTCGATTTTGGAGGTGTATGATTTTGTCCATCTCTGCGTCAACGACCACGTCTCGCAATCTTCGTCCTATGAGGTTGGCGACGCCAAGTATTTCCAGAAACGTTGGCGATGTCTTCGCAAACTCCATCCCCATTGTGAGGAAGGCAACGGGTTCAGACATTGTCCCATGAATGTTGACCTCGTCGGGTCTACCATACTGCCTGATGGGTAGCGCGCCGCCAACGGGCGACTCGAGCGATCTGTGAAAATGATGTTGTCGAGACAATTCGTCGACCCCTTGGCCCGTAAAACCGGGCGGGTAAACACCGAAAGGTCTGCGGGCGGAAATATCAGGATAGCTGGGCAGCCGCAGAGCATCGTACCGCGCGTCTCGATCGTCTCTTAATCGTGGCCGTCCTCGTTTCTTGTGTTGAACATCAACGCAGGCATCCTCTTTGCCGTTGCTTAGGCACCGCGAGCAAGGTCTCTGTGCTATCCCGAGGTCAGCCTTTGTCTGAATTCGGAGGCCCAAGGACCCGAGAGTCAAATGAATCTCCAGAGACGTATTATCTCCGTCAAAATCAACATCAACCAATTCAGTTCCGTGGACAGTTCTAGAGAGCTGCGCGACTTCATGGTACGCCTTGCTGCGTCTCTTCGCAGCGTGTAGCCGCTACAAAGGCCAGCACAGAATCATTGTAAAGAGTGGACGGGCCACGAAAGAGTACCAGCTAACAAGGCGAGCGAAGAAATCAAAAACCACGTACCGTCGCACCTGGATTCCCCTGTCAGAATTATCTCTTGAAAAGTGTCACTGCTGCTGGAAAACGGCTTACCGTAGATGTGCTCGCTTGCAGGGAACGCAAGCTGAGGCTACGTGACCCTTTGCTTTCCTTTGAGACTTCGGGGAGGTGAATGATTGATTTTCCGGAGCAACGCCCCGACTCGCCATGGCATAGCTGCCTTCCGAACTGGGTCCCGCTGTTGCCACGTACTGGTGCTGGTATAGATCTGGCCTCGACATATGTGACTCTTGCGGTGGATAGGGAGGCGCCTGTTGCAACGCCTCGCCCGGGTGTCTCGGAGCGGCGTATGGGACTCTTTGTGGCTCGCGTTGATAGACCAGGGGTCCCGCAAGGGGAGGTGGCAGCCGACGTTGTGAATCGGGATGCTGTAATTGTGCCGCCCTATCCCGATATACATCCTGAATCAGCGCTCCAGGATGCCGCGAAGGCCCCTCTCCATATTCGTTCGCTTCGTGAGCTACTCTTGGCGGAAGCGGCGGAGAGCCTGACATGGGCGGAGTGGGATATGCCCGTACTCAAGCAGCTCTCTCCGAGTCTTCTCTCTTGCTGTCCCAGCCCAGATCTGGCGCGCCCCTCAACCCGCGAGGTATATCTGGGCGTTGGCCGAATGGGAGTGGAGTCGAGTGGTGAAGGCAGCTTACTGACAGCATGGAGGGAGCCTTCTACTAGACGTCTGCAATCTCGATTGGAGGAGCTGTCCTTGTGGTCCGCCAAGTGACGGTTGTGTTGTCAGCCTTGCTGCCACTCGGAGGACAGATCTCTTCCGAAGCTCTCGTTAGCTCGTCAGCGCAACTCCTTCGAACACCAGAGAGGTTATCTCTGATTCCAACCGCTTTGAAAATCGTCGCCTGGTGGGCGCGAGGCGACTCCCAGGTGAAAGGTTTTCGATCCCCCAAGAATCGCCGTATCGTACTCCAGACGAGGCCTATTCGAGCGAGCTGTTTTCTGCGCCACGAAAGTCCAAAAGCTGAATCGCAGCAGTCGTCGCACCGGCAGACTTGCAAACGTGTCAGAGCGCAGAAGAATTGATCAGATGCAGCCTGGTAGGCGATCGGCGTGTTGTAGATGATTCGAGCGAGGACACAAGGGAGGCAGCAAGAGTCGCTCTCAAGTTACGATCCAAGCAGAGGGGCCGTCGCCGCCAGCCGGCAACAAAATATACTAGAACGGCACCGTGGGCAGCAAGATCAGCTGGCGTGAAACCGACAGTAGCGGCGTCGTAATACTGCCAGGGATGATTCCACAACTGCCGTGATACGTCCCAGCCGGCAAATGTTGTGACTGTTGGGACAGAGGAAACTGAGACGAAGTGCGAGCGGCGGTCGGTAAGACACTCGGTCGTTGTAGGACCAAGAGCCGTGGTTCCGCAGCCTGACAAGCCCGGATGTCAGGATGGGCGGCGAAGCGAGGGCTTGTTGAATGGTCAGAGATTGGCTGCCAGGAGGCTGGCGCAGCGAGGCACAAGAATCGAGACGGCGCCGGCGTGGCCCAGAGGCTGATCGGCGGCTCAGAGCCGGCTTTTGTGCGACTTTTGGACTTCCGAGCTACGTACCTACAAGTACTACTGGTGCTGCTGCTGTTGCTGGGACAGACGACGGTCAAGGGTCACTAGAGTTGGCAACCAGGCATCCGGGGGGGGGAGGACCCTGGTCGGCGTCTGTCGAGTGGATGCTGGCCAAGGGGTGGGCGTCATGGCATGGGAGCACCCTGCTCATCCCATCTGACAATTCTCCGCGTGTCTCGAGTGTCCAGTTTTCCTTTCAGTGTGTGTGCGCTTGCATGCCTTGGTGTGACTTTTGGGTTTGCAACAAGACCAGGGCGACGGGTGTGGCCGAGGGCGCTACCAGTGGAAGACGGAGTGGGCATAGGCCGGGCCTTGTATCAAGCTCCAAGCAGGGGGCCACGTGAAGAAAGCCAAGGGCGAGAACAGTGGGACGAGGGTAGAGAGGAGAAGAAGATGGAGGAGGCGCCCGAGGAGGGGGCGTGTATGAACAGGAGCTTGTGGCTCGTCTAGCACACAAGCATCTGGCACGTACGTAGATGTAGTGTCAGTTTTCGGTAATCGGAGACCGATCGCAAAGAGTAGCTTGATGTCGAGGCCTGTACAATGGACGAAGACCGCGTCAGGGGGGGTGCCAGACCAGACGGGACACTTTACGGATGCTGGTTGAGACGAAAGTTGGGGAGGGGGGTGGGCAGATGGCAGGGGGGCCGAACGACTCGAGATACGTACGAGTACAACAGCCAGGATAGTGCGGGCTGCCCAGCAGAGGCATTCGAAGCTAACGTGCGAGTGGAGAGGACAGCCAGATGCTTGGGCCAGGAATGGTTTCTGGAAGACGTCATGATTGGAGGAATCGGAGTGGTCGACCGGTTGGC